AGTCAACAGGGGGTACAAATTGAACTGGGTTCGCAGGTGTAACGGAGGACGCACATGTTGGCCGATTGAAATTTCAGAAACCTTGTGTAGGAAAACTGGTACAGTAGTCAGCGGGTTTGCTTCTCCGGTTTCTTGGTCTGGTTAGTCAGGCTTAACACGCAGAACATCTGAAGTTCGCTCCTGCAAGAAATCACTCTTTTTTGCATCTCTACTGGTCTTGCCACAGTGCTGCGTGTATTCTCCCCTTCTTCGTGAACCCAATCACCAACGGTTTTCGGAGGTTGTCAACAGCGTACAGTATCAATGTTATTTTCCAAATGCGGACAAGAGCGCACTTTAAGTACACGGTCGAATATCGTCATGATCGGATGTGCTAAAGAATTTATACTGTAGAATCTATAATATGTTTGTTGGGGGGGGGGAGGATAATGTGGTTAGTTTCTGAGGCTAGGCAAAATGTGGTTGCCAGATCGACCCACAGCGTTCACGTCAGGAGCAGGAATGCCCTTGTTCTTGTTCTGGAAGTAACCACTCTCAGGCACATTGTTGAATTTCCAGGTAGTGTCAACGTCATCGTTCTTGATGTCAAGCTTATCAGCCACAAACTTGAAGATATTGGCGTCAACATCCTTTCGTCCAAGATGGGGAAGCTTCCAGTTGGCCTGAACCGTAGCAAGGTTGGTGTAGTGGTCGTAGAAGGTGTCGTCGGTGGTTCCCTTGAGGTGGTCAGGAATAGAACCACCCAGAAGAACGGCATAGACTCGGTTCTTTGTCAGGTAGTTATGATTCTCGTCAAAGGTCAGAATGATGAGGTTGTTGTCGTAGAAGGTGGGGTTCTTGAGCAATGGTCGGATGAAGCTGGATGACCACTTTCCAGCCACCTCAATATCGGAGTCGTGGCCATCGTTGGTCATGTTGGGAGTGATGAAGGCCCACTGGGGCAGGTCAGCGTTCTTGAGATCTTTGTAGAACTCGGTGAAGTTCTTGAGGTTGCCCAGGCGCTCCTTCTTGTTGGCGACAGAGTCGTAGTTGATGAGAGGGTTGTGCTTTCTCACGTAGTCGTTGGCTCCATCAGCGTTCTTGAACTCATAGCCGTCGTAGCCGGTGTATGGCTGGTGTTCCTGGTACTCGCCCCAAGAGATGTGCTTGGTGTCGAGCAGATCTGCGACAGTGGCCACCTCCTCAGGCACCCGCTTGAACGAGTCGGTCATGTCTCCAAAGTAGTCTCCGGACACAGCGGCAATGTAGTTGGGCTGCGAGGGGTGAGTCAGAGACCAGTAGTTGGTGAGCAGGATACCCTCGTCTGTTAAGGCCTTTAGGTCGGCCTGTCCGAACGCCTTGTCGTAGTTGGTGTTTTCCAGCCAGATCTGGTAGTATTTGTCAAACACCTGACCCTTAACGGTTTCGTAGCCCTCGTCCTTCCAATGGTTGGATTTAGCGGTTGCTGCCGCAGAAGCAATAGCGTCTGGCGAGGGTTGGATCTTGGAGAATGTGGGGGGAGCAGCGGAAACAGCTGTAGCCAGCAGCACAACAAGAGCAATATCGATCTTCATTTTCGTGCGTAAGAGAGAGAGTGGTGGGTGCGGTATACAGATCCCGATTAAACTGCTATATAAGCGTCCTTTTGCCTCTCATGTACCTCCAACTCTGCGCACGAGGGCTCACTTGCCCACCTGTGTGGGTGCAGCTAAAACCAACTCTGATGCTGATAAGCAAGCCTCAACTGCATACACAAAGCGGCCAAGGCGACAAAACTCAGGGCGAATGGTCAATTGCTGAAGCGTGATTTGTTGGGAGGATAATAAGCACGTTTGAAGGAGCTCAGGACGGCACAAAAAAGAGACAAGAGAGACAAGGGCGACCGTAAAAGCCCGAAATTAACGGTCAGCCACTTCACGGCAAATGAAAAGAAGATCGTTTGGGCCGAGGCCCAGGCTTCTAATGTATGCACTCACGGCTCATACAGCAGTTAAAGTGCCTTGCACTTGCTACAGAGCACGGGACCATATGGTTATATTAAACAAAACCTATATTGTATTGTTTAATAAAAGGGAGAGATTATATGAGACCCATACAATAGATTATGTGTATTACGAGTAATGTATGTACTGTACAGTACTTGTAGCTAACGTGAAGGGCCGAGAATGCCGCATCCAACTGTGAGGATCTTTGTAACTGTCAATGTCAAACTACAATGAAAGTACAATACTGTACACGATGTACGTCATTCCGACACCACGTGGGAAGGATGCACCGGTGCCATGCAGAAACGCATGTATAACTACAATAGCCACTCGCTTACCACCCAGAAAAATTACTGTTGGCCAACGAGGTGATTCGCTTCCTCTTTTGAGAAATGGACGAGGTGGGATCGTCAGCAGCGTCTTCTGCAGGCTCGGACAGCTTCAGATACCGTCCAATCTTGCCACTCTCTCCGGTCTGCTTCTTTAGAAACGGCGAGTCATCCATGGGCGTCGTCTTCTTATTGGCCTCTTGTGCATTAATATGCCCACCCTCCAAGAAAGAAAACGGGTCGCTCGAAACACTAACACTCTCCAACGTGATATTTTTCACGGGTTTGTCGTCCACCGTCTCAGACAGCTCCAACGTAGTCAGAAACGAGTTGTCCACCACCCGTCCAAACACAGTATGCTTCCCGTCCAGATGAGGGGCTCGGCTGTAGGTGATGAAGAACTGGCTGGAGTTGGTTCCCTTGCCTCTATTCGCCATACTTAGCACTCCCCGACTATCGTGAGTATGAGGGTTGAAGGTCCCGCATTCATCTCTAAAGGTTTTGCCAAAAATGGACTCTCCACCCGAGCCAGTGCCGGTAGGATCTCCACCCTGGATCATGAAATGCTTAATGTTGCGGTGGAAAATGGTGCCATCGTAATACCCCTTCTGTGCAAGCTTGACAAAGTTGTAGACCGTCAAGGGTGCATTATAGGGATACAACTCCAGGTTTATTTGACCTCGTTTGCCCTGGCAATTTATCGTCAGCAGAGCATATACTGGGTCCTTGAGTTCAGCCATCTTGGGCTTAAGCTTGTCCACCAGATCCTCCTCTATCACAGTCACCTGAGTGGTTGGTACATAAGTTGTGGATGTCAACGAAGCTGCCACGTGATGGGTTGTGGTCTGGCCAGTTCGATCCGTAGGCTTGATATCTTGTGCTGACGAATCTGCCTCTCCTTTTTTCACTAATGTTCCATCCCCTTCCTCCATCTCAGCAAAATTGCGTAACCTCAACACATCGGTCTTGGTGAATGCTTCGTCGCTCACAGGATCCCTCCCACTCTTGCCTAGCTCCTTGATTGTGTCCTCCAAATATACCCGTTTGCTTGGCCGCACAACCACGGCATTGTGGTACTTGCTCATCTCCTTGAAGCTCACGGGATCAATAATCTTGCCCTCTCCATTCACTGTGACTGTCAGCTTCATGAGATCTGTTCGAGTCAATGTGGCTCCAGGCTCCACTGGATGCGGTACGCCCTTCTTGCCGGCCTTTTTACCCTGCTTGACAATGTAAGGCACAATGTTCTTGATGTCGTAAACGTAACCCAGCTTGTCACACATCATGTTCTTGTGCTCGATAGGTTGCTGGCCAATAGTGCAGTGCCAAAAGGGATTCTTCTGGACGCCAGATTGTGCCTCGCTCTTTTTTCCGCCGCCGACACTGTGATCTCCTAGTGCCCATTCGCTCTGTGTAATGTATAACTTGTCGGTATTCTTTCCCATGTTGATGGTGCTGATGGCAGAAGTTACATGCAGAAATATCGTGCATGGCCCAAACCTAAGGCAAAGTTGTACAAGTACACTGTACTCCTTGGGTGGCATGCGAGTGTGCAAGTACATACTTCTACTCGTACTGTAGTTATACAGTAGTTTACTGTTGTCCGCTCAAGACCTGTGGTCTTCCTTTCCGTAATATTTGTCTTCAATAATTAATCCTATGTCCATGCTATTACCTACAAGCTAGTATCCAAACGGAAAGTCACTGCTACCGCGAGGGGTGTGGAAACCAGTATGCTCCTCATCGTTATGAGCAACGACAGGAGTCTCATGGTTAGTCACAACCCCCAGAGGCTGGATATTGTGGGGCTGTTGTTGTTGCTCAACACCCTGCTGCTGCTGCTGCTGCTGCTCATGCTGTCCAAGTCCCTGGTGCTGTTGGTGCTGCTCGTGGTGGTCATGTTCCATGCCCTCCTCGGGACCCTGGTTATTAGCAAGCTTGTTGCTATCCTCCTCCCCCTCCTCGGGAATTCCGCTCATCTGCAGATCCCGGTCCTCGGTCTTGAGCATGGAAAACTCCTCCTGGGCCTGGTTGAGCAGCTTGGCAAATTGTGGCGAATCAACGTTCTCCTGACTATTGGCCGCACGTTCCACCACCATATCCCACCACTTCGCCACCAGCGCCTCGTGCTCCTCCTTGAGGTCTTGTCGCTCTTGGTACACCATGGTGCACTGGTCAAACAACTGCGGATTGGCTTCCATGATCATTTTCATAGTATTGTACACCATAGAGTGGATGGTGCGGTTCCAGTGGCCGCGGGAGTTTTCGTACAGCGCAGGGAATATGACCGGCAAGATCTCGGTGATGTTCTCCGACATGAGCGTGCAAAAGTACTCGTTGTTCCAATAGTACAGTGCCCGTTCGGCCACCTGGAAATGCTGCGACGAGATGCACTTAGCTAGCTGCGAGAAGAGGGGGATCTGGATCCGCTGGAACTCCGTCGGCTCCATCACCTCGAAGATGTCCTCAATCTCGTTCAGGAACATGACCTCCTTCGACGAGTTAACCTTGGGCCAGTACCGCAGCAAGCCCAGAATGACTTCCTCGGTAAGCGAGGGGTCCTTTTCCAGGAACTGTACGACACAGTAGGCCAGCTGTGGGTGGTACAGGCTCAGAGTCTTGGCCTTATGCAGAGGGATGAGCACCCTGGACAAGAAGATCTTGTGCTCGTCCTTGAGCGGCAGAGCAAAGCCGTTGATGATGGAGCCCAAAATCTCCAGCAGCTCGGCCACGCCATTGAACCGCTCCGTTTCATAAATGAACTGGAAAAAGACATTGTTGATGGACCGCCGGATATACGCTCGCAGATTCAGGAACTTGCCATAGATTCGGTGCAGAGTAGTTTTGAGGCAGTCCCGCTCCCGAATGTCTTCGCTGTCAAACAGCTCCAGCAGGTTCTGCACAAACCGGTGGTCGATGAACTTCTTGGCAGACGTGTGGTTGAAGTCCGGTGATTCGATGAACTTGAGGAAAAACTCGTACACCAGTTGCATGTGGGGCCATGCGACCTCGCAAACAGGCTCGTCCTCGTCAGGATCAAAAACCTCTCCTACCGGGTTCACCAGTGGAGGCGTGGGCCGGAAGATGTTCTTGCCAAACATGCCCACCACCTGGGCGTACATTTCGTCCGTGATTGTGATGCGCGTGTTAGCGACAAAGTCCAGCAGCTCGTGCAGAGCCATCCGCTTAATGTCCTTGCCCTGAATGTCAGACGACGGGTCGCCAAAGTCGAAAATGGTATTGCACTGCTTGACCTTCTGCAAAAACAGCTCCGCGCGCTTTCGGAAAGGCACCTCGTTGAAACCGGGGAGACGCTCCAGCTCCCGCTCCTTGGAAATTTCCAGACGGCTGGAGTTGTGTCGACGGGGGGTTTTGACCTCAGGGCCGTCCGCGTTGAGCAGCTCAAACGAGTGGCGCTTGGGAGGCTCCAGATCGGTGGGCATGGTCTCCAGCTGGCCCGGAGACGACGGGTGGTGATGTGGGGTGCCCGAGTGCGTGCTCATGTGGCCGGTCACGTGGCCCATGGTCACGTGACTCGACGCCTGGGCCGAGCCCAGTTGCGTAGGTCCCTCAACGAGAATGGCTGGCGGTGTGTTTGTGTCCATCTGCTGTCCCTGCTGCTGCTGGTTCTGCTGCAGGCCCTGGAGCGCTGCCTGTGACTGGGCAGGCTGTTGGGGGGTCAACATGGAGGACACGTTGCCGGTCGAAGGGTTGGAGTTGGATGATGTGGCAGGGTTGGTGGTGTTAGCATTGCTGCTATTGGTGGTGTTAGTTGCACCACTGGTGATGTTATTGTTGCTGTTGTTGTTGCTGCTGGAGTTGTTGTTACCAGAGGACCCGCTGACAGAGGTTATGCTGCTGGCACTCGAAGACGAAGAGACCGGCGTAGCGGCGGCCTGGACATTGGAGGGCGTAGCGGCAGCAGGGGTGGGCTCAGGGGTTTTCTTGCGGTCGCCTAGCGAGAAAGTGCGCTTGGGTCCGTCCTCCTTCTTTTTGTTTTTGGTCGACGACTCGCTGTGAGACTTGGACCGCGACAGCATTCGCTGCTTGAATCCTCGCATCATCTTGGTTGTCTCTGATTTCGTCGTCTACGTCGCGTCGTGTGTTTGAGGGGGGGTTGTGGCAGCGTTCGTAGCGTGTGTAGTGTGAGGTGTGTTGTGTGCGTGTGTGCAGTGTAGAGTAGCTTGCTCACAATGGGGAGTGGTGTCGTGAGACTTTTTTAGACGTTGCGAGTCTACCGGTCCAATGATACGTTTCCGCCTTTTGTGTCGTTTTCAAATCTGGTCTCGGCGTACGTATCAGACAATGATGGATGTTGTATGTCAGTTGAGACGTCGACGTGGATGTAGCAGCTAGCTAAGTTCACTGATGATGTGTGATGACCATACAGATAGACGAACTGTGTGTGTGTGTGTGTGTGTGTGAGTGTGTATGTTTTGGAGAGAGTTAAAATGGAGGCGAAACACTATGGACGGAGAATGCACCTACAGTGGTCTACTACAGGCTCTGAGATTTGAAACGGCGCTTTTTGAACCCCGGAAATTTCTCGTATCATATCCGACACATCATCATGATTTATTATTATTGCACTGGTTTGCTTGGGCTAGGGCCCCAAACGTGGCAGCCAAAGTTTATCCTCGTCGTACATTACTCTACAAGTAAAAGTGATGGGCATTTGTAATTACAATGATAGTAAAGCGCCGGTACGAGAACTAGGTAGCCCTGAAGTGTAGATGGGAAGAGACGTAAGAGTTTTCACCATGGTAGGTTGATAAGCCAAGCTGTTTTGGCCAATCTGTTCAACCAATCACAGCTGTCTAATACCGCACCCGCGCTTACACAGCTGACTAACATGCTGTGTTCACTCCGACCCTTCCCGACTCAAACCCTTCACTACACTCTCCTCCCTTCCTAATTGAGGGACAATTAACACCCCATACACCGCCACGGTCCGGGCAACCCTAGCTACGGTAAATGCCTTCCTACCAACCGGGGCACACGACACTGGTCTAAACCGAAAACTCCACCGACTCGGCAACAGGGGACTAAAAATAGACGAGTGTGGTCTGGCTCCACCACTCTGGGCACGTGATGTGCCCCTGTTTCTCATGCATTCCAAAGAAAGAGACGTGTTGTTTTCCGCAACCCACAAGGAACTTTAATGTGCGGAGACGACGAGAAAACAATGGTTCCAAGTACCGTGGAGCTAGCTATTGTACAAGTATTGATGTATACTGAATATGAAAGCAGGGCTGCATCATATTTAATGAATCACCTTTACCTGGCCACCATCTACCTCTTAACCATCCCCCCCCCCCCCCCCTCACCACACCAATCACCCTCTCCACACCGCACAGCCTCATTTGACGGAGTGAAACCTCAACCGATATTAAGCATCTTCGGAGCTTATCCGATTAGGGAGTGTACAACGACAATTATGATATTACACGCGTCCATGTGGGGTGATAATAACGAACCGTGGATGGGGGAGGGCTGGTCACGTGATTGGCTAGTCACGTGACCACTATACGCCCTCTGTTGGGTCGTCTCTGTATCCTATGCCGCAGTACTTGTAATTGCGCTCTTATTAGAGCAGTTTCTTTGGGGTAATTATTCATTCCATGCATTTCATCTCATTACTTAGATTTGATCGGAAGAGATTCCCAATTAGACACGGTTCCTCAAATCTTGTACAAGTGCAAGTGCGGTATCAGGGTTACGGGATGAGTAGAACGGTGTATCAAATAAATATGTCGAATGTACGTACATACACAATTGGGTCGTTATCACAGCATGAATTATCGCCATTGCGCCCAGTCTCGTGGTTGAACCCTCTCATCCGATCCTACAGTAGTACCGTGGTTGTAGCGACTGTCTCTTGTCACACTTGCCTCTTATTGAATGCACTGTGGTGATAGCTGTCATGGACTCAATCATTTTTATACATATAGCCATTGATATAGCCATTGGTGTACAGTACAAGTACAAGTACTAGTACGAGTACATTGTACCATATTGTATTCGTGTTGTATCAGTTGCTTACGTACATTCGGTACATGCTGTTTTTCCAACACTTGCTAAACAGCTGTGGAACTACATCTTTTTTTTTTTTTTTGCCAACGGCTACACAGTCGCATTCCTATGCTCCATGTCATCCCATAGACAGATACAAGTACTAGTACAGTAGCAGTAGTACATCCCTTGCGAATTCATCAACAGCCATCCCCACCCCACACTGTAAGTAGTAGTTCCATCCACGTTAGTGCTATTACCCCGCAATCTATACACCCATCTTTAGTTCCTTACAACTCCCCGCCCTAAACATACGATACACGATACACCACAGAAACTTCAACAATCAATTTCAAATCATATTACACTCAATTTTCATTTTTTCATATTGTGGGTATTCTGCGACAAGCACAACAAAATATCAACCCCCTGTAACAGCGGAGGCTTCATCAAAGTGTACCGTCTTTTAGTAGCGCGTGGAAGAGTCACGGTGGACATGTAGCTGTCGTCAGACACGCCGGACGAGTCCGAGTCGCTGTCGCTGTCAGACACCCACAAGACCGCGGGCTCAGAAAAACAGCGCTTATTGGCTTGCCACTTCTTGGTAGCCGTTGGTGGACTCTTCCGGTACCATTTGATCGGCACTGACACTATCGGCAGCCGCTTCCTCAGAGATATCACCATCAATCCTCCCATGCTGGTCCTCGTTGTTTTGCCCAGACGCCAAGGTCGTAAGCTCCACAAATCGACGGATCAGAGGCACCTGCAAGACTGCAGGGATGTACGAGTCCAGCCGCTTGAGCAGACGGGGCTCGCAGATCTCAAACGGACCAGAGTCCTCCAGAGGAGAAGTCTCCAGCAGAAGAACAGCGTTCTTCTCCAGCTTGACCTTTTCGGAGATTGTGTTCATAATCTCGGACGAGATGGGAGCCTCGTAGTCAGCAGACAGGTACTGGCCAATCAGACGATGGATCTGAGAGGGAGTGAGAATCCAGCAAATGTCGTAGATGATCTCAATATCCTCCAGAGTCGACTTCTTGAGCTGCAGCAGCTTCGCGGACTGCATAAGGTGCTCCAACTTGACCACGCCGTCGGCAATGTCATGCGACTTGCACCACTCCTCGATTCGGGTGATGTTGTAGTTGATCTGCAGACCTCGCTTCCACGACAGGAAGTTCTTTCGCATAAGCAGGTCGTTGAAGGCCTTGACGCCAATCATGGACAGCAACTCCATCAACGACTGTCGCACGCTGTGCTTCTCGTTGAAGTAGCAGGTCATGGCCTTGTACACCTTGTTAAACAAGTTGAGCAGATCATCCATGGAGTAGGACACGTTGGAGGTGAACATCTTGGCGAGGAAACGGCCGTTGGAGTCTGTGGTCATGAAACCAGGGAGAGCCTGTGACAGCACAATGGCGGGCACAATCATCTTGTCCAGTAGCTTCTTGAGCTCCTTCATCCATGTGTGATAAATGTTAAACTCCAAGTTCTCCAGATCGGCCTTGACCACGTGTACCAGACGTCCGTACTGCTGGAACTCGTACTCGCCCATCTCGTCCATAATGTCCACGTTCTGGGCAATGTTGGCCTGGGCAAGACACACGAAAGACATGATCTCGTGCACGTTGGACAGCCAGAATGCGCCGGGGTAGATCACGGCCTCGCCGCTGAGCTCCAGAATGTGCTTCTGGATGGCCTCCATGACTCGGGCCAGGAACCGCTCGGACTCCTTGATAAAGCCAAGCCGCCACATCTCCGAGGTGATCAGGTTAAGAATGTGGGCGGGGAAGAGCACCTCTCGAGGCAGAAACTGGTCATCCGACGTGTGGGGGATGGGGATGTTGAGTTTGTGGATCAGACCCTCGATCACTTCATCATACAGCTCGTCGCTCTGGGACTCGAGCAGCTGCTCAATCTGGCCATTGACTCCGAGAGAAGCCATCATCTGCTCAGCGTTGGCACCGGCAGCAGCTCCCATGGCAGCACCGGCAGCAGCGCCGGCGGCAGAAGGTCGGGGAGTGAAAGCAGCAGCACCGTCAACGATGCCAGCAGAGGTGAGAGATCGACGCTTGATGTTTCGTCGCTTGGCGTTCATTGCTGTGCCAGGAGTGCCTCGAACAGGAGACACTGAGGCCATATCAGAGGCAACCACGCCGTTCTGCTTGAGTTTCTCAATCTCGTGCTTGGCCTGCTCCAGCTGCTCGCTCAGAGATTTGTTGGTGTCAATGTGCACGTTGGTGGCCTCAATCTTGTCAGCGACTTCCTTGGTCTTGGCCTCGAGCTCCTGCTTCAGAGCAGCGTTGGCGTCCTCCAGCTCGGTCAGCTGCGCAACGGACGCCTGGTATTGCTTATCCAACGCAGCCAGCTTCAGCTCCATGGTTTGAACCTCCTCCTGGTGGGCTCGCTCCTTCTCCTCAGCGGCATTCTCCAGCTCCTCGACCCGAGAAGAGTTCTCGGTGGACTTGGCGGTGGCAGCAGCAGATCGGGCGTTCAGCATGTCCATCTCGGCCAGCAACTTCTTGTTCTCGTCCCGCTTGGCGGTCAGACTCTGGGTGAGCTCGACCACCTTGTTCTCCAGTCGGTACTGCACCTCCTTGAAGTGCTTCTCGGACTTGGCCTCGACCTTGAGCTGCTTGAGCTGTTGCTTGGCCTGTCGTCGTCGGATCAGCGACTGGATGAGCACAATGTTCTGCAGCTTGTTACGGTACTCCTTTCGAGCCACATATCCTCGGAAGTTTCGCTGAATGGTCAAAGCAGCACCCTTGTGGGCCACCTCCTGGATGTTTCGTCGCACAAGAACACCCCGGAAGATGGCCTGCAGCCGGACAATGCCCTCTCGCTGCTGCTTGAAGTCTCGTCGACCAGAGAAGCCTCTCCACGCAGATTGGATTTTGACAGCAGCCTGCTCCTTTCGCAGCTCCTGGAACCTCTCTCGAGCAATGTGGGCTCGGAAGAGCGTCTGGGCAGCGATAATCGACTGTCGGGTGTCGAGATACTTTTGTCGGTAGAACCGCTTTCGCACATTCTTCTGGATGACAATAGCACACTCGTTGAGCCGGTCGGATCGCAGCCGCTCCAGGTAGGCGAGCATTCCTGCTCGGAAAAAGATTTTGGTCTTTCCGAGTTGGAATTTGTCCTCCTCCTTGATGGTCTTTTCTAGAATTAGGTTGCACAGATCTCGCACCTCCATGGAGGCCCACTCAGCAGAAGGGACCAGCATGTAGTATCGGGAAATGAACTCCTCGTAGGACCATCGGGATGGGAAGCCGGCACACGAGATTCGAATGGTCTCAAGCACACCACAGGCTCGCAGCTGAGAAAGCACGATGGGGGCAGAGAACGACCAGGCGGCCTTCTCCTCATTGGGCTTGATGCACCGAATGTAGTGCACGTTGGTGGAGTTGATGGTGGTCATCAGGTCAATGAGTGAGCCCTTGAAAATTCGGCCTAAAGTAGGCTTCTTGGGGGCTCGCAGGCCAGGCTTGGTAGGAGCAGCAGGGGCATTCTCAGCAGCAATGTTGGCAGCCACATCCAGAATGTTCTTGAGGAAATCATTCTTGGTGGCCATGAGAACCTCGAGGTGCTCATCAGGCACAGCGTCACGGTTCTTCTCCACAAAGCCTTCGGCCTCATAGTTGACGTCCTGGGCGTAGTGGGCAACCACAAACGACGTGTTGCCGAACCGCGGCTTCTTGAAATGCTTGTTCTGCGGATTATCTAGCTGCTGGTACAGCTTGGTGCACCAGCCATCGTCGCTACCGGCGGGGAGACGCGACTCCTCGTCAAGCAGAGAGAGGATACCCAGCTTTGCCTCGATCAGGTCGATACAAGGCTGGTTGTCGGAAAAGTCAATGAAGGTCCAGTTGATTTCCTCCTGCACGTACTCGTCCTGCTCGAGCTTGAACACGTGCTGGTTGAATTCCTGTTGCAGCTTTTCGTTGGCGTAGTTGATGCAGAACTGTTCAAACGAGTTCTTCTTGAAGTGCTCGAAACCAAAAATATCCAGTACACCAATGAAGGTCTCGACCTGTTCCTGCACTTTGGGGTCGCACAGGCCGCCATTGAGCTCGCTGACCAGCCAGTCGAACAGTGACGTGTAAATGTGCTTGGACACGGAGTCACGCACCACCAACGACTGCTTGTGAGTCTGGTTGGACACGATCTTGTCGGCTCGCGTCACAATCTGTTTCTTGGTGATCCATTTGGCAAACTGGACAGGGTCAATCTGCAGCAGCTCACAAGCCTTGATAAGAGAGGGCTCGTCGGATGACAGAACCGCGTCCTGACGGGTCTGGCCAATTTCAATGTTACCAATGTGCAGAATACCAGCCAGAATGTTCCACAGGCTCTCTTGCTCGGGTTTGGCGATGCCAATAGTCTCGAGAGACGCACCGGTCAGCTTGAATTCCTCGCTGTCGTCCACGCCTTCAATGGTATCATTACCTCCTTGGTTGAGGTATCGAAAGGCCGGAACACCTCCCTCGACACCTAGAGCCTTGGCAAGCTCGGGAGAGGCACCCTTGACCAGCTGGTAAAAGATGTGGTAGTTTCGCTCTGTGGCAGGCTGGAACACGAGACGAGATCGCTCCAGCAAGAAGGTTCGGATTCGAGCACCCACAATGTCCACGTCCTTGTTGAAGTTGATCTCCAGATATTTGCCGAACCGCGACGAGTTGTCGTTTCGGGTGGTCTTGGCGTTACCAAAGGCCTCCATGATGGGGTTGGTGGCGAGAATCTGCTCCTCGACGTGGGACAGTGAGTCACCTTGTGACACGTCGCGTTTTCGTGGTGCTAGCGGATCCTCCACTGTGGCAAAGTACCGCATAATGTACTTTGCAGACACGGTCTTTCCTGCTCCGGACTCTCCTGACACCACAATGGTCTGGTCCTTCTTGTCTCGCAGCATGCATCGGTAGGCGTCCTCGGCAATGGCGAACAGATGGGGCTCAAGCTCACCACGGGTCTTGCCGGCGTAGGCCTGGATAATGTCGGGGGTGTAGAGGTTGTCGACCCGCTGAAAAGGGTTGGTGGCAATAAGCACGATTCCCGAGTAGGTGTAAATGTTGAGCATCTGGTATCGGGTTCGGATCGCGTGCAGCACACTGGGCTCATTGAGATAGGACAGGGAAGTCAAGTCTTCGGTGGACTCCAGAATGGGGGGGTTTCGCAGGGGGAGCTGAGGGACCTCGGCTGACGACTTGAGCACAGATACGGAGGTCTCTACCGACTTTTCCTCGCCGTTCTCCAGTGTCAGGTTGATGGTCACCTTCTCACCATCCGTCTTCTGGTCGACCACCTCGGCACCCACCCATCCTTCTTTTTCGTCTCGGATCCAGCAGCGGCTGTGTTAGCAGTTGTGTAATTAGGGGTTTATCACGAGATTTTGACAGTCGTATGAAACGCCGAAAAAACGCGAAACCAGCTTTTTCGGCGTGGTATTGCCGGTTCATCCTCCCCTTCTCGTCATACTCACATTCCGGGCTCGTAACTGATGGCCATGAGCGCGTCGATCCGTGTGGATAGTGGTGTGGTGGTGTGGTGGTGTGGTGTTTGTGTGTTGAATTAATAAGCCTATTGCACGACGTGTGGACGGGGGAAAACACGTGTGGGCTTGTGTCGTAGGAAGAAGCGCAAAGGAATTTGAACCAAGTGTGGTCGGTAGCGTAGTTGCAAAATGTTACTCAAGATAGATAACACCCGATACTAAACACCCTTCTCCTGTTTGATGTGTTGGAAGGAAAGTCAAACTCTGTGTGCTAGTGCTAACCTGCAAGTAACCGTGCTCAGCGAAACACAAGACAGCAGCAGCAGCAGCAGCAGCAGCTGTCCAGGTGGCACCTAAGCGGGAGCTAATGGCGCCAAATCTAGCATGTTCATTCTAACTCCCCAATTCTGATAGGTGTTTGTTTCATGGAGCGACGCGGTAGGTCCGTTGTGGCAATCTTCAAAGAAATATCTCCAGTAAATAGCCGACTATTGACAATAAAAAAAAAAAAATCAGTCACTACTCTGTGCAAACATACAATACAACTCAACTATGTCCGTGTAATTGTTTCTCGCTGGCACGTGTCATTATTATTATTTCCAGTACTTGTCCTCGTGGGCCCCCGTGATTCACCTCCCCCGTATGTACTCGTACCGGTACTACGTGTCCAAAATAATGCGCCCCTGCACACATTCCGAAAGAAGGGGTTGAAACACCTGTGACCGGTAAACGAAGCGAAATTGAAGTGAGAAATGAGTAAATAAAGGCCGCGCTGAAACGGGCGAAATTGAGGGAAATTAATGGGCCCAAAAGACTAGAACAATAGGGCCGACAAGTTGACAGCATACTACTTGTTTAATCGATAACACTCCCTCCTACCGCGTTCACAGCACCTGACGGGACCCCTGAGACTCCCGAAAAACACGCATTCTTGAGCTGCAGTACGCACCGTTAAAATGCGTATGGCTTAAGCTAAAAACAGGGGGCTCAGGGGCTCAACATGTGACATGGTGCCTCTGGTCGATCGCCGAAAACAGAGAAAAACACAGAGCCGTTCTGAGACGGCATGAACAATCATCTGAGACCGTACTGTTATTATTTTAGCCTGTCACCAAGGGCTGGCATGTGAAAAGCTAAACTGTTGCCGGGGTGACACCTTCTACACAACGCGACAGTCTCTAGCATTAGCCTTTTTAGGTCACGTGCCAAATAAACGAAAGAGGACACAAAGGTTAGGGGTCACCTTGGGACTGTTAATTAGTGCTTATTAATCGAAAGAATGAGGTGCTTATTAAGCATGGCCCACTACAGACAAATATGAAATGTCAATTCATGCATAAATTATCGTTGTTATCTAAAACCGTGTCTACTCCGTTCGCTGTTCGCTGAGAGCAGTCTTCTTCTTCTCCAGAACCTCCAAGGAGTGCTGATGAACGTTGTGAAGCACGAGTCCGAGGCCAGCCCAGGCCACACCGGAGAAAACGTATCCGAGAGGGTAGTAGCCGGCAGGCTTGAGTCGGATCTTGTTGGAAAGGAACTTGGTAGCGAATCCTGAGTTAGTATGTGATGTGTGCGAAGATATCTGATAGCATGATTGGTATCTGGTGTGCAGTCCATATCAGAACCGAATTGAAGACGATCTGAGATCACCGCTTGATTCATCATAAGCAATGCAGTTGATCCGTGCCAACAACCACTCCAATTCCAGTCAAGATTGGTCAAACATGTCTAGAACCCTTTGTGTCACTTGCAAGTCGATGGTTAAGACACAAAAACATGTCGTCGAAGCAGCGGAAATTGTCGGTGGACAATCTCGTCGCGCATTGCGATACTCACCAAGACCGGATGCACCGACTAGCGAAGTAAACAGAGCCATTTTTGCGGTATTGGTGTGTGCTCCAGAGATGACTTTGGTGATGCAATATGATTTTGGAGGTTGCAATTTGCGGTGCTGTGATTCGTTGGGAAAGCCGGGTAACTTTAAAATGATCTTGGTAGTTGTCAGTTCGAGTTGTGGTTGCAACATATTTAAACCCCCGAATGAAATCTGGAACCCTAATATATGCAAAAAAATCTAGTCTGATGACTATAACTGGAGATATCATCAAACCACCACAGCTCTCACGCCATGTCAGAACTTACACCCGCTCAGCTTAAGGCACAGAAGAAGGCCGCCAAGGCCGCCAAGCGTGCGGCTTCCAAGGAGGCATCGGGCCAGGCTCCTACTCGAGATCCACGAGAGGCCAAGAAGGAACAGCAACAGGCCGCAGCCAAGGAGGGAGGCTCATCTTCAAACACCGGAAACAACAGCAATAACACACAAGGCGGAAGCAATCAATCGTCCGCCTCTGCATCGTCCAAGGAGGATCGAACCCGGGCTTCCAGACCCGCTTTGTTTGGGCACCTTGAGAAGGCAGGAAAGGTGACTGCAGCGGATGCTGGCAAGGACGTGCATCCCGAGGTGATCACCTTGGCACTCCGGTACTCGTCGTATCAGATTGTGGGCTCTTCTGACCGAGCCCGAACTCTTCTGCAGGCCTTCCAGCGGGTTATTGCTGACTACGAGACTCCCGAGGGAACTACACTGTCTCGAAACCTCACTACACATCTTGGTCACCAGATTGATTTTGTCATTTCTGCACGACCGTTGTCTGTGTCCATGGGTAATGCCATTCGGTGGCTCAAGCAGGAAATTTCTGTGGTGAGCATTGACATGTCCGATCAGGCTGCCAAAGACATGCTGGTGGAGAAGATTGACGAGTACATCAAGGAGAAGATCGATGTGAGTGGATCCGTCATCGTGGAGAGCGCCGTCAACGACATTGCCGACGGTGACACCGTCCTCACTTTTGCACATTCCGAGGTGGTGGAGAACACCTTCATTGCTGCTCACCAGGCCGGTAAGCGGTTCAAGATCATTGTGGTCGACTCCCGACCTCTGCATGAGGGCCGAAAGCTGGCTCGAGATCTGTCTGCCCGGGGCATTGAGTGCATCTACATTCTGGTTTCGGCACTGGCTCATGTTCTGGACGACGTTTCTCGAGTCTTTCTGGGAGCCCATGCCATGCTTTCTAACGGCGCTCTGCTTTCGCGTGTCGGCTCTGCCCTCATCGCCACTGCTGCCAAGCGAAAGAACATCCCCGTGATCGTCCTATGCGAGTCCATGAAGTTCTCTGACCGAGTCCAGCTCGATTCTGTCACTCTCAACGAGCTGGCCTTCCCCGAAATGCTGGCAAACACCTACATCAGTGACAAGAAGAAGCTTCCTGAAGACAAGGCCAAGACCTCGCTCAAGTACCTCAATCTGTGCTACGATCTGACTCCTGCCGCAAATCTCACCAAGATTATCACCGAGCTGGGTCATCTGCCTCCCTCGGCCGTTCCCGTCATCATGCGAGAATACAAGTCCGCTTACACTATGTAGGGGAGGAGGTTAAGAGAGGTATTTGTAAGATAGAGGAACGACAAGGGGGGACTAAAATATAGACAATAAACAGTACGTTAATGGGGTTCGTGTGATATTGATGTATGTACAGTACATACTAAAGGTAGCATATGCAGTTTTTGCCAATGAGTCGTCGTGTCATGACGACACTCGCATAGACCTTTAGACGATTAACGACTTGTAATCCGTGTACAGGTATGTACGGCACCAGTATATATCTACGATATTGCAGCCGTGAGAGATTTATTTGACTTCATATCTGAACAGTTGTAGTTACTGACAGTGTTACTCCCTCGTACCAGTGCCGGTATGTAGTCTTATGAGTATGCACACACACCCGTGTTCGAGACCATGTATTAGCTAAAACAGTGTCTCGGATACACGAGATAAGAACAGTTGTATCACACACAAGACGGGCAAGAGTCGTCTTTACTCCTTAACTAATGCCCTTGTTCTGAAGTTTGAACATACTGTCCACCTACAGGCACGCCTTAGGCAAGAAAATCACTTACACTGTGTCGAATATGTACATTAAATAGAGATGCTAGATGAGGGTTTTGCTGGATCTGTGTTAGTATGTTGAAGATGTGTAGAAATATAGTTGTTTGAATGCAACGAGGAACTGCCTCAAGTCGTATATAAATGTCTGGTCGCTTCTAATAGCTCGAGGTGCTATTTCAGGTAACAGAGGAGGAATTCCGACGGCTTGGCGAAGACTAGAATCCAACATGTCCGTGTCTAGACTTGGGTTGCTTATTCAAGACGCCACTCAAGATTAGAGAATGATTGTCAAAAGAGCATCTTAAATAGAAAAGGATAGAATGAGCAAAGACTTCATTTTTTGTCCAAACGGGCACTTCTGCTCACAAAATAGCTCTCGCCTGTCCCAGTTAGCTCTCCAGCTTCGTTACTCTGTTCAAGAGCAACCATATCATACTCACTTCTCATTCAGCTTGACGCAAAAGGTTCGAATCAAACGGGGGTCAGCCTGGACAGCTCGCATGATTTCGCCCTGGGCTCCGGGAGAACAGTCGAACTTCATGTAGAAGTAGTCGCCGACCACGTAGCTCTTCTGCTGGGCCTTCATGATCTGGGGCAGGGGCTTGAATCGCCAGCACTCAATGAGGCGGACCACGCCTCTGTTGCCGATGATCATTCGGCCGATCTGGGTGACGGCCTGCTTGGCGGCCGCGTGTGCCGGAGTCACCGATGCGATTCCAACGAGTTCGTAGAGCATTTCGAGTCTGTTGTGTAGAGGGGTAGTTGGGATGCGATGACGTCGTGTGAGAGATGAAGGTTGAAAATGTTACTGGATGCTGCAACCTTATTTTGGCACTCTGAACATGGTCGGTCTGTCAGTACAATACGTGAGTAATTAAGAGCACTTTAATATCGAGCCGAAATAGGTAGGTCGGATATATGAACAATAAAGGAAATTTACCTGAGGGGTCTGGTTGCTCTCAAAGTGGATAAAATATATGACTGCGTTCATGTAAGCCAGATGCTGCTAACATTCATCTCTAATTACTGCTCAGGTAAAAGTCACGTGCATTTTTTGCGTTCGGAGCATGTACCAGTATCAAGTATGTACTGTACATACCTGGAAATGACCTGTGGGTGCAACATCTCGGACAAGTACCATACCGGCAGGTATTGTAGCTTGCTCTGAGAGAGTCGCTGTATGTAATATCACTGACTACAGTATTACGGGCAGATGGCGTTTTAACCTGTTTTAACCTGTTTTAACCTGTTTTAACCTACAGTAGGAAGAGCATTGATGGCCTGTCACATTTCTCGAGACCACAGTCCTGGTTAATGATGATTATTTGATGGGGTCTATTGATAAATGGTATCTTGCAAGAGCTATGAGTGCTTCTGGGATTGTTTCCATTTTTGTGCAGCTAACAGACATTAGTTAAATGATATTGATGATGTCCTGGCTTTCAAATTTTACCCAAGTAATCAGCCAACTAAGACACTTACCTAAGTGCCTGGAAAACGGTGATATCTCGAGATACTGTAATAGTACAAGTATTAGGAACGGCGCTGGAGAAAGAAAGAAAAAGTCTACCTCTCCTGTATATCATTTGAGAAGATATGGATTCTCGATCAACCGACACACGTCTGTACTTGTAGAATATCTGTCAACTATTTCTCAGCCACTCGACTACTCGTGTGTACATACTGTAGATGCCTGTTTGTAGCCAAATTTCGTACTGTCCCCTATTCAGACGGTCGCCTGAAAGCTGCTTCCATAGTATCCTCTGATGAAGCACCGAGCCTGCAAGTTGTGCACATAAGTACGCATCAGACCCATGTGCGGCTGAATCATTGGTTGTGTGGGGTGAATTGGACCGTGGTTCCAGTCTAGGGATGGCCCTTCAGGAGCAATGACAGATCACAGAAGGGGCCCAAGTATTCGATTTCTCGAAGCTCAAGTCGGCTTCTATCATGTCACCCGCGTCAACTGTACTCAGTGTTATCGTGTTCTCAGCACTGAGTCTGACAGGCAGCTGAGTACGCAGTTGCAACTACTGCACATTATCGTATCTCGTTAAGGCGGCTGTCTCAATAGTCCAAGGTTTAGTTGCCGGCCTAGAACAGCTCGAGTTTGTGAGCAACTGTGTGGTGTATATAGAGTCTAGGGTGGTCGGGAATTGTTCTCGTCTATATTGATTCTCATTCTTGTGATTCATTATTCACCCACATTTATCAGATCACCCCCACAGTTCTCTCTACTTCACTTACCCTACCTTCACTGAGTCAAACCGAGTCACCCCAATCCACCTAACTTAACTGTGGCCTACCCCAGACAACATATCGTTCCACCACCACAACTACACTCACAAAAACACACACAATGCTTCGAACTCTGGCCCGATCTTCCCTCCGATTCGCTCCCCGAGCCACCATGGCTCCTACAATGGCTCCTCTGACCATGATGCGACTCAACCACACCCTCATCAAGGGCTCCATTCCCGACAAGTACTCCAACAAGTACACCCTCAAGTTCACCGAGGATCACGACTGGGTTGCCTTCCACGAGGACGGCGTTGCCTTCATTGGTATCACCAAGTACGCTGCTGAGGCCCTTGGAGATGCCACTTTCGTTGAGGTTGAGGAGGCCGGTAACGAGATCGAGAAGGACGATGCTTTTGGAAACGTCGAGTCCGTCAAGGCTACCAACGACATCATTGCTCCCTTCGACTTCGAGGTGGTCGAGTCTAACTTTGACGTTGCCGACACTCCCTCTCTCATCAACAAGGAGCCCAACGGAAACGGTTACCTCGCCAAGGTCAAGCCCATCGAGGGTGCCGAGGAGACTGAGGGTCTGCTCACTGCCGAGGAGTACGATGAGTTCCTCAAGAACGCCCACTAATCGCTGTGAACATTTTACAGATACTTAGCCCGAATATATAGAGTAATACGCAGGTTGTGATCTAAGCCTGTTCCCGGCTATCGTGTTTGATTTTTTCTTTTGTGTCTACATCACAGAAGTGAGCAAAGTGCAGAATTTGTAAGCCCACTGCAACCGTCGTCTCGCCGGTACGAGGCAGTATGCAAGTACTGTACGCTACAAGTAGAACTATCTTCTTTGAGCACGTTTTCCTATAGCAAAGTAAGAAAATGTAAGGGGAGGTGCATGGTGAGGCCGCAGTCTAATGTCGGTATATGTCCGAGGGCACACATGACTTGGCGAACCAGGCCCGTAACGCTCGTACCTGCAATGCAGCGAAAATATACTGTCTCAGGAACGAGGATACGGCATCCGTGAGCGAGCAGCAGCAAAAGCAATTGCAATTGCATAAATCTCTACTCTCGAGGTGGTCCACTAAGAGTCCATCTTTATCAAGTTTGCTTGGCGAGCTATAGGTTTAACCTCATACCCGTTGGATAGTTGCTAAAAGGTCCCAAAAGTGAGCCCCCCACGACGTTCTGGCTAGCAATCTTTCAAAGTCAAAACGCCAACGTCTGAGCGGTGTTGTATCGATCTAACGGGATCTAACGGGATCTAGGGTTGTATCAGACAATCTCCATGGCTATGGACACGCCAGTTGAGATCTCTGAAATTAGGTAAGGTCAGAAATGCCTTTCTCCCCACATCACTGGATCCTGTCTCACATTCTCCACTGCCCCGGCGGGTTCCTTTCCTCCATCTCTCCTGCACAGCAACCTTGGGGGGAAACTCTGAAGGTAGTATAAAATCTCGAGCTAGGTCGTGTTGGATTCGGATCTCTCTGTACAGGTAATTCCTCTGCACACAATGCTCCGACGAATCACTCTCAACCAGTTTAAGGGCGGCCTGCGACGGCTGTCCACCCTTACCCCCGTCAAGAACGAACCTCTGACCCTGCCCAACGGCGCCAAGTACGAGCAGCCCGTCGGTCTCTTCATCAACGGCGAGTTCGTCAAGTCTCAGTCCGGAAAGCGATTCGAGACCGAGAACCCCACCACCGAGACCCCCATCATCTCCGTTTACGAGGCTGGTGAGGCTGATGCCAACGCAGCTGTCGAGGCTGCCAAGAATGCCTTCAAGAACTGGGGCTTCAAGACCGCTCCTTCCGAGCGAGGAGTCCTGCTCAACAAGCTCGCTGATCTCATTGAGCGAGATCTCGACCTCATTTCTGCCATTGAGACCACCGACAACGGTAAGGTCTTTGCCCAGGCCCAGGGTGACGTCGCCCTCGTCGTCAAGGTGCTCCGATACTACGCTGGATTTGCCGACAAGATTGGCGGCGACCTCGTCCAGACCAACGACGGCTTCTTCAACTACACCCGAAAGGAGCCTCTCGGAGTGTGTGGCCAGATCATCCCCTGGAACTTCCCTCTGCTCATGTGGGCCTGGAAGATTGCCCCCGCTCTGACCACTGGTAACACCGTGGTTCTTAAGACCGCCGAGTCCACCCCTCTGTCCGCCCTGTACGCCTGTAAGCTCTCCCAGGAGGCTGGCTTCCCCAAGGGTGTTCTCAACGTTGTGTCCGGTTATGGCCCCGTTGGAGGCGTTCTGTCCGCCCACCCCGACATCAAGAAGATTGCTTTCACCGGCTCCACCGCCACTGGTAAGCAGGTTGCTAAGACCGCCCTGACCTCCAACCTCAAGAAGACCACCATGGAGCTCGGTGGTAAGTCCCCCAACATTATCTTCGACGACGCCAACCTCGAGGACGCTCTTTCTGCCGCCGCTCTCGGTATCTTCTTCAACTCCGGAGAGGTCTGCTGCGCCGGCTCTCGACTCTTTGTCCAAGCCGGTGTCTACGACCAGGTTGTCGAGGCCTTCAAGAAGAAGGCTGAGTCCGTCAAGGTCGGTGATCCCTTCGACCCCAACTCTCTCCAGGGTCCCCAGCAGAACAAGAACCAGTTCAAGAAGATTCTGGGATACATTGAGCAGGGCCAGAAGGAGGGCGCCCATCTCCTGTGTGGAGGATCTGCCCAGGCCGGTCCTAACAAGGGATACTTCATCCAGCCCACCGTTTTCACCGACGTGAACAACGATATGTCCATTGTGCGAGAGGAGATTTTCGGCCCCGTCCTGACCATCACCAAGTTCAACACCGTTGACGAAGTGATTGACATGGCCAACGACTCCGAGTACGGTCTTGCCGCTGGTATCCACACCACTGATATCAACAAGGCCCACTATGTTGCTGAGAACATTGCCTCCGGTACCATCTGGGTCAACTGCTACAACGCCTTCCACGAGGCCGTTCCCTTTGGAGGATACAAGCAGTCTGGTTTCGGTAAGGAGATGGGTCGAGATGGTCTTGAGAACTACCTCCAGACCAAGGCAGTTCGAGTCAAGCTTGATGAGCGAAAGTGGGCTGACAAGCAGTGATTTGCTTTTTGCCTAAAGTATAGATGATAAGATAGATCAACGAACAACGAGCGTACGTGTAAAATGCGAGGACAGTACCAAGTAGAGCATGTACAAGTACAGTATGGTATGTACATACTGTACTTGTACTCGTAAAACATATGGAACGCCGTCTTGGGCGCAAATGATCTGAAAGCGTATGAACAACTGCCGTTTCAAGGTATCACCTGTCACCAAACTGAGTTGCGCACTTAAAATACAAATCTCTAAACCCATTAGCGTGTACAGTAGGACACAACTACAATGTAGCGTGAAGGGGTATCGACGATAAGCTCTCGTACCGCTGGTAGCGTGTATCGGTCATGTGACTAGTGTCGGGTATAGCAACGTGGTGTTATCATAGTTGTGGGCCGCAGGTTGTGTTGTGAGGATGAGTGTGACGGCTAAGAGGTGTGGTTCTGAAAGGGAGGACAACAGTTGCTTCATGACTTCCGAAAATACGCCGAAGAATGCCGACTCTCCAGTTGCATGCAGGGTTAGGTGCGTGTGAAAATCCGGGGTACTGCAGGTAGAGCGTCCTGCTGTGTGTCTTCCGAGCCGGATATCTGTCAGCTTCATTTCTTAGCTGAGTAGCAAATGTAACGTATGAATGGTCAAGAGGCACCAAAATCCCCATGCAGCATGTTGTGTACGCACAGCAATATGCTGGCATGCACATGACTACCCCACATCCAATATCCTGTAACACACCTCCTCAGCACATACGATACCTACTTTGTTTGCAGACGTTAACAGATATCGACTCCCGTTTCACTGCTATTATCGCTGTTAACGGCATCTCGACCGCGATAGATCGCTTGCTCTGACTCGCCATGCGACCGTTCACAACTCTCGTCCTCTTGCTCCTTCTAATAACACAAACATGTGCCATCTCGGAAGCCACCTACGAGTTGCTACAGTTCCACTCCCAGCTGTCAGACATTGCATACTGCGTACAAACGATGCGTGGTCCGACACAGCTCAGGCATCCTTTCAAATGTGGAGTCCAGTGCAGAAAGACGCAGTTTGAAGGGCTTGAGGTGGTCCATACGTTTGTGCACAAGCCAGCCAGACCAGCCCTCACAGGATACATGGCCGTGGATCACACAAACCAGACCAAATACGTGGTGTTTCGTGGCACAAACTCGCTGGAAGACTCAATGCTGGATTTGTCTTTTGGCTACGAACCAACCGCTAGCCCGTCTTTCCTGAACGATACTTGTCCCGAGTGCAAAGTTCAGAGAGCGATCTTGGAGGCCTACGACGCATTCTGGGCAGAAAACTGTGACCAACTTTCGGACTTTCTGTACGAAGATTATCCCCATTACTCACTCTCTCTGACAGGACATTCATTGGGAGGGGTGGCAGCGGCGCTCCTGGCCACAGATATCAAATTGCAGGGCCTGGATCCACTTCTCATAAACTTTGGCCAACCGCAATACGCGAACTTGGCTTATGCACAGTTGGTGGACTCTTTGTTCTTCCCACAGACAGACAAGGAGGTCATCGATCCACTTTATGACTCCCCACAACGGCGTCTATACAGAGTGACGCATTGGAACGACCTCTTTGTCTCGCTTCCAGGACAACGTGGCTTTTTCCACTCCCTGGGTGAAGTGTATATCTCCTACCCATGGGTGAAGCCCCCCAGACGAACGATACGATACTGTGAGGGGCCCCAGTCTGAGTATTGTCATGGAGGCGACTACAATCCGCTTGAGCGAGCAAACTTCCTCAAAAATCACCTGGCCTATTTCGGATGGATAGGTTATTGCCCTTATCTGTAAATTACTGTATAACAAACTAATTCATACCTCCCCACGCTGGGTTTAATTTCGCCATGATCTGCAGAACGACGACATACGGATAGCGGCAGCCAAACCACATTTTAATTTGAGTGTGTCATTCAATTCTAGCTTCCCTCGTTTGTGCGTACTTGTGGTGATTAAAACGGAGTCTGTTCTGCTGATAGATAGCTGGTAGCTCTGATAGTTGCTACTTGTAGTGACTCTTAGCTAGCAGGGAAAAAGGGCACTTGAGATGCAAAACCCCTGGTAGCACTAGGCGATCAACAACACTTTACGCTGACATGGGTGCATATATCCATATCCACCTGTTCTCGGCCAATTACCCCACCAAGTCGGAGTCCGTGATCAATACGTCAGTTCCCTTGAACGTGTGGATCTCACACGGCACCAGGCGACCAGGTGCAGTGCCGTGCATTGATAACGACAAAGGGCTGCCGAAGTTTGGCCCTGCCAAGCTCCTGCAAGATGCCGCTAGCGAACTTTGTTGGTCCGGTGGAGATAACGGTGTTAGGCCGTCAGCGAGCAGTAATATATATAGCGGGTGAATTGTAGTTGATCCGCCTTCTACGTTGAACAGAAAACTCCGGTCTTGAACCATGCCCCAGAAAAATACCGACCATTCTGAAGTGGAGGAACTTCAAGGCAATGTGGAGGAGGTGCAATATGATGTCCCAGAACTCCATATCCCAACCACCAACGAGCTCCTGGACTCCACAGAGCCCTTCCAGATATACTATCATTATGCAGCCATGCAGAGAGCTCGCGAGGACGCTCTTCCTGGATCCAGATTCAGATCAATCTTCAGCAAGTACACTAGAAAGACCGACGAGAAGCAGTCGGAGAGTGACCCTTGTTACGACACTCCCTCGGACGACGGTACTGGTGTCAGTGACGTTGATCCGGAAAAGCACGCTGCTCAATCTTCTGGCGGAATCATCAGCCAGATTCCTGGAGCCAGTCAGGAGCTCGCCATTGCCAACATGTCAGCTCGAACAGCAACGTGGATGTCTGTCTTCTTTCTGACCACAACCGACATTCTAGGTCCCTCTTCAGCCCCTTGGGCCATTTCACAGCTGGGCTGGTTCCCGGGTGTCATGCTGTTTACCGTCCTCGGTGTCGCTGCCGTCTACACTGGATGGCTCATCTACAAAATGTTCTTGAAACTTGACTCCCCAGAGTTCCCCATGAAAACCTTTGGAGACCTGGCTCTGAGAGTCTATGGTAAAGGCTTCCGTTGGGGAGTCGATATCCTTCAGAGTCTGCAACTTTTGTGTAACGTCGCTGTTATTATCCTCGGAAATGGCCAGGGTTTGTCCCAGATCTACAGTCCTCTCTGCTTCTCTGTCTGGTGTATCATTTTCATGGTTGCCGGTATTTTGCTTGGCCAGATCAAACGACTTTCCAACTTTTCATACGTGGCCAACGCCGCCATCTGGATGAACCTCTTTGTTGTCTTTGCGACCATGGGTATCGCTGCCACCAAGCCTCCTAATTACGTCGGTGGAGCTCAGCAGAACAACCTGCCAAACTCCACTGACCCTGTGAGAACCAAGGCCATCGAGGAATACGCCTTCCAGGACCAGTTGGGCGCTGTCATGAACATTGTGTACTCGTACGGAGGAGCCATGGTGTTTGTGGAGTTTCTTTCTGAGATGCGAAAGCCCCGAGAGTTCCTCAAAGGTATGCTGTCTGCCCAGGGAGTCATTTTTGTCTGCTATTTGCTCTATGGTCTGCTGGTCTACGCCTACCAGGGCCAGTACACCGTTAACCCTGGTAACCAGGGTCTGGGGTCGCACAATTGGCAGATTGCAGTGAACGTCATCAGTGTGGTGTCTTCTTTGATTGCTGCTGGCCTATATGGTAACGTTGGTATCAAGGTGGTGTACATTACTTTGATCCGACGGGCCATTCCTGCTCTTCCGGGACTTGACGACGGAATTAAGGGTCGAATTGCCTGGGCCCTCATGGTATTCATCTACTGGGCGGTTGCCTTTGTGATTGCTTCGGCCATCCCTCAGTTCTCGTCTCTTACCTCACTGGTAGGAGCTGCCTGTATTCTCCAGTTCTCCTACACCTTCCCCCCTTTCATGTACATGGGCTTGACTATTCGAGAGGAGGCCAGTAAGCTGGATACCGTCGACCTAGAAACCCGAACGGTGATCAAGTACGACTCGTGGAGAAGCATGGCAAGATGGAAGCGGGGTATCATGTCTCGACCTTGGTGGGTTCTGGTCAACTTTGTTTTGTTCCTGGCGTCCCTGGCCACCGCCATTCTCGGTATTTATTCGTCCATCTACTCGCTGGTGGAGGCTTTTGATGCCCCAGGAGCAGCCACCGTTTCTTTCGGTTGCAAGCCTCCAGTTGCATAGCCTACTGGCGACCAATTAAGTATAGCTTCTCTGTATGTAATAACAACTTTTGTGTGATCAAAAACACCGTATTGTGATGGAAAAAATCTCTGTGCTAACCCGTAGGCAGCCCCTCGGTTGTTTGTATTGTCCGTAGCCGACTCATTGTTCTGAAATGGACCGCACAGATGCACCTCAGCATGGCTGTGTTTTGTTCGTCTGCAGGTGGTTGGGGGGATTGAAATTTTAGTACTTGCACTGAAACAGCTTTTTTTTCGACGCAGAAAGTCGACAGTGGCTAAAATATGAGGTTGTGTGTCCCCTTATGGGGTCCTTTTGTACCTATCATCACTTTTCGTCAAGCTGTCACTTCTTGTACACTCATCTCCTTATCCCCGAAAGCCGAAACATTCCAACCTTATGTTGAATACACCTTGGCAGCTACATCTCCTCCGTTGTTAGCACCCAGTACAAAGACCTGATGCCTTTCTGCCAAGAGATATCGTCTCCACAGCCACATTGGCTCCATTTATATATATAATACTGGGGACCCACGTCATGTGCTTCATCAGCCAAAAATGTTGTTTACACCCTCCCCGTCGACATGTTGGGATCCAGCTATTAACCCGTTATCGGTGTTTAATTTTATAGCCGAGCAAAGACAATGAAGACGGTCATGACGACAACGGCGACAACGACGGAGTCCGAACAAGAAATTTCACCCAACCAGACAACGTCCAAAATCGACAGAATCGACCACGACAAATGGCCAACCACAAGCCAAACAATGACCACGTGTCTTCAGTGGTACGAAGCCCCTCCTATTCCACGACACCTACCAGTACGTTTGCTAGTGGCCAATTATTACCTGTCATACCCTCCCTCAAATTACCCTACAGTTGAGATAAGATTGAGATACGGACTAAAATGGATACCAAAAACCAAGATTGCTGAGGCTGAGTCTGAGTCTGACTAAGCAACATGGGCACAGACAGATTTTCTGCTGCCGGGGCTGGAAGACACATAATTACCTAGTGACTGTCTCAGCGTTTATCCCCATTTCTAAAAACTGATAATATGAAACTCTGCAAGCGTGGCGGAGCACCCCAAGACACTAAAGCGGAGATGGTTCGCAGTACAAGCCCCCTGGATTTGCCCCCGGCTATTTTTGGGCTGGCACCCGCTGGGCCTGGGATGTGGAGCCATGTTATGTTAATTCTCCCACACATATTCCGGAGATACCGCCCCTCCTGCAAAGTTCAGCCACCGCGTGCGCTAGCCCCATGGTAGGTCTCCAGGTGAGTCTCCAGACAGGTTCTAGTTCGGTGCTACTGGCTGAGGGGCTCACCTGAGTCGGCTGGTGTGTGGAAGCAGCTTAGTCATTCGTTCTTCATTGAACGTCGCCTAGCAACAAAAGCTTGTTGAGAACACAAAGCAACCCCATTCGTTTGTTTCCAGTTTCGGCCCCATTGCGGGTACCTGCTGCTCGGTTACAGTGAGCTCCTTGTTGGACGCGCGGTTCAGGGTCCACCCCTCCGATGTGGACGTGTTCCGAGGCTCCGAATTCATCACGTACTGTAGCCCCTGCAGTTAAGGTCTAGGGGCGGCGTCGTGTTGACGGGGTTGCTTGGGAATGTGGAATTTGATCGCAGAGTTTGTTTATCACACCGAATTGTAAATCCCATGACCCGAAAACAGAGAGGCTTGGTGGTTTGGTGGAGTGGAGGACGGAGGGCTGGAGCAAACATCGTCGGATTGTTGGAGGTGGTGGCGGTGGTGGTTGATTAATGTCGTGCTTCTGGTGGTCGCATTCTACGAGTCAGAGATGCTCTTCTACTGGTGAGGCACTTGTGCTGGATTGATGATTACACTTTGAGCTACGATACGGGGCTTAGAATGTTCCAAAAAAAACTCATATGCGTTCGTTGATTTCATTAAATGCTTCTATTAGTTGGGATGCTTATGCGGCGACAGGAGGGATGGGGCCATGAGATTGGACGGATCGATCCGATTCCATGGAACGCTTCTGTTTTCGTTCCTCTCGCTTTTTTGCCTTCTCCTTCGCTGCGGCGGCCCTCGATCGGGTCCACACCTCAGATATGCTGATATGAGTAACTTCTAGAACGGCTCTGACGCCGCCCAGATGATGGCATCCTGAAGGGTAGAGGAGATAGAGAGGGCCACGGAGGTTGTCGTCGGGCTTGAACTTCTCGTGGAATGCTTGCTTACCGTTAAGGGCGAGAGCCTTGCAGGTAGTCTTGTAGAGCGAGCGCGTCGACTCCTGGATGATCTTGTTCATGCCAGAGAGCTCACCCATCTCTTCTCGAGGGGCGAGGCCAAAAGTCAGGTACTCAAGGCCTTCCTCCTTAAGAATTCGGGTCGCGTTAGTAGTGAGAAATTCAGTGGTGCCCTGGCCGGCGTCTTCTCGAGCGATACAAGGCTCGATCAGATAGCCCTTGTGGCCGCCGACCTGCATCAGACAAGCCCAGGAGTTGGGCTTGCCGTCGGGACCAAGTGTGTAGAGATGTCGTGAGGTTCGCAGAGCGAAGGGGTTGAGAACGGTCGAGTAGGCCTGGGGCAGATGTCGGTCGACTCGAGATTGTCGCCAGTCGGCGTACACCTGCATGAGATCTCGCTCCAGCTGGGGGTCGATGCCGTCCTTGGGCGAGTACACATTGAGGCTGACGCCCTCCTTCTGCAGGTTTCGGTTCCATCGGTTGATGGTTCGGCCAAAACCGGGGTTGGTCTGGGGGTTGATGACGTGCTCGACACCAAACTCCATGAGGCCCCACTTTGCCTCTCGGCCATGGTCAGCCATTTCGGGGCCGGCGCCAACAATGGCGGTCTTCCAGCCCTGGGCTCGGCAGTGCTTTCGGAAGTTTTGGAAGACGCCGGGCATGTGTTCGGCGGCACAGAGAGGGTCTCCGTAGACAACGGCGACCTTTTGTGCGACCTTGAAGCAGATGACAGAGGCGTGGTCCGGAGGAATGTAGAGGGAGTATGACTTGTCGAGCATGGCGGCGTGAGTGGGTCGGCCGTGGAGCGCCAGAAGACGCTCGAGAGTCTCAGGAACGCCGTCGCACTCAATGTTGTAGACGTTGTTCATGGGGGTTTGTGGCGCAAATCCGAGCGATGTGGCCCAGCTCTTTCGTGCCGGAGGCTGGTTCTTTTGAAGTCGGGCAAACTGGGGCTCTCGAGTGGCGCCCGGTTCTCTGTTGATGGAGTACGAGTATTCCTTCTCTAGTTCATTTTCGTCATTGAGAGTCGCGGCGGAGTCGGAGGAGCCAGAGTTGGACAGACGGGGATGCTGGCCAGTCAGTGGAAGATCCTTGTCGTCGTATTCGGTGTGGCGTCGCAGGCAGCAGTTGAACCACATTGTTGTTTCTGTTGGGGATGTGTATAGATGGAGGGTGTAGAAGCGTGTGGTGGTGAGTCGATGCTGGGGGTCCTAAAAGTCAGGGGAAAGACAGGCACAGATATACAAAATGAGAATTAGGCACGGTCCGCAAAAACTAGAGCTTTGAAAACCTAGGCATATTAATTACCGGCGTTTACACCTGAGCTTGGGTCCATTTGGCTCAAACTCAGACAAAGGAAGCTGTGTTGCTGGACAAGATTAAGCCTTTGTCTCTCGGACCTCTCTAGACCGGAGCTCCAAGAATTTACTTCCACAAAATGCAATGGCAGCACGGTGATAAGAGCTAAACTATTCTAAGCCCGACAAAGTCGCCTGGCTCCAAAGACAACAAAATGCCAAGATGTTGTCTGCTCTCACCAGCCTTGGCGCTCACGAGATGGATGCCAAGAAAGCCAAACGTGCCTGATATTCGCGCAGGGCTTGTAGACACAGTAGACTGCAAGTGAAGGCTCTCCGTCCACCAGCCCTCGCACTCCACCCCTTTGACTGGCACTGCCCAGCTGAGAACCACACAATGACCCACCCATGTACCACCAAATGTTTCTTCTTATTATTGTTAAGACGTTGGTCCTCACGCGAATCAGCGTTTGCTTTTTTGTTTCCAGGCCGTCTACGCTGTCACAGAGCAGACTCCCTGGCAGAGCATGTCGCCTTTGCTTTGTCTCCAAAATTTACAAACCAAAAGTCCGCTTGTTTCCGCCTTGTTGTCCAACTCTATCAGCCAACTTTGCGTTCTTCGTCCCGGGCTTTTAGGAATTTGAGTTATTTTTCCCAGCAGAGCCTTCATTCCTGGATGGTGCCAAAAAGCACAAAATGCAAAGGCAAACCCTGGACTCAGCCCAACTAAAGGTGTATATCATTATATACCTTGGGCCTGAACCTCCCCCCGCCGCCAGCCAAAGCCAGTTTGCACATGTTACACGCATCTGCTTTATTTTTGGCTGGCTCGGTTTCGCGTCTATTTTGAATTAATACCGTGACTGGACGCTCCTCAGGGCTGACTACAGTATGGGGTGGCTTGCACAGGGACGTTGAGGATCGCAGACAAGCCCCCTTCTTCGGTCACTGGTGACAGTGCGTGAGCCAAGTGGGTTGGTGCAGGGCCAAGGGCCCGAGAAATGACGCCTGCATATAGTATGACGGTAGCGGGTCGGAGATAAAGTTCCCTTCCGGCTTAACTCCGTCGCCATGAAGCACAAACCACTGAGTAATTCCGCAGCTCCAATGTACGATAAATGTAAGAGAAGGGCCAAAAAGCTGCTCTTGAACTGCCCAAATCGTCCGAGAGGTAGCAGCCTTCTCGCAAAGTCGACTTTTCTGAACTAATACACATCCGGCTGATGAGCCGCATACCAGCCTCGCCGCAAGTGGGCGGTAATGACCATCCCAGCATATAGATGAGATATATAGGTGTGGTGGAACAATTAGTCTACTTGTAGCGTACAAGCACGAGTATGTACAAGTGCGATTAGCTGGAAGTGATGGGGTCAAATTAGTGCTACAAAGTAGTGCGGACATTTTCCGCATCTCGTGATGTTACACTGTTTCAGTCTACAAATTTGGGTGTCGTTTTGGGTGAACTTGTATTTTGGCTATTCGCGTCTTAGTTATCATTGCTGGATACACGTCCTTATGGGCTTGTGCCAGAGATACAAGGTGTGGGATTAATCGGTTCAGCCTCGACCTGAGAGAGGGATCAACTGATAATAATACTGGACGATTTTTCGGGATTAAAGCCAATTATACTTGGGATACTCACAAAAATGAAAAAATATACAATGCCAAGAAATGGGAAAAAGGGACACAAGGAACAAGCCCTTTCTCCGGGCAAATTATGCCGGAGCCAACGGCACTACATGTCTCAGGCACAGGTGGTGCACCAGTCGCCGCTCGTCTTTTTTACCAGCGTCCTAGCGCTCCGTAACGACGAATGGTCCCTTATTTGTACATTTCTCACGGTTGAAACCATCTTTGAAACAAGCCATGTCGACTCTTGATCTTAGCACGCTCTCACAGTAGGGCAGTGCTCAGAGACCAGCAGAGTTCACACCCTCCCAGGCTCAGACTCTTGACTTTTCACAGCTTATCCGCCTTTGACTTTGTGATATATAACTGGTTAGTAATCTGGCTCTTTGACTTTGCCAAGCCTCGCACTCGACCCATCGTACCTCTTTTACGCCTACAACCCAGGTGCAAGCAAACCATTCACAACGGAGCAATATTGACAGGTTTCAAATCGTGCTGACGTAAATATGCACCTCCGATGACTGCTACATTGCTAGCAGACAATAATAGGGCAATCTGGCAACCCCCATCGCGTACACAAGACGCACAAGTGGAGCCAATGTCGCATGAGGGTTGTTGAATGCACAAAATATAGGGAATGCAAGATTTTGTGTTTTATTACCCACAAGCCAGGAGTCTATAGATGGACAGACTGCCAGCGTCAGTCACGAAAAGCCTTGTGGGAAGCACGCTCTTTGTTGACCCCTACAATGTAGTCTTGCGGCGTGTACTCTCGTAGTGTACCTGAAAATTCCTGCGAGTCACTCCTGACCCTTTGGAGAATGACCCTTCGACTGACTCTTCTCCTCAAAGAGCCACTACAGGCTCAGACTGGGTTTTAGTAGTGCGAGGGTGCTAGGCCCTCTAGGCTCATGTGATTCTGTACGGTACATCACGCCATACTCATAACCCATACAATGGCTGAATATTATGTTGCGTCGACGCTCTCATAACACGGAGTAAACAAATACAAGACAGGTATCAACACACACGCCAACGCACCTCCTCCCCCAAGTATGTTCAATAATGTTAGACCTTTCAGCTGGCCCGTCCGCTTGTGGTCAAAGGTTTCTGTATTTGGCTTTGGTTAGTCTTGCCACCAAGAGGAGAGCGGGAAAAGTGCAACCTATGGGTAACCCCTCATGTTTCGCTTTCTGTCCAGGGTTTCTAGTCGCGCTGGTACCCCATGGGACTCGCTCCTCTTTGCCCCGCCCACGCACCTTCTGCCGCTCACCTCTATTATTGCTCTTTGTAGACATGTAAATAACAACCGGGCCCTATTTTGGACCACAGGACGCGAGCTGCTGGAACGCTGGTGCCACCACGGTGCCTTGGACGATCGTCAGGGACCTTGTCGTGGTCCAGCCTATCAGACGCCCCTTCTGATCTGGCTTCTGGGGGAGAAGATCCCGAAATAAGAAAGCGAAAAAGCGAAAAAATAACAAGGCGCGAAACGAAAAGTGGTCCACGCCATTGGAAGAACTATAGCGACAGGATAATATGGGCTGTTGACAACAAACGACTGGAGAGGGGACACACAAAGCTGTCGCGAGCTGCAACTCCCGTGCTTCTCTCGGCGATAGACTCCTTCGTATCTGCAAAAGTGATGGTGCCAAGACCTCTCGAGCAAACGCTTGTCAAGGGATCGGGTCAGCAGCCAAGTAATATCTCACTCGCTTCCTATATTAAAAAAAAGTCGCAATCGTTTGTCGCAGACAGTCTTGGCGCTCACCTGGACAGGTGGGGAGGGGATCCGGAACCCCATCTTGGAGGTACACGTACAAGAACTACCGCGCGCCGCACGCCGTAGAGCACCGCTGTCACAACATTAAACCCACATAATTATGCGTACTTGTACGAGGAGAGTGTGAGGCTCTCGGGGGCATAGCCGTGTGATGGAGGCGTCCATTTAGATTTGGCCAAAGCTTTACTGTCTTCTGGTGGAGTGCTCTGGTTGCTTTGTCCCCAGCAAGTGACCCCAAGACAGACACAAGTTGTTTAGCCAAGTCCGGAGTGTTGCATCGAATTGAGAGAATAACTGCGAAAACAGCCTTTGCAAGTAGGGTCGATGGTGAGCACGTCTGTCTTGATGCCTCTTGTCTTTCCGTGAAACTCCCACGCTGGTGAGATCCCCCCAAAGTCTCCACTTTTCTCGGACAACGCACGTCTCCACTTTGATCTAACAATAACACCCTCATTAGCGCTACTTAAGCAGCCACTAAAAATGGCACATTTCAGGCTAGGGGGATCCATCCCCAGATAAGTTAGATGATTATCACTCGGGCTGTGTACTCGTACTTGTATCAGGTCTTCGTCGTCTCCAGATTCCTTGTTTCATCGTCTGCTTGAAGCCGTGCGTCCAAGGTCTATGCGTCGTATGGATATACAGTATATCGATCTTGCTGCTGCGGCTCGGGGGTACGCTGACTGAATCGCATGTACCTTCCCCCATGCCGATTGGATGCAAGTTTGGACAATCATACTCAATGTCAAAGCCGTCAAAAGAGGGGTCTCACCTTGTGTGGGCAGAGGAGCCTGGCATCTGCTTTTTTCCACGTGCCGGACCTTTAAAGTGGGTCTTTAAACGAAGCTCTATCTGTAGCCTCTAATACATCAGATGTAAGTCACTCACCAGTCTACATTTGGACAAGGGCCTTCTGGACGCTGTGAACCCTTCGCTATAACACACGTGGTCCTTGTCAATCTATAGTGACTGCGCCCCCAACCTGTAACAGCAGAGAACCGTATGTACTTGTACCCGTATTATAAGTCTTCGACATTTCTTAGACATTGGCTCAGCCCCCTGGATGCTGTGCAATCCACTGGCCCCCGCGCACTTCGTCCGGTTGCCCCAGTCCGAGCTCTGAGACCATCCCTTCACAGGCTTAAATGTCTTTCGCTTATGGTGCATGCGGGCGCGGCGTGAAGTAGAAAAAGCCAGAAGCCACGGGGGATTACTTAAGAATGGTGCGGCTACACATGCTAGGGAGCGTGACGCGTTATCCCCTTGCTTGCGAGTGATGTACTGTAGTTTTAGTCACGTCCTGAGTCCGTGTGTTTGAGTCTGTATGCTATCACTGTGTTAATAATTGCTCATCTCTGGTGGAGCTTTTTACGGTGCAGCTAATATGATCCGGCACCATAGTTCCGAAGAAATGGACTTAGCCGCTTCCGGTTTCGACGAGGCTTATCTCCGCTCGGGTCGACTCTTCTTGTAGCTGGCTGGCCGTCGGTTGCTTTGACTCTCCGCCACCACCTTGCTTTTTGAGTCGCAATAACCGCTTCTGAGTTGGTGTATTTTTAGGCCCGTCAAAAATATCATCACCGTGCATCATGTAAACACCGCTCACGTGAAGGTGTCGAAATGCGCTCACAAACCGTATCGGACTTCGGAAGCACGCGGAGCGGCGTATGACAGAAATGACCAGCCCCGTCTTGGCGCTCTTGGCATTCCCGGTCGCTCCCTTCTTCTCTTTACCTCCGCTATGAACACTATACAAGTAGCTCGAAAGTGAAATGTTGCCATGGTTTGTTAAAGCCTCACAACGGCCGTATCAAGCATTTTGCATTTTGGATGAGCGATTAGAACAGCCATGTTCTAGAAGGTTTTGCAGCTGCACCTCGCAGAGTATAGGTAGCCCACTTAGCGACCACAACCAATGGAAAATTAAGATAGACGCTTTAATACAAGCAGGGGTCCCTCAAGCGAGCTGTAGCACAATCACAAGGTCAATCACAACCATCGTCACTCACAAATGCAACCAGACCTTATCTCGTCCAATAATATCTCATCCACTAACAAACATCTAACTACAAGTAGTAGTTGCTTTCTTATTTCTAATTGACGCAACTATGACGGAACTTGGCGCGCACGGCGGTACAGGACGTCTCATGTACTGAACGCTATCGACCAGCAGTCGGCACGGCGCGATGACGGAGAGGCAACGATATGACCATAGTTCAATGATCACCATATCATCGCATCCTCCTCTCTCTCGATCGATGACCAACTGTGCTTGCGGGCAAACTACAAGTAGTACGATACTATTTGGGTTAGCATTTAAACACAAAAGTGTGTCACCAGGAATTACATCAATAAAAGACCAAGCAATTGCCGGGTTCCAGTAGTTGTATTAGTCAAGCTGTACAGTAGCAACATCGGATACCATAGAAAGACTTCCGATTCCGATAGAGTCCGTTGTATGCACTGTTAGTTGCCACGACAGTTGGGTGGCGAAACCTAATATCACGTGATATAGATATCTCTTGGTAACCTCTATTTTTAGTGTTCTTTTAAATTATTCCGATATAGTGTAGGGGCTATCACATCACGCTCTCATTCTGAGAACCGTGGAGACCGGGGTTCGATTCCCCGTATCGGAGTCTTGGTTACGGCCATATCCTGGTGAAAATACGGCTTCCCGTCCGATCAGCCATAGTCAAGCACCAGAGAGCCTAGTTAGTATTGTAGTGGGAGACCATACGAGAATCCTGGGTGCTGTAATCTTTTTGCACTCTGATACTAAGAGTCCCCCTAATTTATCCTTTGCTACTGATTGATTACAGCATTCTCTTTTTGTTGCAAGTCGTTTTCCCCTCGTATGTACTGTACTGTACTTACAACCTCGGCGGTTAAGTGCAGCCCTCCCTGCTGATTTAGTGTTCACGTGACCTTCTTGGCAATCTATAGGAACTATCTTCAAGTCGGTCGCCACAGCAACCCTAATCCACCGACATCTCACCACAACAGGGCCTGACAGACCCATCACCACGACCATGCAAGTATTCGAGTGGGCTTTCGGCAAGCGGCAAACGCCTCAGGAGAAGCTGCGCAAGCACCAGCGAGCTCTGGAGCGTACGCAGCGGGAGCTGGACCGTGAGCGAGTCAAGCTCGAGGGTCAGGAGAAGAAGCTGATTGCAGATATCAAAAAGTCGGCAAAGGCGGGCCAGACAGGCGCATGCAAGGTCATGGCCAAGGACCTGGTTCGAACGCGGTCGTACATCCAGAAATTCTACCAGATGAAGACTCAGCTGCAGGCGATTTCGCTGCGTATCCAGACGGTGCGGTCCAACGAGCAAATGATGCAGAGCATGAAGGGAGCTACTCGGCTACTGCAGGGAATGAACAAATCCATGAACCTGCCCCAGCTGACCCGTATCGCCATGGAGTTTGAGCGGGAGAACGACATCATGGATCAGCGTCAGGAGATGATGGACGACTCCATCGACGACGCCATGGAGGACGACGAGGTTGAGAGTGAGGACATTGTCAACCAGGTGCTGGACGAGATTGGAATCGATCTTGGCCAGAGCATGGGCGCCGTCCCCGATGGAATCCAGGGCCAGCAGGAGCGGGTTGCTGTTGCTGAGGGAGGAGATGACGATCTCGAGGCACGACTTGGTGCCCTGAGACGGTAATCGGAGATGGCGACGCCAACAACGAGCGTGCAGGCGAGCGAACGAGCGTGCAGAATTACGGATTCTGTGTTCGCAACCCCTAACTAATATTCATATTCAATCTAGTGCATAAGCAGGAGTCGTGGTGGTGGTAGCTCTATCTATTAAAGTAGTTGCTGCTACGCGGCTGACCTGAGGGAAACCCTCTTGTATTATTTACTATACTTGAATGTATACCTTTTGTAGACCTCCTAAACGTACTTCTTGTCCTGCAGGTACTGGTAGATCTGCTTGACGGCGTCCTCAATGGAGGTCTCGTGGCTCTTGATGTGGATCTCGGGCTTCTCGGGAGCCTCGTAGGGAGCAGAGATTCCGGTGAACTCGGGGATAGTTCCAGCTCGAGCCTTCTTATACAGACCCTTGGGGTCTCGTTGCTCAGCAACCTCGATGGGGACATCAACGTAGACCTCAACGAAGGGCAGGTTGGAGGCCTCGTGGAGCTCTCGTGCGCTCTGTCGGTCCTTCTTGTAAGGAGAGATGAAAGAAGTGAGAGTCACACAGGTGGAATCGGTGAAGAGCTTGGCCACCTCGGAGATTCGTCGGATGTTTTCGTTTCGATCGGCCTCGGAGAAGCCCAGGTCCTTGTTGAGGCCGAATCGCACATTGTCTCCGTCCAGTCGGTAGGAGTTGATCTTGTTTTGGAGAAGGAACTGCTCGAGGGCAGTAGCAATTGTGGACTTGCCCGAGGCAGACAGGCCGGTGAACCACAGGGTGACTCCCTTCTGTCCCACAAGCTTGGCTCGCTCATCGTGGGTAAGTCCCTCGTGCCAGGTGATGTTGGTAGCCATTGTCTATTGTATTGTTGGTGTGTTTGTGTGTGTGTGTGTGTGTGTTTTAGATCTCGATTGAGTTGTCACAGAATTAACAGTAGAAACTTGTCACTCTTTGGTCCAGGGTCGAATTAGTCAATCGTGGGCTGTGGCTGGCTTTAGAGTTGTTCACCATATCACGTGTCAGTTCTCAACCGCACTGATTCTGCAGTATTATGCGTCTGTCTGGGGTCCGAGTTAGACTGATTGTTTAGGGAGGCCCAGGAAATAATGCGGTGACCTGAAAATGGGGGAAAAATCAAAATAATATAGAATCACACAAAGCCAACCCAAAATACCCAGACCGAGGTTGGCCTCCTCTCTTAGTACAACGCTCTCACATGGTCATCCAGCATGATTTCCTGTTACTTAGAGTTAGCTATTCAGGCCAGTGGCTGGGGAGCTGTGGCTGGACTCGCCTGCTTGACACACAAAAGGTATATAAGTATCGTTCACCAGCTGAGTCAGTGACCGGGCTACAGTAAACCTGTGAGTTCACCAGCGGAAAGCTTTTCCACAGTAGCCCACCGCTTCACAGGGCTAGAACGGCCCCCACGGAAATCATAATGAAGCTCCATCTACATGATTTCCGACATCGCATGCTAGGTCGGTATTTAACCACAAATTAGAGCACTAGAAATGCAAGATTGCACATGGTTGGTTCGTGTACGGCGTTCTTACAGGCTGCCGTTAAGCCACTTCTTTTAGGGAGCCACCACTGTACATAAGAACCTATAGAGTTGAGCAGGATATGATGCTGTACCTGAAACCTGACAGCCCCTCAATGTACGAGTAGTGCGAGAAGGAACTTAGTAGACATCGAACCCCACTCGACCTCCCCCACTCGAACTACAGTAGAGACACCCATGTCTGAGTGTTAGTTTGCCAATTTACCAAAGTTGAGACATTTGAGCCCCACAAGCGCGCGCTAGAGCAGGTGGCCTTGCTGCAGACAAATTGAACGCTATCGTCGGTGGATTTGGAATGGCTGGAGTATCGATCAGTACATAGACTAATAACGGTAAAGTGAATTGACATTATAACTGCAGAAACCCGTTGGGGTCGTATTTCACTATACGTTATCGTATATATTTTCCCGAGAGAGCCTCCATTTCTTCGGACTTGTACCTAAAAACCTCTCTTCTTGAGCAAACTCTCTTCTCCACTTTGAATTAATATGGAGATACTAACCTTCTGTGGATGATACGAAGACCTATCGGCAGCATAATTGAATGGGATCTATAGACATCATGGTTTGAAATTCCCAGACGGCACTCATTATTTGCCTTGGATACAGTTTCTTCTTCGCACATTCTTCTGAGTCAACTATCTATAACCTCGGTCGGCCTGGCTCCTACAAGCACCAAAATGTAACAGACTTCTGTTTCTAGAGTTAGCCTTAGTACAAGTCATCTGGCCAGCATACCAATGGGTAACTAGCTCTGAGCTCTCGTAGGTGCAGCCTGTCCTAATCTGGTTATGTCTGTGCAACAAACTTGAGTGTCATCGGACGAGCTCGCTAAACAAATTTAACCGCCATACCTCGCTTCTGCCGACTCGGTGGAGATTTCTGCCAGAGCTTCCAGGACAAGCTTGTGCTGTGGGAGGCTGTTCGGAGATACTTGTAAGAGGTTGGTTTCTCCGTTACGTCCGAAGGACGTCCGAGAATTACGAATCTGATTAGCCTACCAGGCTATCTTCGTCTTTACAGTCCCAGGCTACAGTGCCATCGCAGAGTCTACTGTAGGCTGGTCAGCAGGGTCGCAGAACAAGAAATGTATATGCATACCACAGGTGGGAAAGAAAAGAGAAACAGTTTCAGCTTAATGACATGAATCACGTCTCGGAGAATGTAGATACGCGATGCTGCGTCTTTACTCAAGGGTGGGCTCACATCTAATTAATGCAGGCGGTCTCTTGACATGCTTCTACAGTAAATCTCGAGGCAAGTGATATCCACAGAGTTTACAAGAAGTTACAATGATGTTTCAATAGTTGTTCCAATAGAGAGGGAACTCTTCGTATGCGAAACTGGCAGGGAAATTGCGCTCCCGACTTTCTTACAATGAAAACAAATCCTTATAGTCTTCTGAAATCTTCAAAGAGCTGTGCATCAACCCCAAAGAACGTGACTCGATGAGATGCACAGTTAAGGATCATTCCAAAGAGGCATCATGTTAATGAGACTTGTAGATTGAGAGAAAGAGATACGTGATGGCAAGCAAGAAGGTCAAGGGCAAGAAGGCCAGAGACACAGTGAGTCAGGACGTGCCCAGCTGAATGTTCAGACTCTGCTGTTGGCTGCTAGTACAGTAGAGAAGCTACAATACACTTGTGAAAATGTCGAGCTTATCAACTTCACCGCTGATGAGAGTACATACAGTAATGAGGTGAGAGTATAGAAACTAATGTGGGTGTGTGGTGTCTATAAGAAAGGAAGACTATGAACGGAAAAACGCTATCGAGCGTATGGGCCGGTAATATAATACGAACTTGAAGACACTGAATAGTTATGCAGTCCCCTGGGCTACAATTTTGCTTCGATCCACCTCGTAGAGGTGTAGTTAACTGTAGCCATATCAACATCCATACTTCAATATGTAGTCCACTTTTTCCCACGATGTTACACAAGACCAACCCCGAACAAACAAGATAAGTAATAATGGAGTCTCTTCCCTTCTTTCTCTCTTCTTCTTCATCAGCTCTCATCACAGCACACAAGCACAACAGACGCACAACGGACGCACAACAGACGCTGACGCAACAGACATCCACACACTGATACCCTTCCTTAATGATACCCGTTACTAACACAGCCCGTATTATTGTTGTCTTGTGTTCTCTGTTTCACCACTTGGCGCCTGTGTCCGTGTCTTTGTGTTCAGAGAGCTGCTTACAGAGAGTATTCCTTTGATTTTGCTGGAGGTTGGCTTTGGAGTATGGGATGGAATCACACAACAGCTACCGGTGTCGTGCTGTCGCTGTCGTGCCATTCTCTGCTGGTCAAATGAGTGCTATTCTACACGGATCTTCTGTTAGAACTTGCTTTACAGACACTGTAGGAGCCGGAAGCTCTTGAACGCATCTTATGGTTACCTTACATTACCACGAAAACCTCCAGCTGGCTGTTTTCCCTACTTACACAGATCTCAGACACCTAACAGCTGCGTCTCTTCCTCTTCTTGTGAGTATTTGCTCGAGACGAGTTCTTGTCAAACTCTCTATATCTTTCTTACCCAAGTAATCTCTTCAGACGTGTCTGTCTTCGTCTCTTTTTCATCCAGACTGTTCCTGTCTGGTCTGACTACCCTAACTAACACATGACCCCCGGCATCTCCGACAACCTCCGAGGCATACACCTTTTTGGACTTTATCACTTCGGTGTAAACGTCTTGAGCGCCCCAATACCCCCTTTTGTGGGTCTTCAATATGGTCGATACCCATTTATCGTACATACTGATGTACCAATACTCTCTCTTACATTCATATAGGTACATATGTTTTAACCTGTTCTCAATGAAATAGCGCCGAGAATGTAACAAGACAAGGCTTGGGACCTGTAAAATTATTTATTTTCGTCAACCAGTATTCATTTTGCCAACGATTCGAGGCTATTGTGCTGGTGTGTACAGAGAGGACCCTGTGCTGAGCAACCACTAACGTCAAAAAAAACCAGCATACAAAGATCTTGAGAAGTAAAAGATGTACTGTACATTGTATCTATTAAGAAGGAGAGGCACGAAATAAAAGTATCGAGAGCAATAGAGCGTTTGTTCTCGTTCTGCACAAGTGATATTCTCAACCAGAACCCTCCAATGGGCGACCTTACTATAGAGAAGTGAAATTCTTTAGAAATCTATTTAGCCAATGTGATTTACGTATAAAAACCTGTTCTCCACTCGATAAACTCATTTCTGAACAAGATAAAGACGATTCAATTCATTACCTGAGAATGAGAGTTCCGAAGAGTAGAAACCAACATCATATACAGTATACTATAAAATTAACTACTTAGTTGCACTAAACAAGGAGAATATAACACCAAAACAAACATGTAACAGCCATAGATTCCTTATTTCGTCGCCCGTCTTTGTATTTTAAGGATCCATTACATATAACCGGTTTTTTATTATTCTAAAGCCGTTTTTTCGATTTTTTTTCTTGCCGGGATCAAAAGTCATTTTTCAGATATTAGACCCCAACATTTCCATAAATTTTTGTAACGATTCAGAAGCTAGTCATAAGGTGTTATGATTAGTCATGTGCTTTGGCACGTGACTGGACGATGATGACGTCCTCCGGACGTCATGAGTGTGTCATTATGGATGAATACTTGGTATCGCGTGGCTAGGTCTCGTGGATAGTGACGTGCTTTACAGAGTTAGGGTTGAGATGCCTGTATATATAGCCACCACTCACAAGTATGTAAGTAAAGTTATGTTTATACGACTTCCGGAGCTCGTACTATTGGTGTACTGTTCTGTAGAGTAGGACGAGCGGTTCCCGCTCGTACCTAGGGATATCTTGAGGATTGACCCATCACCGATCCGTTACAATTTTGTTAGAACACAGGCCCGGACTTCGGTTGGTTTGACTGGTAATACTGGCGACTTGCCTATGGCAAGTCGTTGAGCAAATACTCGTGTTGAAAGGGTCAATAATCGATATCCTAAATACATGGGAAATGAGAGCTATATATAATAATGACAACGGACCAACTGACGGATCTGTAACTCAACGGTCGAGTCCTGAAGGACTCGACAGACCCCTACGATAGTGGGTCTTTGACCAGAACGGGAACTACAAGGACCCACTCTTGAGAGTTGACAGGTAGACGTCACCGCCTCTGGACGTCCGCAGTCGCGATCATCGCGACGTCCGGACGTCTACCGACAGACGGTGACCGAGAGGTGCAGGACTGACAGTTGACGCGGGAGACAGCAACTGAGCACCGACGACGGTCGATGGTCCTTGTGCCATAGGCACAAGAACCACTAAAGAAGATCGTTTCCTAGCAAATTTTATTAACAGGTCGTGTGGTGTAATGGTTATCACGTCCCGCTCACACCGGGGAGGCTCCGAGTTCGATCCTCGGCATGATCATTTTTCTTTTTCTCGTTATTTCGTTCACTTGTTCCTCCCAATGAGAGGTCATCGAATCGACAAGGAACGCAATAAGCTCAAGCTCTACATCGTGTTAAAATCTGAGCTTCTCACATGTTACAATGGAATATCCCTCCACCAGCCGCATACGCAGGTAGTGATGCTACTACTTCTGATTACGTCACCTGTAGCAGTGTCGATAATGCATTAGTGTGCAAAAAATGAGAAAAATAAGCACGCTATCTTGCAACCGGTACGCTAGTGTGTGTAGAAGGTCGCTGGTTACCTGCGCTAAGAGAGCGGTGAAGTTTTTTCCCAAATATTTTGCCAAGACGCTTATTTGACCGTGTAAAATTCTAAAGGGCTCATCACTTGAAAATTTGCGCCTTTGGCACCATTTTTTTGTGCAGTGCAGACAACCCGCCGCACTCCCACTGGTTTACTTGTACTCTTGAAAATAAGCACGAAAATTAGCGTCGTCAGGCCAGCAAGGGAACCAGGCTATGGTGTGATACAGGTACAGGACCTACGGTAATAGCTGTTGCCTGACCGTTAGCTGCCTCGTAGTTTAAGTCTTAATACTGTAGTTAGGTGGGGCCATCTATTACTCGTACTTGTAGGGCCCGTGAAACCGTCTCTTTTGTGTGTAGCCGCTTGCTTTATATGTTCGTCCCTGGCCTATGGCAAGGCTTCCTTTAGGTCCCCTGTCTTTCTCAACCTGCCACTCTTCCAATATCGTTGAAGGTGACGACGGTGTTCATGCAAGTACGCATGTCAAAATTTTAAGTGACGTCGAGACTGGCAAGAAGAGGGACGGCTGACAGGAACAGAAAACACGCTGGAAAAAAGCTGAGTTGATTGAATTACTCTTCTGAGTCTAGCGATTAAAATGAAATATATACCTCTCACAAAAACACCCCACAACGTCCTGAACCTTTCGTCATGGAATACGAGTTGCTCCCAATCCTGAGGACCATAACCTGAGTTGAGTTTAGTGTGCATGCAATCGTTTAGGGCGTAACTTCCAAGCTTAGAAAAAGGGAGCATGCACAGGGAATATATAGTATCGACTTTCGCAGTCTGACCTCCTCAAGCCCACTCCGACATACCCTTCCGTCTAGTAAGAACGGGAGACATATCCATTCAACGCTGGTCGACCCTAGTTTATCCTCGTTCCCCGAGTCTGGGAAATTCAGATCCAAAAAACCGCCTTAAGAGACACATCCTCAAAGACTACCGACTACTAATTACACGACAAAAATCCTCGAAATGACCGAAGTTTACGAGTATTCTCCCTCGGGCATGCGTGCCCGACGACCCTCTGTTGACGGAGCTTCTCAGCACTCCGATCAGGACGTCTGCTACCCCCACGATGACAACAAGGAGGGATTCGAAATCGACTTTACCGCTCTTGACGACTTCAACGGCGAGGACGACGTGCCCTGCGGAGTGGCCAACGCCGACATGGGCAGCCGAGTGGTCCGAGTTGCCCCTCAGGACCATTTTGCTTTCTTCTCTACCGAGTGCGAAGAGACTATTCGAGCCAACGAGTTCTCTGAAATCTTCAAGGACGGCTGCAAGGCCAAGGAGCTCTTTGACGCCCATAAGGGCACCTGGTGGCTTGACTGCTACGACCCCACCGATGCCGAGATGAAGCTGCTGGCCAAGGCCTTTGGTATCCATCCTCTGACCGTTGAAGACATCCAGCACCGAGAGGCCCGAGAGAAGGTTGAGATGTTCCGAAACTACTACTTTGTGGCGTTCCATGCCTACGAGCAAGACGTCGAGTCCGACGACTTCATGGAGATGGTCCCTTTCTACCTTTGTGTGTTCCCCGAGGGAGTCATTTCCTTCCACTACTCGCCTGTTCCTCACTGTGCAACTGTTCGAAAGCGAATTCGACAGCTCAAGGACCACGTAACAGTGACGCCCGACTGGATCTGTTACGCTGTTATTGATGACATTACCGATTCTTTTGCTCCAGTCATCCGAGAGATTGAACAGGAGGGTGAGATTGTCGAGCAGACAGTCTTTGACGCTCGGGATGATGGCTTCAACGAAATGCTCCGACGAATCGGCAAGGCCCGAGCTAAGACTCTTTCCATGATGCGGCTGCTTTCTGGAAAGGCCGACGTGGTGGGTATGTTCACCAAGCGAGTGTCTGAGGGACTGAGCGACCATGTGCCCAAGGGCCACATTTCTCTCTACCTCGGAGATATCCAAGACCATATTGTGACCATGTATCAGTCTTTGATTGCCCACGAGAAGATTCTGTCGCGATCCCATCTCAACTACCTGTCCCAGCTCCAGGTGCAGTCCATTGATGCCACCCATCGAGTTACTGATACTCTGGGAAAGATCACTGTCATCGGTACTATTCTGATTCCCATGAACTTCGTCACTGGCCTGTTCGCCATGAACGTGCGAATCCCTGGAGAGTCTACCGATGAGAACCCCGGTAACTTCGGCTGGTTCTTTGGTATTCTCGGTGTGCTTCTGTGCATCATTGTCACCGCCACTCTAGTGGCCAAGTGGTACCTTGCCCACGTTGAGAAGAAAATCCGGGGCAACTTCCGAAACTCTGCTTCCGACAATTCCATTCGGTCCATGCGATCCAAGCGATCCAAGCACACTATTAACACTATTGTTTAGACACTGGAAGCGAATGACAAATTGTCACTTGCGGACAATAGATTTTTGTATAAACTAAGAGATTTGGCACGTATTATTTTGTAGTACTTGTAGCCGTAGCAATTACTGATCCCATATGATATTGTCGAGGCGATGATTTCTAATTGACCACTCACTTTCCCCATGCACCTTACATGCACTCACTCCCTGGTGGGGATAAGCTTGTGCTGCACAGCGCATTAGGGACGTGAGAAGTGTCACCACCTTAACAAAAAGGTAAGGAAACAATCAGATACACAAAACCCCAACTTGATTTAGGTATCACATTATTCTTATGTTGCCAACTCCTATTATTACTGCACACTACACATACGGACGACCGCCCCACCGTTAAACCCGACTATCCGACGGGCATCGAGGATTGATGATCAGTACAGCGCTACAGTGTCCACAGAGAATGCACGTGATCCTTCGGTCAGGCACAATTGATCTTTTTCTTATCACATCATTTATTCAAGTCTAGCTTCGACAATCAACAATCGTCCTATTATATACATTACTCCTTGGGAAGCTTACCCTCACGTCGGAGCTTGGCGTCAGTGGCGATCTTGGCCTCCTCGGCATCGAGCTGCTCGACAGTCTTGCCGTCAACAGTGGGCTCCTTGTCGTGGATACCTTCTCGAACCTCCTCAGAGTAAGTAGGGGCAGGGTCGTTCCGAGCAGCAGCAACCTTCTCGGCAGCAGCCTTGGCCTCAGGAGACATACCGTCGTCCTTGATGGGAGTAGCCTTCTTGTGTGCCTTGGCCTCTCGGCCAATCTCGGCCTCCTCAGCATCAAGCTGCTCAACAGTCTTGCCGTCAACGGTAGGCTCCTTGTCGTAGATTCCCTCTCGGACCTCCTCGGAGTAAGTGGGATCGGTGTTGCTTCGGGCAGCAGCGACCTTCTCGGCAGCAGCCTTGGCCTCGGCAGACATACCATCGGTGCTGGGAGCAGCGGCCTTCTTGTAAGGGTTCAGCTTAGCCTGGGTGGCAATCTTGGCTTCCTCGGCATCGAGCTGTTCAACAGTCTTGCCGTCAACAGTGGGCTCCGCATCGTAAATGCCCTCTCGAACCTCCTCAGAGTAGGTAGGAGCGGGGTCGTTTCGAGCAGCGGCAACCTTGTCAGCAGCAGCCTTGGCCTCAGGGGACATACCATCATCCTTGATGGAAGAGGACTGGCCAGCCTTGTAGGGGTGCAGCTTAGCCTGGGTGGCAATCTTGGCTTCCTCGGCATCGAGCTGATCGACAGTCTTGCCGTCCACTGTAGGCTCCTGGTCGTAGATTCCTTCTCGGACCTCTTCGGAGTAAGTAGGGGCAGGGTCGTTTCGCGCAGCAGCAACCTTTTCAGCGGCAGCCTTGGCCTCAGGGGACATGCCATCGGTGTTAGGGGCAGCGGCCTTCTTGTTGGCCTTGGCTTCGGTGGCGATCTTGGCCTCCTCAGCGTCCAGCTGCTCGACAGTCTTGCCGTCAACAGTGGGCTCCTTGTCGTGGATACCTTCTCGAACCTCCTCAGAGTAAGTAGGAGCAGGGTCGTTACGAGCAGCAGCAACCTTCTCGGCAGCAGCCTTGGCTTCAGGAGACATACCGTCGTCCTTGATGGGAGCAGCCTTCTTGTGTGCCTTGGCCTCTCGGCCAATCTCGGCCTCCTCAGCATCAAGCTGCTCAACGGTCTTGCCGTCAACGGTAGGCTCCTTGTCGTAGATTCCCTCTCGGACCTCCTCGGAGTAAGTGGGATCAGCGTTGTTTCGGGCAGCAGCGACCTTCTCGGCAGCCTCCTCAGCCTCAGCGGACATACCGTTGTCCTTTCGAGAGTTAGCGTAGAAGTTGATCTTGTCCTCAACAGCCTTCTTGTCAACATTCTCGTTGTGCAGAAGAGCAATGTAGGCCTTGAGCTGCTTGGCGAGACCCTGGGTGTCAATGTTCCAGTCGTTGGTGGGGGAGCTCAGCGCGTCAAGGGTGATCTTGGCATCTAGGTACATGTCATTGGCGGCAGCCTGGGGCACGTTCTTGAGTCCCTTGGCGTTGGTTTCCTCGAGAGTCTGGGTAGCGCTGGCGACGAAGTTCTTGAACAGGATTCGGCTTCGGAGAGCAGCCTCGGTGGCTCCCTCTCGCTTGGCGGTCATGTCGGGGTCGATCTTGTACTTTCGGACCTGCTGGACAATGTCCTTGGGGAAGTCAGAGGCCAGACCTGTAGATGCCAGATAATAGATGAAGAGCAACTCGACGGGGAGCTCAACGTGCCCGGACTTAGTGACGTCGATCTTGTAGACTCGTCGTAGACCGTTCACGGTGTCTCTCAGACCCTTAGTCTTGTTCTTGGCTCGGTAGAGAACCTTGGATCGCAGGGTACCGACTCGGGCAGCTTCCTGGAGCAGGTACTCGGAGAGAACAGGGTCCCGGAGCATAGACTCAGCCTTTCCAAAACCCCCAACCTCAATGTACTTGTTATAGAGAGCCAGGAGCTGGCCGGGGTTGGTCTGATCGGGAGCGTAGATGACAGCGTCATGCAGGAACTCTCGAGCGGCGTACAGATCCTCGAGGGTCTCGGCGTTGTTGATGACGCTTGAGACAATACCAGAAGTGATAGCCATGGTTCGAGGGGGCAGAGGGGTCACGGGCTCTCCTCCAGGGTAAAGGATGTTAAGCTCCTCCAGAACGTCAGAGTTCTTCTCTCGGAAAATAAGAGGTCGCATGTTCTTGGGGATCTTGAGGTAGTGGAGGTTGGCGTTGGCGCTCTTGACGAACTCCTTGTACTTTTCTCTGGACTGGGTAGCAGGAACAGGAGTGGAGGTAAAGAGGGTAGCGTAGCTGGTATCAATGGGTAGAGAGGCAGCCTTTCGGGGTAGAGTCACGGGGGGCTCAGTTCGGGGCTTGTTTCGCCATCTAATCTGAAGGTGCTCCTCCTGAGCAAACTTGGGCACGAACTTCCGGCCGGTCAGAGAGGTGGTTTCGAGTTCATTGGCGTCGGCAAATCGGGCGATAGCGGAGGACTTGAGTCCTCGCGAGGCGAGGGGTGTAATTGACTGTGTCTGGCGAACACAGACCTTGGAAATGAGCTGTGCTCGAGTGATTCTCAACATCTTGGTGTGTAGTCAAGGGAGTGGTAAAAGAGCAAAAAAGTTTATCCATTTTATATGCATGATCCCTCAAGGCGTGAAGTTGGAGGATTGGGTGCGATTAATTGACCACCAAGCTTAGCTTTGAGAGCTTAACACTGATCGCAACACAGGGCACCAATTGCAAATCGTCAAAAGTGAGGCGTTGTCTGAGATAGGTCAATCCCCCCCGCTGAGACACAAGACAGGAGAGCTGACACGAAAAGGAATCCCCCGACGTTCTTTGCCATTTCGCCGGTCTCAAAGAGCCTATGTACGCATATTCGGTTCTTCATGCCGCCAGCTCCATCACCGGGGCTGTATGGGCTAAAATTGAAGCTGCCGGGCGACACAAGCTGGTGGTAGCCAAGACAAGGAGCCTGGAAGTTTACAGTGTCGATGACGAGCTCACAAAACTATACGCCGTGGAAATGGGCAGTGCCATCTTGGGCATCACTGCAGACGAGTCCCGGGTACCGAGCCAGGTCATTACGCTGCTGGAGGACGGATCTGTCTACTCATGGCAGTGGAAATACGTCGGTGATAAGCTCACCCATACGGGCACGTGTATGGTTAAGGCGTTTCAAAAGTACGAGGGCCAGAGCATGGTCACTAGAGGCAACACAACAGTGGTATCTGCTACCAATGGCGGACCACAGTTATGGATCACACCCAAGGGCAACAGCGCTATCAAGGTGTCATTGGGATACGGAGGAGTTGGTCTGTCTGTGAGCAATGCCTTTGTGGCTGACGGTACCTTGGCTGTGCTGTACAGAGACTCTCTTAATAATGTCGGTATGGCCTATGTCAACGAGAAAAGCAAGGGCACCACCGAGATTGGCTGCGCTTCCGGCTCCGATTTTTCCATCAGTGATAGCGCGTCTCTATTAGTATCCGTGACTCTTCCCTGCAATGGCGTTCTAGTCGTTTCCGATGTTAGTGTGCTGTATTACCCTCCATTTTCCAAAAAGGTGTCGGGTACTTACAAGATCCCTGATGACCAGCTACTACGAGCAGATTTCCCCAAAAATCTCATTATATCCGCCGCATCCAAGATGCAAGATGGTGTGGTTGTTCTCTCCTCTGATGTTGGGGATGTACTCGTCATCACTCTGTCCAGTGATGGCTCTTCCCTAGACGTTGCATTGGTCGAGAAACCCGCAGAATCAGCTCTTCAGTTTCCTCCTACCTCTCTGGTTCGCATGGACGATGGACTGTTCTTTGCTGCATCGCATCATGACAACTCTGTCGTCTTCAAGTTGAACAATGTCGACAAGTCTACCAGTGGAAACAAGAGACGCAAGGTCTGGAGCTACTCGGAACTAAACATTGTTTCAAATATTGCACCTATCAATGATATCACATTGACATCCGGTCCACTCCAACAGCTCATTGTTTATGCGGCATGTGGAGGATACACATCTGGCAGTGTTTCCAAGTTGTACCATTGCCTGGACCCCATTGTCGAAGAAGAGATTCCTCTAGGTGATGGTGCTGACCAGGTATGGTGGTTCGACAATGACCTAGCTCTGTTCGTCAAGTACATGACTCACTGTGCAGTGCTGCGATTGGAGAATGGTTCTCTCGTTGAGTTAGATAACGAAGCTGTCATGAACGAGTACGGCTTTGTACTGGAGGAATCTCTGTGGCTGGGCCAATTTGATGGAAGAGACGTCCAAGTCACTTCTTCGGGAATCAGAGCCAAGGGCATTTGCCTGGAGATTCCCGTTACGTCTGCTTCTTTCTCCGACGGTACACTCATGGTGGCTTCGGAAAAGGAGCTGTACAGTCTAAAAACATTAACTGAACTGACGGAACCTATCTCCTTGACCTCTTCTCCCTGGTGCTATGCCAAGAACGGCGACAAGGTGTACGTGTCGTATCTCAATGGTGGCACCTTTGAACTAATGAGCAATCAGGAGGTTTCTTCAGACCCCGCCTCTTCTATGGTTGTGATGGATGGATACAGTATTTTTGGGTACCCTGATGGACAAGTGCGAGTTCTAGAGGCAGATTTCGTTCGCAGACTGGGTATTGCACCAGTCAAGCTGCTTCCTCTTTGGGATGGACGGATCGTGGCCTACAGTTCTGATGGACTGGGAATCGTTGATATTACCTCCATTGACGACTCATGCATGGTCCCGTTCATTGAAGGAACTATTCCCATCAATGTGTCTGCTTTGAACTCCAGAAAGCGCATTTCCTACATTGTCTCTGGAGACATGTATGTTGCAGAGTTACCGGAACCGTCTTTGGGTATTGTCAGTGAGCAATTCAACGCTCTAGTTAGACGAATCTGTCTAGTCGACGATAAGGTGGTTGTTGCGATGGCTGAGCGTGACATCGATGATAGTGGAGCAGAATCCGTGTCTTATCGTGTGGCTCTGTTATCCCATGAACTCAGAGTCCTGGACATGTTTGACTTGAACCCCTACGAGTCTCTCGAGTCGCTTATCTCATATGGACCCAAGGTCTACGTTGGGACAGGTATTGACGACAAGGACAGTCCCACAGAGGGTCGAGTGATTGTATTCTCTATCGCAAATGATAAGCTGAAGGTGGAGTTTGAGAAGCAGGTTCCTGGATGTGCCTATTCTTTAAGTGTGCTTCGAAGAGATCATTCCAAGGGTAAGGGAAAGCCCCACATCGTTGTCGGATGCAATGCGGTGCTCGATGACTGTAACCTAGACGATCTCAAGCTGTTGAATCAGACTAAGACGCCTACTATTGCTCTCAAGTCCTCTTCTTTCGGTGATGACATTGTGGTGGGTGATCTCATCTACGGCTACAATGTCTACAAGCTGGCCAACAAACTGGAGCCTCTAGAAATCAAGTCCTCTGAGCCCATGTTCACGTCAGCAGTGGAGCTCTTGTCTGGCCCTCGAGTTGTCTACTCTCGATCGGACGGCACAGTTGGTATCAATGATGGAGAAAAGGTGACTGAACACAAGTTCCCGGACAAGATGATGAATGCAATCAGACGAGTTCCGGGTGATACGTTTGTTGTTAATAGAGGAAAGGGTCTAGCTGTGTGTGCTGGAGTTGAGGGAGGTCTGTATCTCATTTCTGAGATTGAAGAGGACGATGAGAACTATACACTAGAGATTCAGGGGGAAACGCCTGCTGCTGGCGAGTGTGGGTTTTATCATAAAGTCTAGACTAAGAGTGCTTGCACTTGTAGATGCAAATACTCGTACAAGTATTACGTATTTGAAATAGCGAAATTTAATTTATTGGCATTCTTTTTCGTCACCCCTGAAGTTGGAAAGTCTCCGTTACTGTAGTTACAGGAACGCCCACCAGAACTGTATTCCCATTTCCACATGTGGCCCCTCTGTAACCCTATCGAAAAATGTACTGCAATAATAACAGGCAAGTACGAACAGTAGGAGATGTGGGGTGTTGGGGATGTTACATCTTGTCTCATCCAAATAGATATAGGGGTGAGTCGGTTGCTAGCACACCCGTTCTAATTTCACCTTTCGCAGCCCAGCTATATATATAACTCACATTTGTTTTCCCGCAAGGTTCAGAACGAGGCTATGTTCACCTTCAAGTAAAAGTTGTCCCTAGTTGCCTTATTGTGAGGGACCTTAAATTGACTAACTATTAGCGTTGTTTTGTTAGTGTGCGGCACATGCAGTTCAGCCCGCATTAACTCAATATCGCGTCTTGTGTTGACGCGCAGATCAACAGGGAAATACTGAATCTCTTGCTCACGAGTTCGCTTGCGTCCGCTTGCACACTTGTTACCTACCTCACAGTCCCATGGCCTACTCTTCGTCGACCTCTGTCAACGACATTTACCTGCAAGACTTCAGTCAGCGGCAGAGCTCATCCTCGGTTCTGGACCGTTCCTCTAGCCGAAATGGGCACCTGACACCTTCGCATACAGGCCAGGGGGTCTATTCACAGACTACAGCGGCCATGTCACCCCAGTCGGCCACGTCAGAAGCTCCTTTGAACGGTTCAATGGAAAGAAAGGAGTTTTCAAAGGAGACAAAGAACAGAAGCATTCCTAATGATATCGCACACAGATTCGTGGCAGCGATAGCGGCGGCGTTTTTCCTCTGTGTGGTCATGACGTGTGCGCTCTTCTCGTACATTGTGAGAAGCCGTACCCCCGCCCGGCTGCCGGAAGTCCAGCGTCAGAGAAATCAAACCACCACCAAGAACGATAAACGGCTCACCATGGATCTCAGTTACTACGCCAACTTACTGGGATTCGTGCTGGACGAGTACGAGGTGACCACGAGCGACGGATTCATTCTGGACCTCAAGCGGCTCCATAAACAGGGCCAGGAACCTACTGGAGAGCCTATTCTCATGGTCCATGGCCTGCTACAGTCCTCTGCAGCCTATCTCACGTCAGGGAAAGACTCCATTGCAGCCTACTTTCTGGAACAGGGGTATGATGTGTGGCTGGGAGATAACCGGTGTGGTTTCCAGCCTAAACACACAAAGTACAAGAAGAGCGACTCGCGAATGTGGCACTGGGACATCACGGAGATGGGAACCGAAGACCTGCCTGCTCTGGTGAACTATGTTCTCAAAGTCACTGGTAGAGAAGAGCTCATCTACTTTGGTCACTCTCAGGGAACCACACAGGCGTTTCTGGGCATGTCCCGGGACTTTTACCCTGCCCTTGGTCATAAGATCAAGCTGTTTGTTGCTCTTGCGCCAGCTGTATACGCAGGTCCGCTTATTGACCGGTGGTACTTCCAGTACTGTCGCAACATGTCTTTGGAGCGATGGAAGTGGTCATTTGGTATTCATTCCTACATCCCCTTGATGAACACCATGCATTCCATCTTCCCCAAAAGACTGTATGGCTTCTTTGGCTACATCATGTTCAATTACATGTTTGACTGGACCGACGAATGGTGGGATCGAAACCTGCGCAACCGGCAGTTTCTTTACTCCCCTACGTTTGTGTCTTCCCAGCTGATGCAGTGGTGGCTTGGACCAAACCACTTCTCCAAGTACAGAGGCATCTTGCCGGACAAGGCGGGGGTCAAGTGGTACGATCAAAACTTCCCCAAGCTGGTGCTGGTGATTCCAACCAACGATATGCTGGTTGATGCTGAGAAGATCTACGAGCGCATCACACAGGTGGAGACGGATGTGACCTTGGTTGATACCATCCGGGTGGTTGATTACTCGCATTTGGACGTTCTTTGGGCCATGGATGTGGTGGACAAGGTGTGTAAGCCTGTCCATGAGATCATCAAGCATCAGGAGAGAGAGAAGTCTGAGTTGCCGGAGATCCGGCTGACGACGTGAGTGATGGGGGTGTTTGCAACAGTTGTATTTATAGTCAGGTAATTAATGAATGGTAATATAATGCGGGAGTAGACGTGGGTAGCGCCACCAGTATGAACATTATAAAGGGATACACATAAATATGGGAGATGTTTCGGGGATGAAATGTATCTTGCTCCAGTACATTGTACGATTACGCATTCGTTCTGTCTGCTATGTGTGTGTGCTTATTATCATGTCTGTTCGTGCTATATAGAGGAGACGACTACTTGCAGTAGGTCTGCTTCAGGTATCTGGGTTAGAATATGTTTAGAAAACGCCTTAGGCATTATAGTAACATCAGCGATCTTGGTGATAAAAGATTGTCTTCAGGTGTACAGAAAAGTAGCAGATAGTTATCATCAGAGGAGAGGATTGCTGAAGGAGTTACTCACCATAAAGTCTCTATGTAGAGTGTGTGTGTGCGTCTGTATAGTTAATCATCGTGTTTGTGTCGGAGGTGTCGTTAGTGGCTTGTCAGGTTTGTGTCGCAGGGGTATCACTGCCTAGAGAGAGATTGACATTGAGTCGTCGCATTTCAACCTTTGTTAGAATGGCTCGTCAAAAATTCACTGACAATGAACGAGGAGTCAGACGAGAAAGAGCATATCAGTTCGGCCATCTGCTTGTAGAAACTAGGCATGTCTCAACAGAATGGCTTCTCAATCGCAAATTATATCATCATGAAATCTTCTTCCAAAAGGAACTCACTCTTAGGCTGTTGTTTGCTGGTGTGTTGAAAGCTGTTGTATGTTTATGATTGTGCTCTATGGCTGAAGCTTCTATAGTGTCCTGGCACAATAATTTTAAGGTTTATATACTGACTCCTTTGGGATATATTTAAGTTGTGACTGTGCCCTAATTGATATCACATGACCACTCAGTTTCCCTTTCGTCCCAAATCTAATTGTGCCACTCACATCTGGATTTTGAATTTTTATCAAGTCTTACACATCGACACATACAGACATCAACAATGACCGAAGTGAAGAGCGTTAACTGGAGACTGGTCGAGGCTGGCCGAATTGTCCTCATCAACCGATCTGACAACAAGTCCACTCAGGGCAAGCTTGCCATCATCGCCGAGATTGTCGACCACGGACGAGTGAGTATTAGAGGAGGAGCATGAAATGCGACACAGCAAGTGTCCAGCCACGGGAGTGTCGGGGCAAGTTCAGTGGAATGCTCACAGCATGCTGAATGCCTTGTTTGCAACATCACCGATGCAACACCCTTATCATGTTGTTTGAAACAAGTACTAACCCCAGGTCCTCATCGACGGCCCCACCACCGGCGTTGCCCGACAGGTTGCCAACCTCAAGCATGTCACCCTTACCCCCCACGTTGTCGAGGGTGTCAAGCGAGGCATGAAGTCCAAGACCATCAAGGCTAAGGTCGAGGCTTCTCCTGCTTTCAAGGAGTGGTCCGAGTCCAGCTGGGCCAAGAAGATCGCTCAGCGAGAGCGACGACGACATCTCACCGACTTCGAGCGATTCCAGGTCATGGTCCACCGACGAGAGCGAAAGGCTGCTCTTGCCAAGGCTGTCGCCAAGGCCTAAATCAAAATTTGATGATGTACAAAAGGAGACGCATTACTAGCGCGAGTAATAGCATTTATTTAAGCCTAGGTGATGTAAAGGATATTAAAAAAAGTATTTGATGCAGAGATGTGTAGAAATTGGTCTTGTAATTGTGGTATGAGGGGCATTTATAGTACCCCTAGTCGTAGTGTCTTTGCGAGTGCTGAGATACATCGTATAAACAACTGCATGTTTGTTCACACAGCACGAACAGCTGTTCGCAAAAGGTGTGGAGAAGTGTGTGTACGGTATGCACCGGTATCGTAGCTACTGTTGCCGCGGAGAGAAACAGCTTATTAAGATAGATCACTTGACCTCTTTTAGGGCATGGGGGAAGAACATAGTTTCCAGTTGACTAATACTGTAGATCTTGCCATATAACGTAGCATGACATGGGTATGGACTTGGACTAGAAGATTTTATTATATACATGATGGGACGCTGTAGATAACATCGCATCGAAATGGAAAGATGGACAGTGGCCCGCGGAGAGGCGTACCAGGCAGTAATCGAACGAGAGAAATCAGATAGAGTAGATGGTCTAGAGTGACTGGCAAAAGTCTGGCATCACTTCTATTGCATCATCAAGTGAGCAGTCTTAAACGGTCCACTTCTGCCTTCGGGTGTCTATCGTTATCTCTACTTCTTCTCGAGAGCCTCCCACTCCTTTGGAGTCTTGGTAGTCAAAGAGAGAGCATGGAGACCATTGGGCTGGGCCATCTCTTCCTCGAACAGCTTGTATACCATTCTGTGTCGGATGGGAGCGCTCTTGCCCTCAAACTTGTCGCTGACAATGGTCAGTCGAAAGTGCGACTCGATAGTGTTGTCCGATCCCCGCATGGCAGCATGGTGAGCGTGCTTGTGAGAGTCGTTGTTGACCTTGAAAAAGACAGGGGTGAACTCCTGCTTGACCCGGGAGTTGATGGCATCGGTGATGGGCGTGTTGGAAGAGGACATGTGGCGGAGTAGCGTCGTTTGTCGCAGCACGGGTCGAATACGAAGCATTATGTAAGTTCGGATGATGGTGTGGGATTTTCCCAGAAGTTAAACAGAGTGGAGAGCGCAGGAGGAGTTTCACTGTGCATGCATTACGAAGCAGGAAAAGTGAGTGTCGAGAGGACTGGTTCGATGGAGGGGGATACGGGTTTGAGAGTAAATTACTGTAGTAAAATGCTATGGCCATAAATTAGAACAGTGAAATCTCGTTCTGTTGTACTGTCTTGATATAGAAGGCTGTAAATTCCGTGTTTGAGTTTAGTTTCGCTATCACGTTTTTAGTTGACTGTTTACTTGCATCTCGATTTCATACTTGGGAGTCGATGCTCTGGTTGTAAGGGTAGCTGTGTTATGCACTGTGGGTACGTATCTATACCGTGCGCTGTGGACATATGGAACTTGAACACTCCATAGAGCTCTTATCAGAGCCCCTGCTTTGCACTAAAAGTCCGTAGTACTTTCTATCTTCACATCCATTTTTTCCATCCAATCATACTTGTCATTCGTCTGGCATCTCTATGGCTTGGCAAAAGTATCCAAGCACCATATTGGCTACCGGCGGCTACCCTTAAAAAAGGCGCCGAAAGCTCAAGATCCGCCTCCACTCTCATAGACACAGTCTTGGGCAGCGGCATGAGGCTGGGTTTCAATGAATACGTTGCCACTGTCCTCAAACTATCAAACTATCGGCACAATAGGCTGAGTGACTGCATGTGTTATGGTGTTGTGCTGATAACCAGAAGCGGATGTGGACAAATTATTTAAACAAGAGTCCGTGGCAGTACAAGTACGAACGAGTATCGTAGTACTGGGCCCGTTCTATTGGGATTTTGTAGGGTGGAGTGTACCGCTTACTACAATTGTAGCTATTGCAAGCTTAACCAGCACCCGCAAATGTTCATCGCCCCGATTGGCATCGTTTGTACAGTAAATAGCTGGCGGTGTACTCTGCCACACATGGTACAGCCCATACATGAGGTATGTACAGCCATGTACGAGTGCAGAAAATGTGCCGAAGTTGTTGGAAATTACACACTGTGGCGGTTCCACTTAAATCTACGCTACTTGTAGGTATATAGCTAATGATATACCTCATTCCTATCCTCATTCCTCTACAGTAAAACATTATCTCCCCCTTCATTCTCCCAAGTAGTGCGAATCACCTCAACTCCTCTGGTTGTAACTCCGTGTTATGATTTTGGGACTTGCACAGAGAAGACGTACGTGTTGAAATAATGACGTAGAAGGGAAAGTGTGGTAGAGAAAGGAGATACAGCCAGGGACGAGAGAACGGAAACCTGCAAAAAAAAAACACCCGGACCCGTAGCTCCACTGTTGCCACTTACACAGCCCTGACATATCCTTGTAACACACTTTTCAACCCGTCACGTGCAAATTCAAATGCCGCTAGCTAAAAATAACCTTGTTGTGTGAAACCTCACAAAAATACCCAGTCCTGCAGTTGGCTACATTATTCTCAACTCCTCACAGTCGTCACACATCCCCGACTTCCGACATGTCCTCTTCTGTCCCATACGACCCCTACATTCCCGGTGGCGAGTCCAACGCCCCCGGCGGTAACCACAAGACCGCCGCCATCCAGGCAGTGAGTATGAATTCGTGGCACTTTCACGAGAATTAAGGAGACATAACGTCAGACACAAAAACGAGATACCAGCAGCTCAGAGGATGGTAAAGGCACGGTGGCCAGTTGGAGGCATCAGAAGAGTCGGTTGTTTGTTGCGTGACCAGTTTGTGCAATCAGGTGATCGTTTGTCTATATGGCTCACCGTCTGATTATGACGGATGCCTGCCCAACTGTATCACACACTGTCACGACTTCCACAACAAGCACGACTACACACTCAACAGAGCTGAAGGTTTCACTTGTGAGACGCCAGCTGTTGAGCGGCGTTCTTGGACCGTTTCACCGTTAAGATCTCTTTATCATCGTGTCATGTGACTGGTATCACCATGAGTTATCGACCGCATTTCCCTGGCCGTGTTTCTTAATATCCCCGAAACACCACATCTGACAAATTCTAACCCAGCAAATCGATGATACCGTGGGTATCATGCGAGAGAACATCAACAAAGTCGCCGAGCGAGGTGAGCGACTAGACTCTCTGCAGGACAAGACCGATAACCTGGCAGTCTCTGCACAGGGTTTCCGACGAGGCGCCAACCGAGTGCGGAAGCAAATGTGGTGGAAGGACTTCAAGATGAAGATCTGTCTCATCATTGGTGTTATCATTCTGATTGTCGTCATTGTTGTCCCTATCGCCATCCATTTCTCATAATTTATTAGACCCCCCTTATGGTCTTGGTCTTAATGCCTATGTAATGAATCTGTACTTTTCTTTGGCCAGATGTTTGTGAAATACTTGCACAAGCATCCATCTTACTGACTGGTCCTGTAGCTTTGAAAACATCTTCGTTGGTATAAACGGAGGTGTTGTCTACGAACCATCAGGTAAGAGCTTCATTGGCTACAGCATATACTGTGGTTGTAGATATCCGCATTACACACAGTATATACTGTACTTGTACCTGTGTTCCTGGTGTGAAGTACGAGCTACTACAAGTAGTAACTACAGTAACAATGTATCCGACATGGCAATACTTTGTACATACTCATGCGGACCATATTGTGTTTTAGTATCAACACATCTCTCCATGCAAGATACAGTCACGTCTGTGGTCAGGAATGTGTCTAGAGTGACGATAATTATGTATGAGAGGCGTGCGAGAAACTCCTAATGGTAGTTCTAATAATAAATGCAATCGTATTATCGATTACCAGAAACTTGGTATCTACAAAATTATTCCACGGATCTGGGGAACTGGAGAGAGTTAGTATGGACCGAGAGAGTGGTGATATTCAGGAATACCCGACCCAAGACTGAGGAAGGATAAGACTTTACGACAATTTAAGATAAGGATGGCATGGAAAGTAGCTACCGGAAGGACATGACTACTGTATGGTAATTAGCACACAGTGCCCCACGGAGGTTTGATATCTGTGCTGATTAGTGAGACAGCTTTAGCAGAGGTGAGTAAGGTACAGCAGGCAACGACCTAGCTGAGCCGTTAATGTAAATCATTATCGGTTCTCAGGCGAATCCTACAAGGGAATTGTATGGGATTCCGCAAGACATTGTCCGTCTATGGTGTCTGTATGTATTATAAGATGGCTAGATATGTCTCAGAAGTACAACTAGTGGTGAGCTGCAACTTTGTCGTGTCGACAATCTGTAATAATGTACAAGTGCGATACAAGGGGCAGCATGTAAGTCGAGCACTGTTAATGAAACATGATAGTCCAGAGATTTTCAAGCCAGAGACTTCATATACTGGCTAGTTATTCCCTATATACCCCCAAGCAGACTCATAATGTCCTCCTGGAACAGTGATTCTGGAAACCACATCAACCTCAGAAACCACCCTCCAGCCAGTGCCAACTTCCGATTCAAGACAGCCCCTTAACTGTTCCACATTGCGTAAACACTTCAACTTCTTCCAGGTCTGTTTTTTTACACTCATTGCTTTCACTTCAGCCTGCGTCTAGTCCGTAATGTGGGGTCCTTGGCAACAAGAGTATGGCTGGACTGTAGACCAGCTGAACAACTCGTATGCCCTTTCTGTGGCCGGTCTGGGACTTGGATCTCCTATTTTCATTTTCCTACAAATTCGGCAAAAGACCCGTTTTATCTGACAGTTTCAGCTTTAGTTGTCGTCTGTGAAGCCTCGCAGGCGTGGATGAAGTCCATCGTTCAAGTCTATGGGTCCATGTTTGTCTAGGGTCTTGCTGTGAGTGTGGATGAGACCATTATTCAAATGACTGTTGCAGACCTCTACATCGTTCACCAACGAGGCACGTACTACAATGGTATCTACATGTTTGTGGTAGAGGTGGGCAACTTTCTCGTTCTGGTGCCTTCAGGATATATCACCCTCAATCTCAGCTGGAGAATGGTGTACATCATTGTTGTTATTATTGCTGGAGTTCAGTTCGTTATGACACTTCTGTTCTTTGAAAAGACCAATTATCGGGTATCTGGTTACAGTAGTTGCCGAACTGTCCGAGCTGGGAGAGGTTCAATTGTCAGAAGAATACAACAAACCGAGTCGATCTCATGGAATCGAAGATGCTGTCCTTTCTAATAGTCTGGACACTGTTAAATTAGAGACCTCAGGCACGGACTTGGAGATACAGACAAACAAATCACTCCTCACAGGTTCGTTCGGACTACTGGCTCTTATCACTTACACTTCTGGAAGCTGGGTCGAATTTTCCCGGAAATTGATTACGCCCTTTAAAACTCTCGTCACATACCCTATCGTGACTTTTTGTGCTCCTCAATACGGATTCTTGCTCTCCAGGCTATCTATGGCAGCCACCATCTCGGGCAACTCCTTTGTTCAACCTCCATATAACTTTTCAGCTGAAGCTATTGACAATGTCAATATTGCTCCTTGTGTAGGAATGATTTTGGGGTGTCTCTTTGAAGGTTGGTTTCATGATATGGCCATCATCTGGCTCAGCAAAAACCAAGGAGTCCACGAACCCGAATTCAAACTCTACAGCCTCATGAAGTCCAACTTCTCCATGGCTATCGGCATTCTCCTATTCGGAATATCGACTGCTCTCGGTGTCCATGGATGGTACCCACTGTCGGATTTGCAATCATAGCTTTTGGATTCGGGTCGTCATGGGCTATTGTGGTCACCCATCTGCTCGACTGCTATGAGAAAAAGGTGCCGACGCCTTCATTGGGGTCATTATGGTCCGTAACGCTTTGGTTACTGCAATCATTCTTGTCCAGAGATAAAATAGGCATACAGAACGTTTATATCTCTGCGAAATGCTTCACGCTCATCCCCTTGTTTCTCACCGTTCCAGTGATCGTTTGGGGAAGCATTTGAGACGAATGAGTGAGAGTCGTTACTTGATGGAGTCTGTGAGAGACTGAATGGGTCTGGTTGAGCATCCATATCTTACTGTTTTTTTAAGCAAAGTATTGTGATTCTAAAAATATAAAAAATGTGTGTTACTGTATAATTAATAAGATCGATGTGAGCATAGCCTGTTGTTATGAATAACTTTTGATAGAGTATGAATTGGACTTTACTTTAGTCAGTGTACGAAAATTACACCGACGAAGACTACGTAACATGATTATGGGAATATCCCAGAAAGTACACAAAACTGGCTTTCAATAATACCGTATATCGTGAGCTATATCGTGAGCGTGAGAGCTCACGATATACGGTGCACGCCATATATCCGGTGCATGCCATATATCCGGAGCAAGCATCATTCATGCGTGATAATACACCCTTAGCAAATCTCCATACCGCCGCGGTGCTAATGTAACGCACATGTGTGTACTGCACACGGAACTACTAAATTTATATACAGTACTGTACAAGTATGTACAAGAGCTACTGTTCACAGTGCAATTTCTCTCAAAACAGCCACTACCGAAGCGCGTTAACTTACCGTGGCTCACTGTCTCACTTGTGCCACAATGCCACATCCGAGTCTCACAAAGTTGGGGAGAAACATGTGAGTTGGTGCATAAGACACAGAGAAGACCGGATCATTTGTGCCGGGTCTTTCGGGTCTTTTTCGGGGTGGATACTATTGCCACGAATCAAATTCTAGTTCATGCAGGTACTGTATCTACAATCTTACAAGCATCTCGTGCTTGTGCTTGCTCAAAACATCGTAAATCATATCAACTATACTTCGCTTATTTGGCGACCTTAATAATCTCCTCGAGAGAGAGAGACTTGGGTCGCTCAATGGGAAGACCCAGAATTCGGTCCCAGACCAGCTGAGGCAGAGGACCAAGAGCTCGGGACACACCGAAGGTGACGGTGTAGTACAGAGTCTCGTGGATACCGTAGTGGTGGAAGAGGACACCGGAAGAGGAGTCGACGTTGGGGTGGGGGTTCTTGGTCTTGCCGTGCTCGGTGAGGACGCCAGTGGCAACCTCGGAGGTTCGGGAAACGAGCTGGAAGACGGGGTCGTCTCGGATCTCCTGTCGAGAGTTGGCAAAGTTCATCAGAGCCTCGAATCGAGGGTCAGGCTTTCGCAGAACGGCGTGGCCGTAACCGGGGATGACTCGGCCAGACTTGAGGACAGACCACAGGTACTTGACGAGGTCCTCGTTGGAGTAGCCCTTGGGGACGTTCTTCTCCATGTCGAGGATGAATCGCAGGACCTCCTGGGCGGCGAGGCCGTGGAGAGGACCAGCAAGACCCTGGAGACCAGCAGAGTAGGACAGGTAAGGATCGGACAGAGCGGATCCAACCAGGTGGGTGGCGTGAGCAGAGACGTTTCCTCCCTCGTGGTCACCGTGGAGAGCAAAGTAGAGTCGCAGGAGATCAACGAAGCCGGTCTCATCGCCCTTGCCCATCATAGCGGCGTAGTTGTAAGACCAGTCTCGGTTGAGATCAATCTTGCCGGGGAGAGGTCCTCCACCAAGGTAAGAGTTCTGGTAGATCTTGGCGGCAATCTGGGGCAGCTTGGCAATGAGGTCGATGGAGTCATCGAAGGTGTACTCCCAGTACTCGGACTTGGGGATACCTCGCTCGTAGGCCTTGGCGAACTTGGAGTCGTGGTTAAGGGCAGACACGGCCATGGAGAACTGGGTCATGGGGTGCAGGGTAGGGGGCAGGTTGTCGAGCATCTTGTTGACAAACTCGGGGACCTCGCCCTTCTCAGCGAGCTCTCGAGACAGGCCTCGGACCTGCTCCTCAGTGGGAACCTTGCCGGTGAAGAGGAACCACAGCATGGACTCGGGGAGCATCTCGCCGCCCTCAACGGCCTTGGGGAGCACCTCCTGGCACTCCTTGATGGTCTTGCCGTGGAATCGGATACCCTCATCAGCGTCAAGAACGGAGCCCTCCCAGAGCATGCACTTGAGGCCTCGCATGCCTCCGAGCAGGTTCTCGACCTTGCAATCACCGAGAGACTTCTGGGAGTACTCGGACTTGACCTTCTTGAAGAGCTCCAGCTTGGCGGGGATGGCCTCCTTGAGGGCGCCCTTGAGGTCAGAAGCAAATCGCTTCTGGACCATGGAGGACACGGAGGTTCGGGCAACACGGGCGGTTCGAAGAGGGATCATTGTGTTGATGTGTGTGGGGTTAGTTACGAAGACTCTAGACCTTGTTCAGAGCGGGCAGGCTCACTTCCTTATATAAAGCTGGCTCGTGGCAATCAGACCCAATAGCCAAAAGCACAAAACGGGCCTCCGGTTAACCTTGTCTTTGTATGCGTGAATGTGAATGCCGGGGGTGAGCCGAGACGACGGATGAGTATAGGATGGTGTGTGGGACAGATGGAAAGATAAGTAAAGCTGGAAACAGAGCAATTGATGGGGAATTTTGCTTATGTGTCTTTTTTAGGGCTCTCAGATCAGCCAATTACAGTATAACCAGTGGGCTCCAACTCCTCCAATATCCGTTTCTCCATAAACTCTGACGTTTGAGTTTGGACACGTCCGACCCGGCTTTCTCGGAGGGCTTTGCAACAAAGGGCCCCGCGCCTGACATTATTATTCATTGCCTGCAAATTCCTGGCAATGGATCTTTTATTTGACCGGTGACAGAAATTCGGCGCGTTTCCCCATGATTGTCTCCTGTACTCACGGAGCCCATCACATGGAGTACACTAAGATTGTTTGAGAGTGTTAGACCTCGAGGAGGAAAACGTGAAATACAATTGAGGTGTACGCGGGGGTAGGGTTTTAGGATCGACGACTGTTTGTAGAATGTGTGTGAGAAGCAATGGGATTAAACCAGATACGTTTCTGCGGCTGTGCAGCCTCGAGGAAACGATTCTCTCCTTTTCCCTACCCAATTGATATATAATTCACACTATAGTCTAGATCGGTCATCTCGGCCCATTTCCCCACGTTTTTGTGGGGTGCAGGTTTGATGCCTCGACCACCTTGTTGGGCCGGTAGGGTAACCAGGGCAGAGCTGGAACAGACCATACACAACACCGAGTGGAATCAGAAGAGATGTGCGGCTCCGGATATACCGGACACCCCTATATTTCCGGCTTGGAGATATTTATTGCGACCCAGTATGGCAGCAATTGGTGATGCAAAACACAATAATACCACAAACGCACTAAAAGCAGGAACTTGCTAATAGGTCGTGGGGGATGAGCGGGGATACGGCGCAACTAATTTCAAGGCACTATTTTCTGACCACGCAATGATCTCTCTCCTTTTGGTAAACGTGTCATGAACTATACCCATAAGGATTTGCGCCTGTCTTACAACCGTTGAGTTTGGAGTGAACTCTTTCTCGAAAAAACAGCGAAATTCAGTACGCGCATGATTCCTCCTGTGTACGATAGTTGACCTCGGTGGGTTTCGAACCCACGACCTCACGCATGCAGACGCGATAAATGGATCGTATCGTAACCTAAAGTAAAAAAAATTGGACATGCAGTAATCAGTTCTGAGACCTTGTAGACACACACAAACATGTCGGACGACGAAAGGGAAATTGATATCACCGATCTCTCGGTCAGGGATAACGAGCTCGACTTCTGCGACGATGCCTCTGACGATGAGTACGCTGGAGACGTGACCTGTCTTTTCAGCGAGGCCACCTTCGCTACCACCAAAGAGCTGTTCGAGCACATGAAGGAGAAATACAACTTTGACTGGGCCGAACACAAGCCCAAGGAGAGCATTGACCAGATCAAGCTGGTTAACTACATCCGAAAGCATAAGGAGGCACCCAAGGCCGGAGAGACGCTGTCGGACGAGTACATGACCCCTGTTCTGGAGAACGATATGCTGATCATGCGACTACTCGAGGAGGACGACGATGAGGAGGAGAAAGAGGTTGATCCTGTCGAGAGGCTCCAGCAGGAGAACGAATTTCTCAAGCAGAAACTCATTGAGGCCAACCGTCTACTTGCCTCGGCTACTGACGATTCTTCTGCCAATGCTAACAAGTCCACTCTTTCTTCGTACGACACTAATTACTTCGATTCGTACGCTCACAACGAAATCCACATGCAGATGCTCAAGGACCGAGTTCGAACCGAGTCATACAGAGATTTCTTCTACCACAACAAGGACAAGATCAAGGGCAAGGTTGTTCTGGATGTTGGATGTGGTTCCGGTATTCTGTCCATGTTTGCTGCCAAGGCTGGGGCTCGACGAGTTTACGGTGTGGACAACTCTGATATTTTCGAGAAGACTATTCTTAATGTGAAGGAGAACGGCTATGATGACGTCATTACCCTGATTCGAGGAAAGATTGAGGATATCAGTAAGAACCCTGCTGCCTTTGGTATCACCGAGAAGGTTGATATCATCGTTTCTGAGTGGATGGGATACGGTCTTCTTTTCGAGAGCATGCTTGACTCCGTTCTGGTTGCCCGTGACGCTCTCAAGCCCGAACTCATGGCTCCATCTCAGACTACTCTCGTCGTTTGTGCTTCTGATGACACCGAGTACCTCGATAACGTCGCTTACTGGGATGACGTTTACGAGTTCAAGATGACTGCCATGAAGCCCAAGAACGTCGAGTCTGCCAAATTCGTGGAGTGCCCCATTGAGGTCTACCCCAAGGAGACTGTGGTCTCCACTTTTGGCGTCATTCGAGAGCTCGAGCTGCATACCTTGACGCTGGGCGACCTTGCCGACTTCACTTCGGACTTCAAGATTGTCATGGAGAAGGATGCCGACGTGACTCTGCTCATTGTGCACTTTGATACCTTCTTTACTGTCGATCGAGAGACACATACCATTGAGAAGGACTCCCAGACTGGCTCGTGGCCCTCTCAAGGAACCGGCATTTCTTTCTCTACCGGTCCCCATGTCACCCCCACGCATTGGAAAGCTGCCGGTCTCCCTCTTCAGAAGAAGTACCCTCTCAAGAAGGGTGACGTGATTGAGGGAACTATGCGATTCAAGAAGGGTCATGAAAACTCCCGAGATCTTCACATTGTCCTCGACACAAAGGTCGGAGGAGATGATATCTCCAAGGTCTACAACATCAGCGCTTAATGTATGTAAAAGTATATAGAACAGTTTAGAATAGGTCTAATATTAACCAAATGTGGCATCATATATATACGTACTATTGTTGAAGTTTCTAGTTGTAGTGTTCATGTGTGTCACTCCTCGAAAAGGGTCACGAACCCCATTCTTCGCTTGTATTCCGCTTGTCCCTTCTTTGAGTTGTCGCACCCAATCTTGGCGACCACGTTCAGATCAAGGTCGTTGAATGTGAGGTCTGAGGTCTGAATGGGCTGGTCAACCGAAATGTTGAAACAGCGCCATCCGAGTGTACATACCTCGATTATCTCGGATGCGAGAGCGAGGGGCCACAGGTGCTTGCCCTTGAACCAGATCAGCGTGAGGATAGCCGCCCCTGCGAGGTGGTTTTCGTATGTGTTTGCGGGAACAATCTTCTTCCACACCTGTCGATGCTGGATCATCTCGGGCGTCATCCATGTGCAGAGTGCGAATGCTGGCAGTAGTTGTAATCTGCTTCCTACGTATCCAATGTACAATCTCGTCAGAGTAAGCACCCCGAATCGCATGTATGGGTCGATGTAGTCCATACGCACAATCGCAGAAGTGGTGAGAATAACCGAAATGATACTTAGGAGGTACCGAACCAGCAGGGCGTTCAAGTGTCGGGGCGTCTGGAGAGGTTTGGGAGGGATCATGTATGGCAGTCTGATGATGATCTGCCCCATGACATAGAGCCCCAGAAACATTCCAATGTTGTGGTTGTCGAGACCGATCCACAGAGATAGAAGCGCGTATGTGCCGACATGTGGCCCGGTCATGAACAGGAACACCTGGTTCAGTGTAGTCACAGGTGCTAGTTTGTGACAGACTGTAACCAACGTTTCTTCGTCTGAGGCGTAGTCTAATTGCATTATCTCTGTTCTGAAAAGACGCGAGATGTCTTCTGTGGAGTTGTGGTTTGTTTCAGCGGTTCGCCTGTCGTCTGGTGGCCATTAAGCCCGTCGTATTTGTTGTTGCGTGAGATTTGGAGATCTGAGAAAAATCGAGTGCGTTGCCGAGCATGCAGGTCTCATGCGGCCTTTACGATGTAGACGGCATTTAGCCGTTTTTGGTGGGTTCGGGCAAGTTAAACTTATACCGGCTCTTCGGTTGTTGCGGCAAACCCAGTGCTTCTTTCGAGGGTACTGTAGGTATGAGGACGTCGCGAGTGATTGTCCTTGGAGCGTGTTCTTTTTTTGGGGGGCGGGCATAATAGTTCCTCTTCGAGGGTTCACAAGATGTTTCGAGGCGCTATATTCAAGTTCACGTGATCAGTGGCCATGCACTGCAGTATATACGCATCCATCTTGTAATAGTTATATAGGTGCCATATGTTCAATAATGTCCACCCCGACATAGAAGTGCCTCATCTTCAAGTAAACTTTGCCAGACAAGGTTTGTGATACAGCAAATGACTGTGATTACTAATTCTCTCACGCAGGATTATGTACTTGTAATAGGGTGCGAGAGCTTTCTATATGCGCAGAAGCTGATGATAACCCGCGATGCTATCGCACTCGCATGCCTTAGCGAGGACGGCCTGCTGGCAAGGCATCACACGGGGGCAACCAGACATTGGCAGAACACAAGTAGCCACCCAGCCATGTCACTCTGAAAAGTGCCAACCACAACAGCAAACGCGCTGACATGTGAAATCAGTTGATTAATAATACGATGCGCCAATGGTGGCGAATGTGGATAGAGGAGAAGAGCAATGCCGATAGAAGGACTAACGAATGGCCCGACGAGCATGTGTCATTATTGCAAATGAGAATTCCAGGGACCCAAGCACGACTACACAATGCCCGAAAAACAGTAAGGGAGTCTGCGGTACTACAAGTAGCTAGAGCAGCGATGTCGCCCATCAACATATCACACCGACCCCATATGTATGTGGGGACCTCATGTGTCGAGACCAAGGCCGTACAAGTACGAGTACTCGTACATACTACAAGTAGCACCTCTGAATCCAAACAGGTGCCCCTCGACAACTCGCCAATCAAAACAACTTTGTAAAGCAGTCCATGGACTCCGTGGAGAGACGGTAGGCTCATATGATGCCGAGGAGCCAGCGGAAGTAGCAGCTCATCCCGAAGAACAAGGGTGGAGAGTACAGAAAGAAACACCATCCAAGACAAGGACAATCACGCGAGCAACCCATTTCCATCCGCCCACCGAACAAGAGACAAAATTGACCTGGTTGCACATAATTCTAGTGCAATTGCAGTTGCCAAATCGAATATTTCCGATAGCAGCCTCGGGTATAAGATTTGCATACTTCAAGTGGATATTAGTACAGTGAAACCCAAGCGCTATTATCTATAAAAGTACTACCATCGATTACCTATCTCTCTTTACTTAGTTACAATCCCAGCCGTCTCTGGAGAGCAAGCTTGCCCTGCTCTGTGGTGACGTCGATACCGTACTCCATGAACCGTAAGCTCTCGACGGGATGGAAGTAGGCAAAGTAAGGAATGGCCATCTTGTGGTGCACTCCGTAGACCTGGGCCATAACGTAGAGTCCCAGGGCTTTCAATGGCCAACCCAAAAGCTCAAAGCCGTCGTCTTTAGGTTGAACGATGGCGTATAGAGCGACGTAGGAAAGGGGGAAGGCCCAGGCGACTCCCAGACCCACATCCACGTATTTCGTGAAAATCATGCTGCCAAACCGGTCAAGGGTCTTCTTGGAGAAGACCTGTGGAAGACCAAAACCAGGCAAATATCGGAGTCGCTTCGTAATGAGAGTAGCCCAAAACTGGGAGGCAATCAGAATAGCTATCTTCAGACCCAGTACAGTGTAGTCCACAGCCCCGTCAGAAGAGAGACCAAACTTGCCATTGATGTAAAGCCGAGTAGAGAGAACCACAAACAAAAACCGGTAGTAGTTGATGGTAACATGCGAGTTGGGTTCCGAAAAGACGATTGGCTTGGGAACAACAGCCTTGCTGATGAAAAATGCAACTCCCACAAGAGCCACGAAGCCTGCGACAGGAACAATGGTCCGCATGTTACCCGTCAGACTTGTGTCATGGAGGTACAGCCAGTGCATTAGCCATCCTGCACCCAGGGAAAACCGTCCGAGGGGACTGGCCATGTTCTTGGTGGCTCTATTGACGCCCAGGCCGGCCTTCATTTGCTCACATCTCTCAATTACCAACTTTTCGTCGGTGGTATCGTATCGCTGTTCAAAATGATGTGACATGGTGTATCGTAGTAAGAGTGTTGATAACTATATGGTCCCGCGCTCTCTTTATAGAGGGGGAAATCACATGCGCCAGCTTTAATCTGGAAAAGAAAACCCTTTGTACGTACACCCGCAAGTCTGCTACTACCACTTCAAGGCACACCCAAAGCTTCAACCCCACGTTCAGACTATCGTTTTGAACCTAAGATAAAACTCAATGGACCGGTGACTTTTGAGGTTTCATGTCTTTCTAAACCAGGCTAGAGCGTATGACATGATAAAGTGTCTCTTTATTAGCATTGTTTTACACGTGAAAACTTCACGGAATCGCTTTTCTTTGTACCCACACTGCCCCCCACCACGCGACCTCCCTCGCGCTCCCCTATCACTCTTTTTTGCTGCAGCGAAGTGTTTCAGTTCCCCACTAAATCCTGATCGGAAGAACTCTAACCTCCGTAGCTCCGTCCATGTCACCCTACAGTACGTACTGTACTGGTACGCTTGACGTTCAGCTATCAAGCAAGCCAATATCATTACACGCCACCGCCGCTCTAGTCTAGAAACAGAGCTGCTATTTCAAAACACTGCCCATATAACCGGCAACGAAACAGCCATCTGTATAGCCATAGACGAGTACAACCATCACCAAGTTGTACACATCCATAGTGACTACAAGTACACACGATAGACACATTCTTCTCACCTGTAGCTATGGTATTGCTGTGTGCACCTTATCACATAGATCACTCGACCGCCTAGCCACCTCCTGTCCCTTTTTAGTACACGGGCTATTTTAACGAGAAATAAACATTTACCACTTCCACTTCCCTGTCTCGGACCATCTTCACGTTCACACAATCTCCGGCTGCACTTGCCCCGCGCAAAATAATCCGTAAGTACCCCGGATATGCCCCTCCACATTTGCTATGTGTAGCCCCAAATAAACTACCAGTAAAAGCACAAGCACACCGGCCACAACACCTCAAAAGCAGGGCCGTAAACTCTATCGCCCACACTACTCGGACTTGTACTGTAGAGCAACAGGCACATACAACACCCTTTACTATACGCCATATAATTAATTAGATAACAAACTAAACTCTCCTTACATCATGTCCTGCTCGTCGTAGAACTCGCCCTCTTCGTCGTCGACCTGAGCCTCCTGGTACTGCTGGTATTCGCAGACAAGATCGTTCATGTTAGACTCAGCCTCGCTGAATTCCATCTCGTCCATACCCTCGCTGGTGTACCAGTGCAAGAAGGCCTTTCGTCGGAACATGGCTGAAAACTGGTCACCGACTCGCTTGAACAGCTCCTGGATAGAGGTGGAGTTTCCAACAAAGGTTCCGGACATGGGCAGACCCTTGGGTGGCTGGGAACACACAGCAGTCTGCACATTGTGAGGGATCCACTCGACAAAGTAGTTGGAGTTTCGGGTCTGGACAGACAGCATCTGGTCCTCAACCTCCTTGACGGAGACCTTTCCTCGGAAGAAGGCGGCGGCGGTCAGGTATCGGCCGTGCTTGGGGTCCGAAGCAGCCATCATGTTTCGAGAATCAAACATCTGCTGGGTGAGCTCGGGGACGGACAGAGATCGGAAGTTAGCGGACTTGAGAGATGTGAGAGGAGCGTAGCCGACCATGAAGAAATGGAGTCGGGGGAAGGGCACCAGGTTGACGGCGAGCTTTCGCAGATCGGAGTTGAGCTGGCCGGGGTATCGGAGACAAGTGGTGACACCAGACATGACAGAGGAGACCAGGTGGTTGAGGTCGCCGTAGACGGGGTGTGGCAGCTGCAGGGTTCGCATGCAAATGTCGTAAAGGGCCTCGTTATCGATACAGAAGGTCTCGTCGGAGTGCTCGACCAGCTGGTGGACCGACAGGGTGGCGTTGTAGGGCTCGACAACTGTGTCGGACACCTTGGGCGAGGGGACAACGGAGAAAGTGGCCATCATTCGCTCGGGGAACTCCTCTCGGATCTTGGCGATCATCAGGGTACCCATACCAGAACCGGTACCTCCACCCAGAGAGTGCGTGATCTGGAAACCCTGGAGCGAGTCACAGTTCTCGGCCTCACGTCGCACAACATCGAGAACCTGGTCGACAAGCTCAGCGCCCTCAGTGTAGTGACCCTTGGCCCAGTTGTTACCAGCGGAAGACTGGCCAAAGACAAAGTTATCAGGTCGGAAAAGCTCCCCGTAAGGACCGCCCTTGACAGCGTCCATGGTGCCGGGCTCAAGATCAACAAGAACGGCTCGGGGAACGTACTTGTTGGCAGCAGCCTCGTTGTAGTAGACGTTGAGTCGCTCTCGCTGAATATCCTCCTCGCCGCCGTAGACTCCGTCGGCTCCGATGCCGTGCTCGCCGGAGATGGTCTGCCAGAAAGCAGAACCGATCTGGTTACCGCACTGGCCGATGGATAGATGGACAATTTCTCGCATCTGTGTTAGCAAAAAGTAGCTGGGTCGTGTTTGCGCTGTGGTACGTTGTGGTGGCACGATAATATGTTGGGAGGTGCTGTCCTGTGCGTGCTGTGGTGTGCTGTAAGCATAGAATAATATCTCCTGAATTTGTTTGTAGACCGCCAGAAGGACGTGTTATCTCGTGATTGTGGACGTGTTATGGGTTTAAAACTTCATCCAATGAAGTCGGACCTCACCGCAGGTCTTCTGTATACACAATCGTCGATATACGTGTCTGTGTCTGTGTCGTTGTCTCTCCTGAATGCCACCACATTGACCAATTCGCATCATCCATAAATAGGGGTCGTATTATTCCCCACCATCAACATATCTGTGACATTCGGTAGACTCGCCTATCAACACAAGCAACAAGGCTCTCAGCCAGCAGCAGACAACACCTCTGTCGCTATCTCGTCTCTAGGTTGTGAATCACGGGCCAACGGTCCATGTCAAGGGGGGGCGTGACGCTCAAAAACCGCACAACAGCTTCCGCCAATCGGAAAAATCGCCCGCTTGTGCGTCTAGCAACACCATTCTCGTCTCGCCTGGTACTCACTGGGTATCTGTATGTGTCGTGGAGTGGTTGTGATGGACAGGAGTTTTTCTGCTTGTGCCCCTAATCTTGAAAACGCGTAAATAAGATTAGTGTTGTTTACGCTGCCGGTTGTCTGGGAGACGCGTGTTACCCGGAAGTGTTGGTTCTCTTAGGGAAGCTAGCCCTTATACACTTCCTTATTGGGACCATGCATCGATCACTGTTTAGAGGCAACGTGTAAAGGGGGTGGTCCTGGTTTGGACAGCGGGGATGGATGATGTGTGATGGTTTTGAGGTTGCAAGTAAAGGGCTGTAACTGAAGAGGACATAGCCGTGTTAAATTCCGGTCCTGAAATATCTTTCAAGATGAATCTAGGGCTACATAATGGAACTGGTCACGTGTTGCACATAAATACGAGCGTGGTGCCAAATATGGTTTCTAGTCCCTGACTGTACTCTGGTGGCTGTAATGATAAGAGGATGAGGAATTACAGTAATAGCTATATACTCGTAGCTATGGTAAAAGCTACAGTATGATGACGATTAGAGAGACCTGTGAATACCGAGAGAAACTGGTTTGTATCTTGTGTCCCTGCTCTTAGTCAGAATATGTCACAGTAGTTTGCGATGATCAGCGAATTTGGATGTATCACTTGGTATCGACACAACAGAGAGAAACAAAACACGATGTAGACAGTGAATTTGACAGCTCATGTTTTGTCATACGTGTTCAGATACTGTGCAAGGACACAGCGTCATAAAGCAATGTCGTGGGATACGACTACTGTATTATAAACGGCCCACAGGTATACTGTACGAGTAGTCTTAACCCCGCACATCTTGCCCGTTTGGTGGTCCTGGGCTTATGACTAGGGATTACGATTGAAGAGATGGTTCAAGGTTTGAGTGATGTTGCACTTTGTAGAGAGACATTGAGAACGGACTTGTGCGGACTCGTATGTACTCGTACTGTACTTGTGAGATACTGCTAAATAAATTAAGTATGACGGATGGTTATATGTCTATAGTCATTGAAACTTATCACTTGAGAGTCGCTTACAGGTATACATGTCCCCTCATCGTCAGTCTTGACATAACTGGAGCTACACATCCGCTCCCTCATATTTTCCTGCTCTTAGCACACGATATTGTATGTACGAGTGGACACTAATACAGCAAAGAGCGGGCGCAGCACGACTTGGCAGTATCCGTTGTCTACTCGTACTTGTAGTAGTCGCGATAATGATTTGAGAGGTTGCTTACAAGCGGCTTGGGGACAAATAATGAACAGTCGCAACGAGACAAAGACCGACAATATTACCTCGCGAGAAAACGGCGAATATTTCCATCAATCTCTGGCATGCAGTTGTCGTGGGGGTTGACTTTGCGCTGCAGGACCGAGCAAATTCACCAAATCTTCTCTTGGCGTGGGCCTGACAAAATTCGCTCCCCTCTTTTTCGGAATAGACCGGGCTGTGGCGGGTTTGACCGGAAGGAGTAGACGTAGCAACAAGTTGAAAAAAAAAGTACATTTTTCGTGCCACTACATGCCCTTGTACGAGCACATACAAATTTGAACCGCATTGAACATGGGACAAACTACAAGTAGCGGTGAGTATGTAAGAGGCACGTATTGGACGGCAATATATGTACGGTAGTATTCGTACCTACATTTGCGCTAAGTGCCGCCGTCCACCTACATACGATACATGTATACGTCCACAGGCTGTAGGTGGTACCTGGTGCTAATACATTTATATGCATTTAAACGGGCATAAAATAGATGTATTACATTCGGGGGAACTCCATGGGCTCTTGTTGCACGAAAAAGTGTGACTCAACAAGGGTCTCATCTGCCTAAAACAGAGCACTCATGCAGACAACCGACATCATGTGCGTATGCCAAGCCGACGGTACTGTGTTTTTCCCAATCAAATACGTTAAGTGGACAAGGCCATATCTCATGCCAGATCCTGGTCCCTTTCTATATAAGAGATGATCTGGCACATTAGCATGGGCTTCTATAACTTCAACAGCGACCTTCGTCACCATTATTGCCCGGGGCCAATAAAATTAAGCACTAAGATAAAGACTGCGGCTGATACCTGATGAGACCAAGCATAGACTAAAGCAGCAAAAAAGGGACCATAATACTAGTATTCAACCAAATCAGCAGTTGCGGCAGTTTCAACATTACACGTTCTTTGAACTTTTATAAGAGCCCAGAGCCTTTCGCTTCATTCTCTTCTTTTTCTACGACACAGCCATCTCCACAATGAGACTGGTTTCATTTCTCCCATTATTGCTGATCCACACGACAGCAGCGACGTCAGCAGATACCACAGCAGTAGATTTGTCAGACTTCTACGCAGGAACAAATCCTAGTGCACTTGATTCGGCTATTTCAGTGCCCGAGGGAAATTACAAGCCCAAACACGTGGTTCACATTTCCAGACGACGTCTGATATGCAGAACCAACGAAGATACAGGAGAAGAAATCTGCAAGGTGGACAATTCCGACCCCCAGGAATCAATCATCGAAGAAGTTGATTGTTCCAAGAAGGAGAGAAACACCAATGTTGGTCTCAGAGTAGGTGCTCTGTTTGCTGTGCTCGGTACTTCTGCTCTGGGCGTGTTCCCTCCAGTGCTGGCTGAATCCATCTGGAGAATCAATCTCGAAACTCTCCCTATGACCTTCATCAAACAGTTTGGCACAGGTGTCGTTCTGTCCACTGCATTCGTTCATCTAGGAGCTGAGGCTACCGAAGAGTTCAACAACCCCTGCATCGGAGAGGTTGAGTACAAGCCTACTCCCCTGGCCTTTGTGCTGGCTGGCCTCTTCATCTCCTTCCTCATTGAATACCTCGGAGCCCGTCTTTTGAGATGGAGAGCAAACACCCTAGAGGCTCGACGAAACGAGAACCAAGACTGCGAGGAGACCAAGTGCGGACATGATCACGACCACGGCCATATTATTGACAACACTGGAGGAGACACTGAGGACTCTGACAATGGGGGAGAACCCGTTCAAGAGATTGTCGAAGATGTTATTGAAAAGGCTCCCTCTCGTCTCTCTTCCTCTTCTGTCAGAAGAAGTACTACTCAGACAACTGCTCCCCCTCCTCCTATCGCCGGCGGATGCCACTCCCACGGTCTCATTGACCCCACTGATAAGTTTTCCGTCTGGATTATGGAGGCAGGTATCATTTTCCACTCTGTTCTGGTTGGAGTCACCGTCTCTCTTGCTGAGGAGGACACCTTCATCACCTTGTTTATTGCCATTCTGTTCCACCAAATGTTCGAGGGTGTTGGTCTAGGGTCGCGTATTGCTGGCCTGAAGGAGTCTCGCCTCATTTCCAAGTGCCTCATGTGCTTGTGGTTCTCCATCATCACCCCCATCGGCATGGCCATTGGTCTTGGCGTGCTTGACCACTTTGAAGAGAACCCTACCACTCTGTGGGCTCTCGGTAGTATCGACGGTCTCTGTTGCGGAGTTTTGGTGTACGCTGGTGTTGTAGAGATGTTAGGCTTTGACTGGCTGTTTGGTGACCTCCAAGATGCTCCTCCTCTTCGAGTCTGCGTTGGCCTTGTCGGGCTCACTCTCGGAATGCTGCTCATGTCCCTGGTTGGACACTGGGCCTAACACTGTCGTCATACATGTGTTACAGGTATATGACGAATAAAATAAAAAACATAGATATTTAATTGCATGAATAGTTCATTGGAAGTGATGAGTGTAGGTCAATTTGTAATTATGTGATATCATCATACACCCCAACTAACATACTGTAATGTACGCTACCCTGAGTACAGTACAAGTACAATAACATTAGTTCAGCGGTACAGTGAAAACCGTTTATTCAATAAATAGCGCCGGAGGTCGGCTATGTCGTAAGATTCTCCTTTCTTCTAACCTTTTTTGTGTGTACAGTAACGTAATATCGTACCTTTTAGGCAAAGTAGATGCCAGCTTTGTGGAACTCATTCAGCAGAGTGAGAAACTCGGTCTGGTCACACTTTGCGGATCGCATTTCTCCGATGCCGGTGTCGGTGAGAATCTTGTTGATCTTCTGCTTGACAACGTCAGAGAGGTTGGATCCCTCAGGAATGATCTCGCCCTGGGTGGAGAGCCAGGTCTGGTAGTTCTTCTCGAGAACTGCCAGAACAGCGCTGGTCTTGAAGCCGGCGTTGATAGTCTTGTTCTTTCGAACGAAACAGACTCGCAGAAGACCATCCCACTCGTTGAAGTCGATAGGAGGCCGGGGGTTCTTGACCTCAATCTTGACGACCGAAGACTCAACATTGGGAGGAGGTCGAAAGTTACCTCGGCCGACCTTCATGACGTGAGAAACCTTGGCCCACATCTGCACATTGACAGACAGTCGGCAGTACAGAGAATCACCGGGTCGAGCCAGAAGACGCATGGCAAACTCGTGCTGGAACATCAGCACTGACACTCGCGGGGGTCGAGGCTGGTTCAGCAGCTTGAAAACCAGGGGAGAAGAAATCTGGTAAGGTGTGTTGGAAATGCAAACGTCAAAGTAAGGAAGCTCTGTCTTAATACAGTCTCCCAGCATGATTTCCAGTTTCTTCTGCTCAGGCTTGCCCTGCACTCGCTTGGTCAGCTCGGCAGCCATTCGAGGATCCATCTCCACAGCAATCACCTTTCGAGCCTTCTCGAGAATTCGAACAGTCAGGTTACCAGTACCGGGACCGACCTCCAGAACGGTATCACTGGGCTTAATGTCGGACTTGTCGACAATACCCTGGGCCACCAGAGGGTTTTTAAGAATATGCTGACCGAGATCAGTGTTCATTTTGAAGACGGCAGTCTTTCGCTGCTCGCCGCCTGCAGACTCCCTCTGGGCGCCTCCGGAGAACTTCTTTGCTGGTGCCTTGGCCATTTTCTTATGCTGTTGTATAGTGGTTTGTGAACTGAAAAAAAAGATCCAAAATTTATTTTCGATTCATGCATGCAGAAAAAGCTAACTGGCATGGCACTGAGCATGCACAAAGAATCGCCCCCAGAAGTGCCTTAATAATCAAAGAAGATTGTTTTGAGCGTTTCCTTTGCAAACACCCGATTTTGTTAGAATGGCATACTTTTAATCAGCCCTTCCCCAAACATCAAGTTCACAATGTAACTCCAACTAACTCTTAACCTATCAGAATGTAGAGATATGCAAGATTGTGACATGGTAGAATAAGCATCACATCAACACAATACAATGGCCAAGAGAATCAGCCGACCCACAAATCTGAAGAGCAAACCACGACCTCTGCCAGTCGACATGCTGGTTCCTGCCGACAAGGCTCGAGGGTGAGTTGAAGGAGGGAGGTGCAATAAGAGAGCAGTATTGATGATCTGGAGTGTACACAGACCTTGCCACAGCGACACAGATACGATGAACGTACCGCTCTAGAGAACCAACACTAGAGCTTGAAGCTTTTTTGTTTACTGGTTTTTGCCTCACAGTCGCGCCATAGGATCTTGGTATATAGACGCTACCACAGTCTTGTGATACACTGCGGTACACTTGTGCTAAGCTTGGGTGAACTGTGTTTTGACATTGCTCTCATTATTCGACTTCTAACACAGATTCAAGATGATCCTGCTGTCGCTCCCTTTTGTGGTCCTCTCGTCAGTCATTCTCTACAAGCGTCTATACATGGGAGAGGACAAGCGCGTTCAGATTGGTGAACAGACAGAGGAGGGCATCCGATGGTTCACGCCTGAGGAGATTAAGAAGAAGGACGAAGAAAAGATCTTCACCAAGGTCTTTGGAAATGAAGACTGGCTCAAGAACAGCAGGACTAACAACTAATCCACCCACATATTCGTCTGTATTCTGTATATAATATATATTTTTCGATGCTATAGAAATGGTGTGTATACGTAGCACTGCCAGAGCGCTTTGAAAACTGTAGAATTGAAAAAAGATCCATATCCCTCGGTACTGTACCTGTACCTCATCAACAATCCTCCTGGTCAAAGGCTTTGTGTGATTTGTAGTCAAGGGGACGACCTCCTGTCACACTTAGAATCAAAGCCTTAAGCTACGTCCCCACCATAGGCCACGGTCAACGCGATCTATGGTTGAGAATTCCTACCGGACCACTGGTTTGGCGATACGCACGCCAGCGTTGGCAAGAGACATACCATCACGAGAAGAAGCACCTCTAATGCCTTCCCGAGACACTCGTCCAGAGTGGTACGAGTTGTATCCTTCTCTTGACACTGCTCGAGGAGTACTGGGAGGCATCAGAGATTGACGCTTCACAGGTGAAGGGAGAAAGGAGCTTCGGCGACTGTTGCTGCTTGTGCTGGACTCGCTACGTCGCCTAGAGGCGTCGGTCAGGACGGGGGTGTCGCTAACCGACCGCATACCTGAAAGACCGGCAGCTCCAGTTCCTGAGTAACTCAGACGAGGCTTTCGAGTAGGAGTAGCCAAGGGGGTCGCGTAGGAGCCTAGTCTAGATGACGATCGGCTGGCAGGCCGGTTTGGAGAAGGTAGGGGAATGAGAGACTGTCTGCTTGAACCGTTAGGCTGAAGAGAAGGAGTCTCACCTAGCTTCACTGTAGAAGTAGAACCGATAGATGATCCAAAAGACGTATCGGAACAAGATGATAGCGAGCAGATGGATGCTGAATCGGGAGTGGAAGGTTTGCTGCCCAGTTGGGGGTATCTGTGGAGCAGTCTGTTTGGAGAGTTAGTAACGGGAATGAAAGATTTAGTTGTCTTGAGACTTCTAAACTTGTTGAAAATGGCAGCATTGGGAATGGGTCCGCTGTTGCAGCCACACTTTGAGTCCTTAGAGTCCCTCAAAGTGGTCCCTTCGCCTAGAGAAGCTGTAGGAGACTCAATAGACTCCAACGTCTCCATGATGACACTCATATCATGCAACGGAGACTTCTTGTGTGAACTGGTGGATGGAGGCAACTGAATGTCTTTGAGAGGTACCACTGGCTCCGATGCCTCCAGTGCGTCTGAGTCAGGTGTAGACACAATCACTGACGAAGAAGAAGAGTTGGATAAATCAGAAGAGGATATGTTTGCATAGTCGTTTCGCTCCTGAAGCTGTTTGTCGCTTTCAATTTGCTGGTTCAATTTGCTGCTGTCGATATCTCGAAGTACGTGATTCTCGCTGGTTGAGTGTCGTTTGATCACAGGCTTGGGTGAGAATCTGTCCAGAGACACAACTCGCATATGCAGTCTTCTATTGACGGGAAACTGGGGTGCGAATGACAGCCGTGGCGAGATGGCTCCATGATCCGATATCTCTGTGGTTTCAGAGCACTCGGAGAAGATTGACGAGTTGGTAGACAGTCTCTTAGTCGATAGAACCTTAACTTCCTCCACAAACATGTTCTTGTCGTTGCAGACTCGCTGGAGAACAGTCAGTAATGCCGCGTCGAGATCTTCACCGAGCTGGTCGATGGCCAACTGCAGAATCGAAGACCATTTCTTGGTCGACAACTCCTCATTCACCAATGCAAACTCCCCCTTAAGATTGTGCCACTGCTGTTCCAGATTGGTCCAGTTCATGTTCACCAGAGATGAAAATGTCGGGAAAATGGGCTCACATCTGGAAGAGAACTGGGCCACCCTCTCGGGAATGAAACCGAGAGACACAGTCAGCGGCTTAATCTTGGTATCGTTGAGTTGACAGAAGGTCTCCTTGATACTTTTGTCCTGACGAGTCAACCAAGGGTATACTTCTTTGGCCACATGGTCGAGTTGGGATGCAGAAATCTGCCCTGTGAAACTAGACTCGAGCCGTTTCTCCTTGATCTCAAAGACCGTGCTCATGCATTGACTAATTTCCGCGTCGATATGTCCAATCACTTGTTCACACAGCTCAGTGTACTCAATAGCCACTTCCATCTGGTGACACAGTGTCGCGATTCCCTCCAACCTTTCTTTGTCGTGATCTGTATCCTCCGCATTGTGTCCATCATTGTTGTCGATATCATCCTCGTTCCCTGCTGCTAATACAACCAGCCTTGGTGTGTCTTTGACCAATGCCACAAGCCTTGGTAACAGGTCTGTATGTTCCAAAAACCACTCTCCTTCAGAGGAGCTATTCTTAAGAACTGGTTCCAGCGTGGCCTTGCGCTGATTGACGAACTCATGCAAGCCAATCGATGATGGTCTAACATAGTCGATATCCCAAGTTTCCCATCCATTCAGTCGAACAAAATCGTCTCTCTGCTTCTCGAGATTGGAAGCACACGTGGATAGCATGTTATAAGTGTTTGTGTCGTGCAATTACCATGAAACTGGCTGTCGATAGCGTACTATGGCTGAAGTACGCTTGCTATTGCTATTACTTGTCGAGTGTCAAGTGTCGAGTGGAGTGTCGAGTGTTTGTTTAACGTGTGTGTGTAGTGTCTGTGTGGTGGAGCGCTGTCCGAGTGGTGTTGCAATGTCCTAGTGGCCTGAAATGCCGTGCTGCCCTCTTATGTTCACCCTGTGTTATGACACGTCTGATAGATATGTGGTTGAGATATCAGTTGGTATGTAAACCAGCTCTCTGGTAACGTTATGTACGCCAGCACTTGGAGTGCATGTTTCATGCTTCATTGCATTCTGCCTCTGGGACAATCTAAACATACGAAACCTTGGAAGGGAATATGTAAACATAGCGAACACAAAACATAGCAATTGTGTATGCAGGTCAGTGTCAAGTACATGAATAATAATATTGAATCCCAACCTCAAACACATGAAACAGACCCACATATCACCATCTATTTACCTTGGGTATCACACACTATGTATAGCTGACTGCTCATGCTGTACAGTGCGGCTGCCTTTACAGTCTCCCCGGCAACGGACCTTAGGCTGTATCACTTAAAGTTGAGTCTAAAAATCGCCCACAAAGAAGTCAAGAATGTTCCGGTTGACAATAATATTCTGCCATATGCCCCATCCCCTTCACCCTGCCTAAGAAAGTACAGCCCCAAACGCGCTGGGCGGTTCACGTATATTGTAAATACACGAACCTCCTTCTATGTAGGGGCTTCTCTCCAGGAAAAAACATGGCCTGTCTACAGTTGGCATGTGTGCACCCTAATCCCAAGAACGCACTCAGAGAGGGTGTACATATGTCAACTATGTTATCACCGAAAAATATCATTACTTGTACGTCACAATACCATATCTCCTTTTTTAGTTAGCAATTTCATCTCGTCTCCATCCGACACTTCGGAATGTAGTCAAGTCCTTAGAAGGTTGCGGTCGCCCGTTGTCAATGACGAGCGCAAACGGGTTTCGATCGGAGGTCTGGTGCAGATTTCCGAAAGTGTGATTCACTTCACAATGCTTAGCTTCGTCGGCCCGCACATATTGGATTAAATCACGCATGGTACAGTCGTCCTCCATATGCCAGTAGGTTCTGGCGATGTCAGGAACTTCCATCGATGCGAGCTCCGGCAGACGTCCGGCGTCAATGTCTTCCAGACACCTGGTGTAGGTGATGACAGCCTCTTCCTCAAGGTAGCCCACGAACCGATGACAGGTTGCGGGGGAGATCAAGTAAGATATGAAGAAGAGGTTGTAGAAGATGATCTGACCGATCAGGAGCCCAGTGCGCATCTGTACACTAGGCTTCTGTAGCTTCAAGAATGTCAGAAGATGCATTCTCTCATTGTAAGCTTCCTCAACCAGAGACTCGATCCAGGCTCTATCACGTCTCAAGGCACGTAGCGAGTGAAGGTGTCTGATCATCCCGGCCACCATTCCGGGAACTCCAGCAATGGACTCTAGAAACAGGAATCTGTCTAGCCACTGTCTGGTGGTCATACGGAACTTTGGTAGATGGGCTTCCCCTTCTTTTGGGTGCTTGTAGCCGGTGCATAAGTCGAAAATGATTCTCATGAGGAGAATAGCTCTCAGGGCGACCCGGTCGGAAAACGTCTCAGTCTTTCGATGATTGACCTCGAGAGCGTCCATCTGCTCCTTGGTGTAGACTGGATGGATCCAAGCGGAGCCTGTGAAGTACTCATGGTGGTGCGATGAGGTAGCGTAGAGAGACACGTCATCGGGTTTGGAGTTAGCCATTGTGACAACGGAAGCAGCAGTGGATCCATAGGCTGAAGTGGTATCAGTAGCGAGCTCAGTTGAAGGATTATTCTCGTCTTCATCGTCCGTCGATCTGAACCGTCCCAGAAGGTTTGGGGCTCGAGCATTGACATAGGTCTGGCCTCGGTTGGCCCAGTCTCTGACAGTCATGATATGTCGTGGATTTGTGCGTACTTTAAGAAGGTGAAATTAGAGAAAATGGGCTTTTGTTATATAAGATGGATGTGGTTTTGTGTCCCTTACATCATGTACAGTAATTATCACAGTGATGGGTTTTGAGTTCCTTATCCACAGCTTAATTTTCACCTGACGGACATCACGCGAAGAGAGTGACAGGGACGTGAGGTTAATCTTCCGAGTTTGAATTTGACATACTGTAACAACATATTATTGAATTTGCAGAGCCCTTGAACTATTACGGGATAGTCGTTCCACGTGATCCCTCCATGTGCCACATTATAGGGCATGATATCTGCGCAGTTTCACTTTTTGCAGATTATGCACCACCGTTATATGTGCATGGAGATGGAGCATCTGGCAGGGCTTGTATGTATACTTTAGGGAAGCGAGATGCAGGATTCTTACAACTGCGCACTGGGCTACAATACATGTACTCTAGGTACTGTAGCTACTGTCATGGGGAAAAATCAAACCGCGTAGCAGTGATACACCGATTCACGTGCCAGAATCTTGTGGAATAGGAACAAATCTGGTGCGAGTTCGTGTTGCTTGTGAGACTCAGGGGTACAAGTATGAGTACGGTGCAAGTGGCTAAGGGGCAGGTATTCGAGCTAGAATAAGTCACTAGATGTACCACTACTCGCACCACTACGTCTCTGCTTTAATCTACACTGTTTTAGAGGTTCTATAATGCTGTATTTTTTATGTGTTATAGACCAATTAGTTGGCCTCATGCAAGTCACGTTGGGGACTGAATAAATAAGTGTTGAAAATAAATACATCACCACTGGGTGATTTCGACCTCGGCCTCACCAAACAGCGATGACTTGCCCAGCTCGCCCACCTTGGCCTCCTCCCAGGAGACGCCGTTGGTGTTGATAATGTCGGGCACGTTGGCGGCCAGGAACTCGACAATCTCCTTGTTAATGAGAGCAAAGTCCAGCAGGAAGGCGTCGTGGCCCTCAGGCGAGTCGATGGTAACCAGGTGCGAGTTCTTAACGTTTGCGGCAATGAGTTCCTGCTCAGCGAATGTGAAAAGTCCGTCAGACTTAATACCAATGATAAGAGCGTTCTGCTCGAGAGTCTGGAGAGCAGCCTCAACAGATTCGGCTCTCTCTCGAGACACATCATGAGTGTCCAGCTTTCTGGTGATTGCGATGTAGCAGTTGGCGTCGAATCGCTTTGTGAACTTGTCCGATTGGTATCGGAGGTAGTTTTGGGCTGAGAAGTGGGTGGGTGGCTTCTTCTTGACAGCAAGAGGAACAAACGAAGACGAAGAAGAGACAGAAGATGTATCGTCGAGAATGGAACCGTTGGTGCTCACGCTAGAGGGCTGAGAAACACCGTTGGCAGTGGGAGTGGAGCTACCTTCTTCATCGGCCATCTTCTTTCCTCGCATGTGACCGTCGTTGTGAATGAGCCAATGCTCCTCAGAAGCAGTCTGAGGACCTCGTCGTTGGGGTCCGTTAATTGTCTTATGTCGAGTTGGGTCGGGCGTGTCTCGTCCAAACTTGTTTTCAAACGAGTCTCTGGATCGGTAGGTCAGCAGAGCAGCCATTCGAGCGGCTCCGAGGCCCGAGGAGGGCGGATCTTCAAACGAGTAGTACCCGTCGTCGTACTTGGGGTCCGAATAAATGCACTGCCGCTGGGCCTCTCCCCAGGAAATGCACCAGGCTGAGTGTCGAGCCGAAGTGGCGAGCGCCACAAAGGTCCGCACGTAGTCCTTACCGAAAAAGGCGTACTCCAGCGTCAGCATGCCGCCCATAGATCCTCCAATGCAACAGGCGATCTGCTTGATTCCTAGGTCGTCCAGCACCAGTCTGTGGATGTTAACGTCATCTCGAACGGTCACCAGTGGGAACTCGGGGCCGTAGTATGTGTTCTTATCAGCTCCGGGGGTGTTGTCAGCGGTGCAAGGAGAAGCCGAACCGTAGGGTGATCCGAGGGAGTTGAGACACACAATGAAGAATCGGGTGGGATCGAACGCTCGGCCAGGGCCAATAAGAGGGCCCCACCAGTCGGAGACGTCAGCGGAACCGGTAAGAGCGTGGCAAATAACCATGGCGTTATTTCCAGCTTCATTCAGAACTCCCCACGTCTTGTAGGCGATAGGAACATTGTAGATAGTGACTCCGGACTCTAGTTGGTATTCGGGAACATGGGCGATTTCCTGGTCCGAGACCAGTCCCGAGAAGGGGTTTTCTTTGACTACTTTAGTCCGTCGGAATTTCATGATGGTTGTAGAAGAAGATGAAAAGATGTGAAAGTGAGCTTCTGTACCCAAATCAGCTAGGACTATTGGTTTACCAGTGGAGAATAACAGATGACCCGGGTCCTTATGCGAGTCTATGTGTGACCTGAAAGCTTGTTGCACAGCTGAAAGATTTGAGCAGTGTAGTGGCGAGTAACCCAAATTTTGTGTAGGCGAAAATGCGACGTTAATGACAAGTAACACTCGGTGGCAGCCCAGTTATATACATGTTTAGCTGCCTAACAACCTAGATTATTTGTGTTTGACGTTGATCAACTCCCTACCTTGCACCTGAGGCTTTTTGTCTCATCTTTCACCTCCGCCCCAGAGTTTCTTGCTCTCCGCACCTGTACAATGACATGCAGTTCATCGGCCTGTCTTCATTGTGTTATAAGTGTGGCTTGCATATCACGTGCGATTAGAAAACCAACGACTACTTATCTCCCAATCACACCGTCCTTAGGTTGTGGCTCAGAGCTCGCAAAACCCAGACCCAAGCCACACAGGTGCAGAAGCCCACGTCTTAGAGGTGTTCTCCAGTATTTCCCGGCGGAGTTGGTGGACTTTTTTTCTCGCGAGTTTGGCAGCAAGGTGGAGGACTTGTACTTCAATGGGTTATAGAGGCTCACTACGATAGTTGTCATAGCCATTGCCATACGTCCCTCAAGGAGGGGGAAGAACAAGAGCAAAAGTTGCCCTATATAGACGGTCATAGGATCCACCATACAACGCTTGTAGTTATAGCCACACGAAGACTCCTTCAGACGAGATGCGCTCCAGAACCGGAATGGCTTACAAGGGTCAACATTGGACGGGGAAAAAATAATAATATCGTCAATAATGTCCAAAAGAGGACCAATTCCAAAAAGTCTGAAAGAAAGCTTCCCCTGCCTAACATTCTTGGCTTGAAGATTCATGTTTCACGATTCACAAAGTGAGAGGTGTGGCTGCTAGCACGTGTTGAGGGAGTTAGCGGAAAGCTAGTCTTGTGTGGCGGGGCAGATTAGACCTTGGTGAAGGCCCTGATACGAGCAGCGCCGAGGTGTTTTCCAATGTGGTATGCCTTGTCCAGATACTTGTACTTATTTCTGTATGTATCGTACTTTTGCCTGACCCTTGTTATTCTTGTGTGTAGTATCTGCACTTACAATTGACCGGTCACCGGTCCGAAGCCGCTTCGGGATACTCAGAGATTAGCATTGACTCAATCTTAAAACATACAGTACATGTTGACGAATAATTTCTTGTACTCGCACTTGTAGCTACCAGTACCGTAAATCACATTGAAAAAAGCCACCTTTCCCGAGTGTTGATTCCTCTACTACGGAGGTACGAACATGGAAATTTTTGATCGCAACGTTGAATTGTTTTACAACGTGTTCTCGGACCACGGCCGAAGGTGGCAAACAGTAAAACCAGTACTATTGCGTGTTTAGCGGGAATCGAACCAAGGGTGTATAGCGTTTGTATCAACTCGGCTTAGTAATCACGGGCTAAATATGATACATCTGACATGCACGATTTTTGAGATTTCAAGGATCATCTAAACGACGGTGGCCACGACAATCATCAGTATACACAGGGGGCATGTCAAGAACAAGGATACAATACAAGGCGCCGGTAGAGAAGCATGTCAAGGAGCAAAACCTGCCGTGCGGCGTGGATGTGGTTTTCCCTTCAAATGGATCGCTACAATCGTCAGTGGAGACTCTGATTGAACAGTACAGCAAGGAGCTGAAGAGCTACACAGTCAAAGGGCCTCTCAGCATGTTTTTCGCACCTCGAGAAGATGGGTCGAGTTTCTCTGCGTCTGTATTCCAAAAATCCGATGCCTGGATCATCTCCAAAAGCCGGATCGACTCGGACAATGTATTTGCAGTATGGAGAGGAAACGTTCACATGAGTCTGACGAGATCGACCTACCAGACTTCTGGTTTGAACGGAAAGAAGTCGCGCTACGGAGACAAATACCTCATTTCGTTCAACTTGCGAAACCCAAACTTCCATATTGGTACCAAACAACACAACCGATTTCTGTTTGGCTTGGAACAGCTGGACAAACTGCACCCTGACTTGGAGTATTCTGTGACAGTTCATGCCAATGACGCCAGATATGTCTCCGAGTATCTTTCCAATGTCAAAGAGGTGCCTCTCAAAACTACAGTCTCCGAGAGAAACGTACTTGTACCTTCCATGACTCCTCCAGTGGTCCCTGAACTCACAGACGCCCATTCTGGTGCCAAGGTGGACGTGTCTCAGAAATATAGGGACCATCTGTTTGAGAGCTGGGCTCTGGGACTCCAAGAATGGGTAGGGCTGGCTTCAATTGGAGCAGGCCGGATTGCATCGGATGATAACGTGAATAATCTCTTCAGCCAGTACCAGGTTGAAGATGGCCAACCTGCAAATGTTACAAATATCCAGGTGGTTGGGATGTGTCCTCTTTTGGCATCCAAGCTCAAGATACTAGGGGAGCAAACCAATGCCCCATTCTTTGCATTCACTGTCTACGGTGTTCAAGACACGCCCTACTCGTGGGACAACAAGGAGCACCAGTATGACAATGGCGGCGAAAATGATTACACCATTATTGACATTGGAGACGATGTATTGTCATTCGAAACAGTAGGACACAGCGACATGTACATTTAATTGCATTACATCATTCTCATAATTAAATACCACTTATTTGTAGCTATCAGTTACTTTCCTAATCAGTATTTCCCCTTAAAATTTTCTCATAATCGGATATCGTTACTATATACATCATTATTCATTATGCTTGCTTGGTGCAAAGATCCAAAGAGTCTAAAGTCTAGCTAGTTGGTCTAGTTCTTGATAAGATTGCCTCTGTTTTCCTCAATATCCTTGGCTTCCTCCTCGGAAATCTCGGACTCAATCTCGCCCTCAATGGTGGCCTTTTCTCCCTCGGTGATCTTGGGCTCAGCAACCTCCTCCTCCTCCTTGGCTCGCAGGAGATTAGACAGGGCAGAGTCGTGGTTGGCGTAGAGCTCGGTGAACTTGCCCTGCTCAGCGACAGTACCTTCGTTGGAGAGAACGATGACTCGATCAGCTCGTTTGATGGTGGACAGTCGGTGGGCAATGGAGATGGTAGTGGAATTGCCATCCATGAGTCGCTGCAGAGCCTCGTTAACAGAGGACTCGGAATCGGTATCCAGAGCAGAGGTGGCTTCGTCCAAAATCAGAATAGCTGGGTTCTTAATCAGAGCTCGTGCAATGGCAATTCGCTGCTTCTGGCCTCCAGACAACTGGGTTCCTCGAGCTCCAACCTGGGTGTCAATACCCTGGGGGAAGTCGGCCAGGAACGTGCAATTAGCCTTTCGAGCAGCTTCAATGATCTCATCTCGGGTAGCCTCCGGCTTTCCGTATCTGATGTTGGAGGCAATTGTGCCAGAAAAGAGAACAGGTTCCTGGGACACCACACCAATCTGTTTTCGCAACGATCTAACGTTGAAATCTCGAATGTTGTTGCCTCCAATGCTAATGTAACCCTTGGTGGGGTCGTAGAATCGCAACAGCAAGGAGGTGATGGTGGATTTTCCTCCTCCAGAAGGACCGACAATACAGACGTTGGAACCAGCGGGGATGGAGAAGTTGAGATCGGTGAAAATAGGCAGAGAGGGACGGGTGGGGTAGGCAAAGGCGACATGGTTGAAGTCAATGTTGCCTCGGGCAGACTCCAGATGGGGGCCCTTAGTGGCGTTGATGGCAGGCTCTCGGTCGTTCAGTTCAAACAGACGAGAGGCAGCACCAGCACCCTTCATGAGCTCCGAGTAGAAAGACGAGACGGAGTGCATGGCTCCTCCTGTGTATCCAGCATACAGCATGAAGGAGGTGAGGTCTCCCAGAGATAGTTGGCCAGTAGATACCATTTGAGAACCCATAACTAGAAGAGCCAAAATGGTCATGTTTCCAGACAGAGAGAAGAAGCCATGGAACATTCCGTTGGCCATAGCATCCTTCTTACCAATGTCAAACACGGCACGAATCTTGGAGTTGTACAGCCGTACCTCCTGGATTTCTCCTCCAAAGGACTGGGCCGTTCTAATATTACCAAGACGTTCCTCTGATACCTTAGTCAGACCACCGACGGCGGTCTGGAGCTCTCGAGAGATATGTCGAAGCTTCTTTCCGTAGATAACCGCGATAATAGCCACGGGAGGGGCTACCAGCATCATGAACGTGGCGAGTTTGAGAGAGACGTAGGACATCATTCCGAGTCCAACGACACCGGAGATGATAGATCGTACACCGTCGGACATGTTGTTGGTGACAGATTTGGCCACGACCTGGGCGTCCGTAGACAGACGCGAAATCAGGTCTCCGACTCGGTTGGCATCGAAAAACTCTGCGTCCTGAGTCACGGTTCGCTTGTACAGCTGAGCTCGAAGACGGGCAGACAGACGTTCGGAAATGACTCGCAGGCAGTAGACTCGGCCCATATTGCACATGGCTCCGATGATGAACAGACCTCCAAGGGCAATGTAGAACTGCTTCAACGGCAGTCCGAAAACCTTTCGTTGGTCGGCATCCTCTGGGTCCTTTTCGTCCTCGGAAACAACATCCATGATCTTACCAATGGAGAGGGGCACGGTCATGGAGATAGCGGCCGACAGGAACAGCAGCGTGAAAGCTCCAATGAGCGGCCACACCTCGTCCTTCACGAGTCGGAAGAGCCGGAAAATGTCTCCAACTCCCTGGTTCTTGTCAGAATTACGGGACGTGAGTTTTGCTTGGAGATTGATGTCGCCAGCAGCCTTGGCTCGCTCGGAAGGAGACACGTTCACGGGAGTCGCGTCATCGTCGGAGATACCTTTGGACTTGTTCTGATTGAGGATTGGGAGGTACGAAGAGAAGGGTCGAGCGGCAAGTGTAGGGTAGACGGAGGGCGAAGAGGGTCGCAGAAAGAGGGATCGGACAGGCAGAGGCCGTAATGGCGATCTAGCGTGCCACAGAGGACTCAGTCGGGCCACTCTCGGGAGCATGGTGGATGTGTGGGATTCCGGATTCTGGAGACAAAATGGGTGTAAATGTTATTTTCGGGTGAGAGTTGCATGTGCGTCTGCCGCTCGCTCAGTGTTGGGTGGCTGGAATGGGTGTTTTTTGGGGTAAAGATGCGAGCGTGAAAGACACGTTTGAGACATTGAAGAGTGTATGGACAGCGAGTTGGTTCTATATATAAAGAGCCTTCTTCTACCCGACATTATCTACTACTTCCGCCACCCCTATATAATTATAGATCAGTCCAAAGGCTTGTTAATAATGTTAGTTGGTCTGGGGGTGACTAAGTTTGCGGTTTTCAACCCCGACTATTCCGAAGCGACTGAAGCTCTGAGGGACAGTGTGACGTTACACGTGGTGGTGGTTAAAAACACGACGCAATCACGATTACGATACGTGATGAATATTGTGATTAGTCAGTATGGGCTAGAAACGCATAATTTACAGGCGCAAGTACAACAAACCCCAATCACAGCTACAATACTGTACTCCCGTCCCATGTCTACCATATCCCAGACCCAAACCCTTCACTCAACTCCACCACCCAACCAATACTCCTCCACTTTCTCGTTTTAAAAAGTCATTTATTCATTTCATGATTCGTCTATTTCTTGTAGATCTTGACGTCACCCTCTGTTGTTAGTATTGTCGCTTGATTGATTCGCATTCTCCTTCTCTCTCTCAAATACTCACGCTTTCCAGACTCCCACTTGGCGACCTTAATCTCAGAGAGATCTCGGGCGTTGACATGGGCTCGCTTCTGCTCGGTAAGGGCCTTTCGGACGGTTCGAGCAGCAATGGCAGAGTACTTGTTGAAGCTGGGTTAGTATGTGTCTTTGAATCGCTAATGTGTGCTGTGTCGTGGGTGCTGGTGTTCATGGACATGAGTCGGACATGGGTCGGACAGCCGAAAAAACAGCAATTCGGAACGCAATCAGTCCATCAGCGCAATTGGCGAGTCATTGCACCCCGTTCGATGGTACTCACGAAAAACCGGCAGACTTCCAGGCAGACATTGTGTGGTGTTGTTTTCTGAGAAGGGTGATGTAGTGTTGGAGGCTTTTTGCAGATGGCGGTTGGGAGACGTGGTTGGTGCTGTAATGTTCAGCGCAATACGCATATAAAGAGTAAAACAAGGACCGTATTAAGTAAGCTCCCTGACCCAAAGGACCTTATTGAAAGTTCTGTCGTTAGGCTCGCTCTGCGCCAACTCTAATAATTTTTGGTCAAATGTACATAGAAACGGTGCAGTAAATATACACAACAGTACTACCGTTCGACGACCGACAAATCATGGCATCAGAACGACCTGACCAGGAGTACATTGACACTTTCTGGAAATTGTCTTCCAACGACCCGGAGGAGCGAGTGGAGGGCTGCAAGGAGCTTATTTCGACCACGGATAGTGATGTCAAGTGGAACTATGGTATCAAGAGACTGATCAAGGGTCTGGCATCGCCCAAGCCCAGTGCCCGACTTGGATTCTCTACTGCCCTCACAGAGTTTGTGTCTCTCCCCTACGGTCTGACTGTGGACGGCTACTTTGATTTGCTCAATGAGCACCTTCCTTTGGCCTCTGGTATGAAGACCAAAGAGATCAGAAACACTCTTCTTGGGCGGCTTTTTGGCATTCAGGCTATTTCCGGCTCCCAGTTGCTTCGAATTGACGACTCCGAGGGATTCCAGCGGTTCATCGACTACGCCGTTGAGATTAGTGTCAAGAAGGCCTGGCTTCGAGAGCTCGCCTTCTTTGCCATTGTGCAGTTCATCAAGCGAGAGCTGGGCTCCAAAAAGAAACTCGCCGACAAGAGCTACATCATTGAGAAGTTGAAGGACACCAAACTGGACAAGACCCCTGAGGCTGTTGCTGTTTACCTCACTATTGGTGGTGAAGAATGGGACCCTCTGGCAAAAAACAATGCTGTTGAGCTCGGAAAGATCCTCAAGGATGTTTCTTCCCCCCAGGATGATGATAACTCCAAGCAGAAGGGAAACTGGTCGCCCAAGCCCAACTTTGTGTGGCCCATGATCCTGCAGATTCTATCTGAGGACGAGGTGGAGGAAGTCAAGGAAAGCAAAAAGAGCAAGAAGGACGACAAGAAGAAGGACAAGAAGAAGGATAAGAAGAAGGAGGAGATCAAGGATGATTCTGAGCGAATCACTCTGCCTGTATTCTGGAACATTGTGGTTGACCAGTCTCTGTTTTCCCAGTCTGCATCTCCTGAGCGAAAGTACTGGGGCTTCGAAATTCTTCAGCTCGCCCTTGGTATTGTGAGCAAGGACAAGGTCGGCATTCTTCTGTCTCCCAACCTTCTGCGAACATTGATCAACCAGCTCGGTTCTTCTGATAGACTGCTGAACAAGGCTGCAAAGCACGTGGTGACTAAGTTGTGTGAGCTTGCACCCACTCCTGTTGGCCCTGAGATCATTAAGGCTCTTTTGCTCAACCCCGGTGGATCTCTCAACTTTGACCGACTCACCAAGACCAAGACCATTCACAACATGCTCGCTAACATTGACACTTCTGCTGTCCCCACCATTATCGAGCTTCTCAAACAAGTGTTCATTGCTCCTGAGGAGAAGGCTGGAAAAGCACTTGATGGCAAGCGACAGTGGGCTTTGGACCAGATGCTTGGCCTGGTTCGACGATTCCAGGTCGAAGCTCTTGCCAACGCTGACGTCGACTGGATTGACGAGATCATCAAGTTCATGATCCGATGGGGTTTCTTCAAAGACAACAGTGGCAAGAAGCGAAAGCATGATGAGTCTGACTTTGTGCCCCTCTCTCACAGGACAGTCAAAGATTGTCTTGGCCGGTTCAATTCAGTGCTCTCCTCTGTTCTTAATACTGCTCGACCCGACAGCAACACATGGGCCTACTCCGCCTGGAACTACCTTAGTGGTATGATGTCTGAGTATGAGCTGATCTACGATATTGGACAGTCCACAAAGGGCGAGAAAAGTGGTGATGAGGATGAGGACGAAGATGATGATGAGGATGATGAGGATGATGAGGATGCTATGGAGGTTGATGCTGGCGAGGAAGTTACTGAGATCAAGGACAAGAGTGTCAAGACTCTCGACAAGATCAGACACCTTCGACTGTCTCCTCACGGTGACAACGCTCTTCTCAAGTCGTTTGAGGTTCTATTCTCGCTTGTTCTCCTGCAACTCTACCAACAGGATGAGGAGTCTATTGGTGTCCTCAGTGATCTGCTGGAGTGCTACGGTAAGATTCGAGAGGAGGACGACGAGGTTCTTACAGATATCATTGTTTCTTTCATTTCGCGACGATCTGCTCTTCTGAAAAAGATGGTTGACGTCGTTTGGGAGGGTTTGGTTCTCGAGAACAAGGTCAACATGCAGCTTGTGTTTGACGTTCTTAAAACCGAGGAGAACGTCAAGGGTCAGGAAAAGCTTTTTGGTGAGGAGGGCGAGGAAGATGAGGATGAGGAGGACGAGGACGAAATTGAGCGAGCTAACGCTGCCATGGGCAATGATGACAGTGATGACGACGAAGAGGATGCCGACGGTGAGGACAACGATTCTGACGATTCTGATGATTCGGACTCGGACTCGGACTCGGACTCTGATTCTGATTCTGAATCCAACTCTCTTTCGCATAACGACATCTCTGAGGCCGATCGAAAGCTTACTCTTGCTCTCTCTGAGGCTCTTGGAACCAAGGAAGAGGAAGATGCCTCTGATAACGACACAGACTCCTCTATGGATGACGACCAAATGCTTGCTCTTGACAGCCAGCTTGCTACCATCTTCAAGGAGCGAGCCCAGGTTGAGGGAGACAAGGAGAATGGCAAGAAAGTTCTTACAAAGAACCAGCAGAAGAAGAAGGACGCTGCCGAGGCCAAGGAGTCTATTGTTCAGTTTAAGCACAAGGCTCTGGATCTCATTGCCGTCTACCTCAAGTCCTACGTTAACCGAGAGTGGGGTCTTGAGATTTTTGAGTGTGGTTTTATTCTGCTCGATCTGGTTGGAGCTACTAAGGACCGAGCTCTTTCCGACAAGACCCAGACCGTTCTCAAGCAGCGCCTCTACAAGCTGCGGTACCAAAACTTTGTGGCCGAGGATGCCGAGAGCGAGCTAGAGGAGCTTCTCGCCAAATGTCACGATCAAGCCTTGGCTGCATCAAACCCAGGACACGCTAATGTGCTTGCAGGCATGTCCATGCTGGTGTCCAAAGCTCTTGAGGACCGTGGTCAGATCGAGCAGGTGGTGCGACAGTATGGTGACACCATGCTCGAATGGATCAACAAGCCCAAGAGCAAGCTCGGACCCAACATGTTCTTTGATCTTGCCAACTGGGCCGGAGACCTACGAAAGCGGGCCAAGGAGGTCAAGAAGGCTCAAGTTGAGCTTACCGAGACCATCAACGAGGAGATGGCCGAGAAGGAGGAGGAAAACAATGAGTAAGGGAGTTTGTTGTATAAAAAGTAATTATTAATGGATATTATTAGTATGGATGAACTGAGGCTGGCCTTCTCAACAAGATGATAACCGCGCTCATATGCAACACGCTTCTGCTTCAGGGAAGTGCTTGCGCCTACGTCAGCCAGTCGCTTTGAATATGTACAGTTACAGTACTCAAAACTGATGTTACATGAGCTACTTGTAGCTATCTACACACCGGTTTTTCCTACAGTAAATGTTCGCTCGCTGTAACATACTGTAGTGTATTACAACTACAGTGCGAGCCTACTTGGTGCACACCTGTAGGTAAGTCGCCCAGCCTTGTAACTCATTAAACTACAGTAACGTCTATGATATCGAAGCTTTATAATCATTCGGCAGGTATGTATTGTGTATCACACACATTGACAAAAACATCAGATTTCATTGCATAACTGAGATTTATTCATTTCTCGGAGATTTTTTGACTAATGCAAGTGAGCATGAAACCTCCGACATTGCAACCCATGCAGTGGCGCTAGCTTGAATCCGGGCTTGCGCCTCACTTGTGATGCGTTTCTGCGGGGATTAACGCGAGAGCTCTTCATACTACAAAAACATACTGTAACATTGAGATACGAAGAGCAAAATTTTTCATGTGTGATCCTTGTACGTGTATGCACAGGCGCTTTATAGAGACTATGGTATGACTAAAGGAACCGTTGGGGTTTGCTTTAGTGTACACAAACCAGTGCGAGTAGCTAGCTAATCCCCTGGTAGTGCTGTCTATTTTGATGGATGCCGAGGAATTTACCACAGACTGCATGTTCTCGAGGTGGTGCCACACTGGGGTCAACAAAGAAGGTCCTCTTACATCATGCGCTTTTGGGACTCACTACTGTTCAATATTCTCTAGTATAGTCTGTGCCTAAAGCAAATAATATGCGCTAGTACCGGTTTTGTTAATTAGTGCATTCATTACTCGTATAAATATTTATAGATGGTCAAAAAAGTACACTGGTTGCGTCTTCATGCATCTTGCTCTTCAAGATACTCGCACTCAGATTGCTCAATTGCCTTTGTGAAGAGGTAGGAGTTTCGTGTGGTAAGTGTGAGATCTTCCATGACTCGCGAAACCTGGGATTTGGTACCTGTGATGATTAGTTGTATCTGTTCATGGCTCACAATCTCTTTGACTCTGATAGCAGCTCCAGAGTTTTGACGCATGAGATTTAGTAGCTCCTCGGAAAGAGACAACATTGTACCAACCATAGGGCAAGTAACCATGAGTCTCTTAGTCACGACATTGTCGTCGATAGAAAGAGGAGGGCTGGGTGGACAGACAAGAATGCATTCTTCCTTCTGAGACTTAACAGGTGTGTCTAGCAGTAGAGGGGACGGAGGAGGCGATTCGAATCTCTTTGATGCGAGTTTGTACTCGGTTTCAGGAGGAGGGGAGCAAGGAAGAGTTTCAATCGACTCTTGGGGTAAATCTTCCACTTTAGTGCATGCAGAAGACACAGCTTCACGCGACCCACTAACAACCATAGGCTGATTGGGGCTAGAACCGGCAATGACCTCCATAGTGTGCTTGTGTTTAGTTTCAGCCGTTTTCTTTTTACGACTAACAAAATGTGCAGGGGAATCAGGGGGTATGTAAGTGCCTGTGATGCGTCTTCGGAGAGGATTAATGTTGTCGCGCGGTTCGTAAGGACTGGACTCTTGTTCAAAACGTTTCAAAAGACCAGTGTACTCTTGGAAGATGAGAGATGTGAAGTAGACGGCTCGATGAAGAGAATCAGCGACACCTGTCGCAGTAAATAATCGGTCTGTTGAGTCAGGGAGTCCGTCTTTGATGGCCTCTATAGCTGCTCCGCTCTTGCGATGCAATTTTCGCAGTCCATAACCCTTGAAACCCACTATTTTGGCGACCATGGGCTCCGGGATAATCATTTGAATAGTAAATTGTGCTGAAGAGTCGTCATTGTTGCCTGTCCAAGTCCTCACAAGTGAACCTATGGTGCTTCCAATGTTCTCTGGGGTGCCTGTGATGGACATGACACGGTCGGTATGTGTGTTGATGAAAGGAGAAAACTTGATTTTGATGCAGAGAGACTTTGAGAGCTCTCGAAGAGACTGTTGTTTCTTGATCAAGAGCTTCTCCGCCTGCTCAGAGGCTACAATGAACCTCATGTGAGCTTCATCTTCATTGAGCTGGTTGTGAGATCTCTTGACCATTTTGAAAGGCGAAGTGGGCTTTTTATTGGCATAACCGGGCAGATAAGGGTCTCTATTTATTGCAACCGAACACGGGTAGGATGCCTACACTTTTCTAGCCTTTACATCGTCCAGTACATTACCGGTTCAAGGGTATACATGAAGCCGTCTCTACTTTTATGAGAACATGCTACTTGTAGCATGCAAGCTCATGTGTCTTGCGCAACTCTATTAGCCTGCTCTCCTTGTATTCAGTCCTCAGAGTGGGCTTGCAACGCCCGGATTTTTTCAAAAGGTGCTAAAGATGACCCATGCAGCAGTGATAGAGGCAGAACAAGCACACACTAATTGAAAAGCAAGTGGTATAAGGACGAAATTAGACTAAGCTAGCCGCCCAAAAGCAGCTAGTTTTGCTCGCATGTTCTACACTGGCGGTTCAGCCACGGATTTAAGGTAACCTGACAGCTGTCGCACCCGAGCGTTATGTTGTACATGACACTACTGTAGACAATCGCCGACGTCATGTACGAGTTGAAAAAATCAAACAAAAAACATCACCACGACGTCCGAGAGATGTCCGAAAAAGTTGCCGAAAGAATTCCACAGTCTATGCTTTTCCAGTGCTCCTAAATCTGAAATAAAACCCAGCGCTGGTCAGGGAGGAGAATTAGTAGCTCTTAATTTAATGGAGAATCCTGTTGATAACAGTGCTAAAACAACCCCACAGCTTTTGCAACCATATCATAGGAGGTGTTTTTATGGCGGTCTGTGGACTTTAGAGATCTACCACGGTCTTAAAAGGGTGGGGTGGAAGTTGAGAACGCGTCGAAATTCGGTGTACGTCTTCCTGCTTGTGGTATCCAGCATGAAAGCTTTCGTAGACTAGTTGTAATACACCCAAGGCCGAGTCTTCCGAGGTCCCTGTACATACAACAGAAAAATGCGCTTATATGGTAATACGGATACTATCAATATAAGAGGAAGTCTATGATATTACCCCATTCGGGTGGGCAAAATGGACAAATAAGCAGGGTTCTAAGATCATGAACTCGTATGCTTCCCCCCTAATAATACAGGCACCTGAGATTCTGGTCGTCCCGCGCAACCCAATCTCGAAGACGCTCTGTGATATGGTAGATTTTGCGGAACAGAATCTCCCGCTCCTCCAAGCTATTGTTAGAAACGGCAACCCAACAAGCCATGGCCTTTAGTTCCTGCTCACAGATCTAAACCTACACAAGCTTCTCATAATCTGCTGAAAGCAGAACACAATGGGCTGGAACAAGCGTGAGACCCCAGTCCGGAACCCGGTTCATGGCCTCTTATTTACTTTATCTCACTTCTTTTCGCTTGTTCTTCAATATTATGGTAATAGAGACTTCATTGTGTGATTCCAGCATAAGACAGAAGCTCGTATTGGCAACCAAATTGAGCTCGGGATGGTCTTTCCCCACAGAGCCCAGTTGCCGAGGTGCTTGTGCCACACATTAGCTGCCATTAGATGGCTCTATTGCAAACACAAGCCTCGGGTTTTTAACGTCACATGGGAATTTGTTCTCTGCTTTAGATCTGCTTAGTAGCGCCATAGGTGCACATGGCTGCTTTTTGGCACCAACTAGTGCGTTGGACAAGAAAGATGCGGATTGTCCTGTACTACGATAGCTCGGAAATAACGGCAAAATAGACAGCAGCCCATATTTCCCCCATCGGTTTCGGGACCAGATTATCAAAAAAAAGTAATCGTTAGTCCCAGGCAGCATGCTTGCGATCGGGTCTTGCGATCGGGTCTTGTGCAGCCAGACACGGACGAGTGTGGCGACTACACGAGAGCTCTGCTACCGGTAGTTATTCGAAGTGTCACGAACAAGACGAATAATTCTTTCTATTGCTTCAATACGACGTACAGCGCTGTGCCACAACACGGGGTAATGTCCTCATAGCTCTCAATTATGGAGATGGCAAAAGCCCGTGGATATTCAAGGGCTTCCGCGGTGCTGTAGTAAGGTCCGAAAATGGTATCAAATACGAACGAGCTTCCAAATGAAATTTCAAAAAGTATCGGATAAGCGGCTATTATTCTCCTGAGTGGCTACAAGTAGTAGGGATATCTTTTGCAATCCATGGTTTCTGGACTCAGGGGGCATGAGACACGCTACGAGTTTGCATCTGCAAGGGTAGTACCAGTGACTTACGCTGGATGCCGATCCGACGCGCTTAACATATTGTATTATGCGACTGCAACTATTTCTGTGTTTTTCCGGCTGTCATTCTAATAATAGGTGGCCCATGTCACCTTGCCAATACTGTACATACTCTACCTTGACAAAACAGTTTGTGAGAGAGAGAGAGAGGGAGAGAGAGAGAAAGAGAAAGAGAAAGAGAAAAGGAAAAAACACATTGAGACGTCGAGATATTGACAGTTCATTGAATCATTTAGTTTCTGAATATTCTATGTGAAAAATGGTAAATGCTTTGATGCCAGTCCTCTCAATCGCCTGGCTCAAATTTCAACGATCCAATATTGTTCTAACGAGGAGTTTCCCATCGGGCGATTTTTGTGTACACACAACACAAGATATCTGGACAGAATGAATGGGTTTAAGTCACGTCAGCACTACAAGTAGTGGATCATTATCCTCACGTGATAGAGTAATAAGTCCGGTGTTATGCATCCACGGACTTATGACTTACAAGATAGAGATGGAGTTTGTAACAAACTAGTCTCGGTGAACGGCAGTCGACATTATTCCGAACACTCACATGAGCTAATTCCCCTCCAATTACCACAATTTTCTCTGCTACTGAATGAATCCATTGGTCCATCACCAAAAGTGTACGTCAGAGAGCTCGGAGGACATGCAGCTTAATACGAAAGCATATTTCGGAACCACGTGTTGAGAGATGCAACTACTCAATAGATGAGAAGGGGTTCGGACTGGCTGTAAATGATCCGAATGTACGCAATACGTAGTGTACCCCCTGACTGTCGGAAGTCTCGGTGGATACACTCTTAGAAGAATGCGGAGCTGTATGCATACAACATTCTATGTATGAGTAACATAATACGACGTCAGGAACCAAAAGAAGGATATACTTACCTTAGATAGAGAACTAAAGGTCACTAAAACAGCTATACTACAATGGATTCGATACACCTTATCGTTCCCTTGTAAATAACACCCGTCTTGTCTCTGAGGAGGCTTGATCAGAGTAACTGACCTAAGAGGTACATCTGCATGAAGACATATATCGTCATGTTACCCATGTCTACACCTACTATACTTAGAGCTATGCTATAAAAGTACGACAAAGCAATGCCATATGGAAGCCTCTATTGCGTTCTCGCTATTACGGAAGCAGGAAAAGAATACGGATGAAGAGCGCCCATACACACGACACAACCCTGAAATCTCCGACTGTGGCTTGCTATTGCATCTATTGTAAATACTCTTACTAAGCTACTTGTAGAGTAGTAAAGTTGTATTGACACAAGAAGAAATTGATATCTGGGTTGGGATTCTACCTACAGGTACTCTACATACTGAGCTACTGATCTGACAAATGTATGTAGCACCATCTCGTTGAATGTTCTTCAATCACTTCCAGGGGTTGTTAACGACTAACTGAGTTGATTAATGTAACCTAAGAGGTATTCTCCATTCCACTACTCATGTTGGACACAGTTGGTAGCTAATAAACATGTCCCCCAATTGTACTTAGTCATCAACTTACTGTTCACCGACTCCTATTTGGCCACTTACTAGGTTCATCGTCACAGAGCTTTGACCAGCCCACAAATGTGTCTTTCTAGCATCCCATCAATATACAACAAGATACTACTTGTATCTTACTGGTATAGACACAAATGTCTGAACATACCTGTCCAGCCACCAATTTAGTTAAGATTTGCGATTTGAAAATGTGATCACATGACTGCATGTTGCAAGCATGAACTTTGGGAACAACGGAATATTGTGATCTCTTCCTCTCTATCTACACGCACAAAATGACCAACGAGGATCTTCTTTCGGACTCGGAAAACGATGAGGACTTTGCCTACAAGTCGGACAAGGAGGAGGACTTCTCAGACTCCGACGATGAATCCCGAAAACTGCAGCGACGGATTGATGCGGAAAACAAGCAGGCCATGGCGAAAGAAGAGGTCAAGGTCGACAAGGACGCCATGAGAAAGATCTACGAGGAGATGAAGAGCGGATCTGGCGCTGCCAACGAGATAAAGCCGGTTACGGTAAAAAAACCTGACGTCACAACTACGCAGACTACACAACAGGAGACTGCTTCCACCACCCCCACAGCATCCACCACATCCACCACCACATCCACCACATCTGCACCGGCACCAGCATCTATCCCGTCTTCAGCAGCCACAAACAAGGTCAAGAAACCAAAGCGACCGAAGAAGGGCTCGTTGCTGGACGCCATGAACAAGCCCAAAAAGAAGCTCAACACCCTGGAGCAGTCAAAGGCTGACTGGGGCGCGTTTGTGGACAAGGAAGGCATTGGACATGATTTGAGCCAGCACAACAAGGATGGATATCTAGAAAAGCGCGACTTTCTGGATACTCACTGATTGCATATTCACACCATCGGCATGTACATAAATTATAGTGTAAAACACACACCATTATGAGAGGAGTTGTAGTGCGGAAGTAGACCTGACAGGTACAGGTAGTACAAGTAGCTACTGCACATTATATTCGTATAATCAGAGAGTGCACTTAAGTGTAGAAGTACAGTATAATCTGCGACTGCATATACTGTAGTCAATATCTTTATTATGTACAGCGATACACTCAAAGTGGTCGCACCAGTAGAAACGACACGTCTTGTCATGAGCACAGACTGACTGAAACCCAGACTCATCCCATCGTACATGCAAATCTATTGTTAAATAAGTCAACCGTGATTGTGTTCCTCGGTGAGAGCGGTCAGTAACATCGTGACGATACTCATGATACCTTCACCCAAAATGAGGCCAGAAGAACAGACAATAATGTCAATATGAGCTTCGGGGTGTCGTCTCTGGTAAAAGTAGGCGATGACTCCACCCAAAAATCGGGCCAGAGTGAATGAGGGGACGTTATATAGACCCACACCGATAGCTACACCCGATGGAAGCAGAGAAACGTGGTCTCGTAGAATGGCTAGAGCAGAACCAATCACTCCAAAGACGGCAGTGAAGGTGCCCACCTTTTCTGGCAAGCCTCCTCCCATAACCAATCGGGCACAGTCGACCCAAATGATGGCTGTAGGGATTCTGAACAGTGAGCCGGGAATCTCGTAGACCGACATGTAGAGTCTGTAGACGAGACCTGACAAGAACACCGAGAACAGCGATCCTGTGATCTGAGCAATGAATTGAGACTTGGGGTACGCTCCAATCAGATGGCCCGTTTTGAGGTCCTGCATGAGGTCTCCTGCCTGCTGAGCTCCAGCCTCAGCAATAGCTCCTGCTACAAGATTGGACAGAATAGTCGAATTAGGAATGAGCGAGAGGAAGATCTGGGAGATTTTTCCGATTCCTGAAACGGGGTTGAGATCGGTTTCTCCTAGAGCACGAACACCGAGCACAGAGAGCAGCAGAGCAATGAAGACAGACACAATGATTTGAATGAGATGGATCTGGGGAAAAACAATCTTGATACCAACTAGACAAAGCACAGAAGATAAAAGGATGCCGATTCCTGCAAACCTCGAGCTCAGGTCGTATTCGGGATGCTCATGTTCAACATCATCGGCCTCGGTGGAAGTATAAGCCGACTCTGTATCTTGGAAGGCATGAAAGTAGTGCCACACCTGTTTGTATGTTAACACCAACAGAGATACTACACTGTCACCGACCATCAGCGCCAGCGAAATCCAAAGAATCCAGCCCTGACCTCCGGTTTTCCAGTCGTCAATTGGTCCCGGGGCCCATCCCTTGTATTGTGAGTAAGGAGCTAGAATACCCCATCCTAAAATACAGCCCAGCAGCATACTCGAAGTGGTATGCAGACCCATAATGAAGCCCTGGCCAATGTATCCGGGGCTTGGGTTGAATGTCCAGAGGTAGTTTTTAGCCAGCCAATTTCCAAACACGGGCAGATTCCTAAGAATCGGTAGAAAATGCTGGATTAGAGTACATGTGGCACTGATTGCAAACGAGATTTTGAGAATCTTCACCTGGCGTGCGTAGCTGGGATAAGAGCTTGGACTGACGGCGTCTTCCTCTTGGTCCACATGTCTGTTCTGGTCTGGATCTTGACTCTGTTCCTGTTCCTGTTCCTGTTCCTGTTCCTGTTCCTGATCTTGATTGTCATTCTCTCTATTATCTTGGTTCTCCTCCTCCTCCTCCTCCTCAATGTCAGCCTCCACAATGGCTTTGACTTTCTCTCGCTCATGCAAAACACTAATCATAGTGGCGGTAGCGGACCCCGATGGGAACTTGAGCTGCTCTCTAACAATGACTTGTCGACGTAACAGAACGGCAAAAAATACTCCAAAGAGCGATAGCGATAGTGACCACAGAATGAGCTGGCCAATGTGCATGAAAATTGGCTCGCCACTGTTTTCCTCGGGCGTCAGAAGCTTCTCAATAGCAGGAACAATGCCCACCAGTCCAAAGGCAAGAGGTCCTGTGCCCACTGCCACAGCCACGCTCTGGGCGTAAACATTCTCCTCACGAGTGAAGGGGAACTCCTTGGTGAGTCCCGGAAACGCTCGGAACACGGCGTATGAAATCAGAGCTGAAGGTAAGCTCATCATGGAGACCCAGCCTGTCTGAAGTCCAAACTGAAAATTGCTGAAAAGAATCATTGATCCGATGGCCAGACCGGCGATAGTGGCCCTGAGCGTCACCTGCCGCCTCAGGTGCACTATCGTGTCATTTTGCAATAGCGAATATTGCATGTTGGAGGACTCGGTGGGTCGTGAGTCGTCCTCGGAACGTGTAGAGAGGATGACCAATTCGTGCATCTGAGATGTGCTTGGCAGTGCCTTGCTTGTATGTACGGTCACGTGAGAGATAACGTTGTCATGTGACGTGGTCGGTGGGGATGGTGAGGAGTAAAAAACGATAACGCCAGTGCTGGTGTGCGGGGATCTCGTCGTGCATAAAATATGAGCGTGTGCTTTTCTACGGTTAGTTACACTTGCTGTCGATGTCTCAAGCTCTTGGATCTATTGGAAGCAGTTGGGGGCATGGCACGGGTATATTAAACTCTGTCCTTCATGGGACGTAACATTGGATTGTATGGTTGTGAGACGACACTACATTATAACCTCCTTACTTGTACAGTATATACTGTATTTTATAGTAGATGAAGCGAATAATTATATCGACTACAAATAGCAATCATGGTGTGGCTTAGAGTGTAGCTTTCATTTTACTTCATTAACCTGACGAAGTAATCTTAATATAATTGGATGGTAGCACTTCAGGGTAACCCCGATCCAAAATTGTCGCCATGTCATGTGACCCTGGATGTATCGCACGTGTAGGTGTATGGATGATCCATGCAACTAATGACGCTACAAGTACAGTAATAAGTGTAACAAATTTAACCACCAAAGGGCTGGAGTTCCTCAGCTGTTTTGGGGGATAAGCACATGCCATGCTGATTCTAAGCACGTGTGTATATTTATTCACTCTGATTTACTTTTTCAAACCAGCACTGTACGGGAAGATCAGCTTGTCAAGGCTGGCAATGATCTCCATTTAAAAAGTAATAAGCTGAAGATCCACCAAAAGCAACGACCGAGAGACAAGGAGTGAAAAATATAATCGGACTAAACCAAGGAACAGAGCGAGCTGATGGTTGTTTCTTTTTGAGACTAAGGTAGAGGGAGCCAGGCACCAAAAAAGAGTAATAGATATAGAGGTTGACTACACGTGGGTTGTAGGGATCGTAGGGGATCGCAGGGGAATCTTTCAGTCCGCGGAGTTGAGAGAAGTGGTTGGTGGTTGAAACCCAGTCGTCTGTATACTTCTTGTTTGACCTGCGATATCGACGTGCTCATGGTTATGATGTCGGTCAAATAGAACGATTAAGCTGCTGTTTGCACGATAGAGAACGTTGTCATTAGAGCGTGGGCCGATAAGACCATTGATTGGTAGAATCAATGGTTGTGGTAGTTGCGTGTACCAGTACCCTGTCCAGATATCAAAAACGGGAGGCAAGTGGCGAAGAAAGACGTGCACTATAGAACAACGCGTATGTTGAGACATGACGAGCAGTCTACACCACCCCTATTACCCCTACGCATCCTGAATCAGGGGTATCTTTTCACCACCGTTACCGGAGACTTCCACTGATAAAGCCCATCAATGTCGATCACCAGTAGCATTGAAATTAGGAATAACAAAGCCCAGGTGGGTAGAGTATGAGTACCACTCATCGAAGCCACCGGGATCAGCCGACGAAGCTGAGCCGCGGAGTTTGTCCGGTGGAGATCTTGACACCTCAAACATGGAATTATATCATAATACTCCCATCATATCGCATTGGTGTGTCCACATGTACATATCAATTACAAGTACAGTAGGGGAAGCAAATAACCAGACACTCTCCTATCACCAAAACCCCCATTAGACTATAGGGGTTGGAATGTATTGTGGTCCGCAGGTGCCAGACCAACGACGTATACCCCAACTCACAGAAGTGACGGAGAACCAAGTACAGTAGCACCGACTGCTCATTCCATCGTCGAATTCCAGACGTCAGATGTCGTTTCCTCGCGACGTTGCAGTGCGTGTTGTGGATATGTTAATGTGTCCATGGCACGGCACGAAAGCCCGCTGTTTCTATCGCCACAGTTGGATGGCTTGTACCGCTACAGTAGAAATCCTGCACCACTCCTTGCTCTAGTCAAACACGTATGCGCTCTCTCTTCACCACCAACGGGCGATTAGCGCCATTATAGGCCCGGTTAGCGTGTTTTCATGCGCATCGACGGCTCTAACTGCCAACTGTCATTCCGCCCAAGCCCTTCTGGCACATACCCGAGCTTCCTGGCACCTGTCTGTCTTGACAGAAATACTGGGCCTGAATACCACCTTCCCATTTGAGACCATGGCTCACAACAAAAAAGAAACACAACGTCTTACGAGTATTGGTGAGGTTGTTGGTGTTTCGTGCGGCTTATCTGATAGTAGATTATTGAGACATTTTTTGTCGGCAACGCATGCTGTACACCCTTGGCGTAGAATTCATTTCGCGTGTAGGAATGTGCATAGACTTTGTCGATAGCAATGTAGGATACTGGAGATAACAATGAGACTTGTAGCGGGTAAATCTATTGAAAGGTATATAGACGAATTTTAGCCGTAGACAACGTCTCCTCCTCGCTCGTCTCTTGAAATTCACATTCGTTTTGTGGGAGCGGCCATGCACAGATCGACTACAGTGATCTCCACTATCTTCTCTCTATCATGCGCAACTCACTGGCTCGGCTCTCTGTGGTGCAACTTTGATTTGAGCAGGAGTGTGGAGATAGGATCTCTTGTGGCTGAATATTACTGGACTAAAAAATGCAGGAAACGAGTGGGCCTCATAAGCATGCTGCGAGTAGACGGGAGCCCGGCGCGTATGTAGGGGCAACGTGGAATGGTCTCCAGTAGAGTGCGTTAAGTTCACTATTTTTTCTGTCTCTGGTCTCTATTTTGCGTTCCCTAAAACTCTGAAGTCTGCACAAGAGCCAACTCTGCCCAAAACTCAGTAGGCCTAAGCGCTGTACAGTGCTTTTTACTTGAGTGGGATCTTCAGTTACGAACGCTGATCTTCCACCACCCGGAAGATCAGAGTGGGGGGGAGGGGGGGAGGAAGCGACAACAAGACGATGAAGGATCATGGAGAAACTAATTACTTGTAAGTTCAAGAATTTTCTCTCCGTTATTGTCTACGATTAGCCTTATCCTTCTCTTAATATCGTGTATATATGTATTGTATAGTAAAAGTCGTTTTGTTTTATCGTAGGGCACAAAATGGCCCCAAAACAAGTACGTACATCCTCGTGTATGTATGTACACTTGGATACTATTGTATTAACGGTGGATTAGGTCAGGAATGCTAATGGTTACGGCACTCGTACTGTGCCAAATTTAATTTGTTCCGTGTCTCAGACGATACGTTTGACGACGCAAAAAAAGTTGGTTTTATACCTGGTTGTTATTCCGTCTCTATTTTTCGTCTTTCTGGAAATTTATGGTTAGGCTCACCCACACACGTTGTACGTTTCCAGGCCAACACATTGACCTCGTGTAAACAAAGAAGTCATTGTGGTGACGTCAGGCCTGGACTTCTCGCACCACACCCATGAGTCCAGGAGTTGGTCATAGTTACAAACGTGAGCCACAGATAATAGAGCTCATAGCTAATTGCTGGATTGATAAATATCGAGGTTACACACAGGTCGAGACATCCTCAACCGCACTCCATTGGCTGTCCAGTATCGCCCTTAAAGCGTCCATGTTGTCACTCGCTCTTGTATCGTTTGTACTGTCAACGCCGCTCTCACATACATACACCGCTCTCATTTCATTGACTTGCTGAACTCAGTTCCTGAAAAAGCCCTTCAGAGGCGGCATACAAAGAGAGTTCCAAGTGACCGGGCAAGGTAACGGTGAAGAGGATCATTAGATCAATAAGACCCCCCTCCCTCCAACTCGGGTTCTGGCCAGCCCCCCCTGATCCCCAGGCTCAGTGTAACATCATCGTTTATCTCGTCCACCCTCCCACTGCCGTAGCCATGTTGTTCACTGTCGATCACTTAACCAAAAGCTGCTCAAGATTTCACAGTAGAGTTGACACACAGCTCTAGCTTGAACCTTAACTAAATAAAGCTAAGTACGAACCATGTTTCTGTAAATAGTGCGTCCGCGGTATATATCTACCTCGCGGGGCGCTCTTTTTTCAAAGGCACCAGAGTGTTACCCAAAGCAATTTTCACCCCTCAAAAAACCCTCTCGACAGTTCCACTCTAGCGCCCATCCCTCGTTTCGGCCTTGGCATATCACCCTCTAACCTCGTTATCCACCAACCCATCCCAAGGCATCTTCCTGACATAAAAGTGGGCAACTAACAGACTAACCTCGACCTCTTCTCTGACAACTTTTCTATCACACAATGGGCTACACGACTCCCGACTCGCATATTATTGGAGACCACAGCTTTCTGGACGGTGGAGCCACCCCCAAGTTCGACGGACCCATGGTCCGAGTGTCGGAAAAACACCAGCAGGCCCAGGACTTTGTGCAGACACTTAAAACCCACGCCGGCCGAGCCACCAACTTCAACCTGCATCCCTCGCAGCCCGCCCGACCTCTGCTGATCCACCTGGCTCTGATTCTCGCCATCTCGCTCGCCGTCTACCTGTGTTTCCGAGTTCTCAACCGAACTCTGCGCATGCTGGTTCGAAAGATTGCGCCCCAGAGCCCTATCACCTCGGCCGTGCCCTCTCCACTCAAACTCGACGAAAAGATCAACCTCAGTCCAAACTCCCAGGCCTCCAGCGGAAGCCCCCCCATGCATACTCCCACCACTCCGTTTGAGATTTCCGAGCTCGAGACAGGCAACTGGTCGTCTCCCTCCGCTCCTGTGAGCACCTCCATCTCCACCAACGCCCACAACTCCCGAGAAGTCGACTACCACACCGACCTGCCTGGCCGAACGGCCTCTCCCGCCTTTGTGGGACACTGCAGCGAGCGAGAGGTGCCTCTTGACGGCTTCCGAGTGACTACTCGATGCTAACTAACTACTCGATGCTAAGGTGTTTTGAATACCGTTACTAATTATTCTGAGTACAGTAAGCGACTGTGCTCTCTCACAACCCCCATCCCTTGTCATCCAGAACAAGGCGTGCCCAATAGCCACCCCTTTGCATTTAATTGAGCTATAACCAATACAAACTCATACTTTGAAAGCACCGACCCGTATCACCAATCCGTTCTTGTACGAATCCATATGCCATGTAAATTTGTTTCACCCGGACCAACTTTTACGATCCGTCGCTTTACTGGTGCTTGCACTCGTACTTGGTTCATATTATCAGCTTATGCAAACGGCCTTCTCTGCATCATGTTCTGTTGTGTGAGGTTACATGATTTCAGCAAGTCCCAAAAATATGTTGAAACACCTCCGCCCCCCTCCTCCCACATGATGTGTTTGCTCTGCTTGCGATCGCCCGCCTTGTGCATCCTCACCTCCGTTTCTATTCTCGTCGACTTCTATATTTGGTAGCGCCTTTCTTTCTTCACCTCCTCTCTCACTCTCCCTTTCTTGTTCGCTATTTTGGGCTCTTCTATTTTGAAACTGTAATGACGTCAATGCGTTTAGGCTCTGGAGTTATTGACCCTATGGTCCGAATCTAATCCATCAGCTAAGTTACTTTTCATTGTCACCTTCCTAATCGGTATATCCAAACAGAGAAGTAGAGTGGAGAGAGATGAGAAGGCGAAGAGACGAAATCAAGACGGAAAAGCTCAGTCGTTCGAGATAGCCGACCTCGCGACAGCTAGAACCATCAGCTCATCATATAGCCGCACTCATGCACTTCCCGCGCTACTGGCGTCGGCCTACCTGTCGTAGCACATCCCTTCTCGCTTGTTTAGGACCAAATAGCCTTCAGGTCATTGGTTGTGGCTGTGGTGGGTCCAGACATGATCAAGCATATCAGCGGTATTTGTCCTGCGCAAGGGAGGAAAAATACACACATTGGCGCAATATGAGGTGAGAAAAACACAGAGGTCCTGCTGCACTATAGTTGCATTTTCTCTGTTTTTTTCTTGTTTTTTTCTTGTTTCTTCCCTTCTCTCTCTATAACTACAGCACACAGTGGACTAATACGGGTAAAGTCCTGTATAGAGGACTGGTGCCTAATTAATCTACATTGGAGATAAACGAAACCATGTTTATTGTGAGGATAACGTAAATAAGTCCGAAGAAAAAAATGCCGATATCAAGACTTGATTGGTACAAACGGCGTAACCCTTACAGGTTGAATCGCCCCAATCGCTATCATATCGTCAATTTTCAGCTCTTGTGTTAGTTACGTACACTCGTACTTGTATCGTACTCAGAGAGACACCAACTACTTTGAGAGTGCATCACCTCCTTGCCCTAGAAAAAAAAAGCTCATAGCTCGGATAAATGACAGATGTTGACAAAACCAGGAATAAGGCCCGTGGATACATCTGTCGTATTGTCCATGTCTCACTTTTAGTACATGCTGATACAATACCCTGTCCAACTCTTTCTTAATGCCTTACCTTCTTGGATAGGTCAGCACAAAGTTCGTACTCGTACGGTGCAGTCCTCTCATCCACGCACATCAACACAACCTGGGGTTGTAGCCGTCCCTAACATGGTTTCCTAGGCGCGCGTCTGGCGACACCTTTTGCGACCCAAGCTCAAACCTCAAAGTTACTGCATTGTCGGTGTTGTTTGCTGTTTTTAAAGTCTCATATGAAGGCTCTGTCGTATCATTAAGTGAACGCCATACGGCATTGTATGGTTGGAGTTGTCTGAGATATTCTACACATCCCCACGTCACGTGGAAGCACTTCTTTGTGACGATACAGAGACAGCAGAAACCCGCCCATGCACCTGCAGTCTGGTGCTCATATTGGCTTGGCTCCCGGTCTTCCGAAGGCACAGACGTTTTGCTCCTATTAACCAAAGATATCATGGCGGCCCAAAGTCGGAGGTGTTTGGTAGACGAGACTTTAAGCACGCAAATCCAAGTGTATCTCCTCATCTCTGAACGCTGACGCCCTATATGGAACCTACTTCGAGAAGCGGTCATCTCTTTAGTGTCGAAAAGTGGCCAAAACGGGATGTCTGGCAGGTGCGGCTGAACGGCTGAGTGACTTTTGACTATTCCTAAACTATCGTCCATGCACCCTCTGGCAGGTAAACATAGCGCCGCATGCGCACCCTACAGAAATCATAGCATTTGTTGCAATGTCTGACCACAGACGATTAAGCCATAAACAGACTACATTGTAGCAATAATATACCTACTATTGGTCATTTTAAGCCGATTCATACTTTAACAGTCTAAAACAACAGGTATCAATCACTGATAGGCATATAGCAATCTAACATAATCACTCAGAGCAATTTAAAGATCAGCTGAGAGCTGTGATTGCTGTGATACATTGAGACGTTGTCAGATACCATGCTAAAGATACACATTCTGATTTATACAACCTGGATCAAAATAGAACCATATTGCTTCTTAACGACTCCACAGTTCATTCTAATTACAGCAACCGCCTGCGTCCAATGTGTTACCCGGAGACAGTTTCACACACTAAAAACAGCGGGTAGGTAGAGTAGACTCGTAAAGGAAATCGCAAAAATGAAAAGACGAGGATACGCGTGGAACCTTGGACTATAGATGTCAGATTGGTTCGTGAGGTGACGTTCATGAATAATTATGTACTGTAACTCTTGCGTTGACCCTGCCTTGGGGGGGGGGGGGGGGGGGGGGGGGGTTAACCCCCCCCCCCCCCCCGAAAAAAAAACCCAAAAAACCCTTTTCCCCCCTTTTTAAAACCACTTCCCCCCTTTTTAAAAACAAAAAAAAAAAAATAACTTAAAAAAAATTTCCCGGGTTTTAAAAAAAAAAAAAAAACCCAAAATTAAAAAAAAAATTTTTTTTTTAAAATTTAAAAAAATTTAAACCCTTTTTTAAAAATTCCGGTTTCCTTTAAATTAAAAAAAATTAAAAAATTTTGCACTTCCCCCCCTTTTAAAAAAAAATAAAAAATAAAACCTTCCAACCCCTTCCCCGGTTTTTTTCCCCCCTTTTTAAAAACCCCAACTTTTTTCTTTTTTTTTTCCCCCCCCCCCCCTTAAACCCCGGGTCCCCCCTTTTAATAACCCCTTTTTTTTTTTCCCTTTTTTTTTTTCCCTGCAAAATTTTTTCCCCCCCCCTTACCCCCCCCACCCCCATACCCCCCCCCCTTTTTTTTAAAATTTTTTGGCCCCCCCCCTTTTTCCCCCATTTTTTTTTTTCTTTCCCCCCTTTCCCCAAAAAAATTTTCCCCAACCCACAAAAAAACCTTCCCCAAATTAAACAAAAAAAAAAAACCCAATTTTTTTTTCCCAGGGGCCCCTTTTTTTTTTTTTTTTTAAACTGTTAAACCATTGGTTTTAAAAACCTTTCCCTTTTTTTTTACCCTCCCAAAAACATTTTTTTTTACCCCCTTTTTTTTTTAAAAAAAAATTGGGAAAAAAAATATGGGAAAA